ATCATAGAAAGATTCCCCGTGATGTCTTCTTTCAGAATATATATAATTTTTTGGAAAAAGGTTAAGTTTTGACAGACTTATTGAAGAAATACTCTTTCATCTCCCTTACTCCCACACACCTTTCTAAAAATTCCTAAATGTTGATCTGAAAACGTGGGTCTCAACTAGAAAAATTGTTATAACTTTCGTTCGCCTTTAGCTTTCCATGATATTTTTTTTATTTTAAAGGTTTCAATTATAGCTAACTTTTTATCAGACGGATTTTTGATATTGGATTCCTGGACTGAGAAAAGTCCGATTTAGTGCGTTTTTTGTACCTGCTTCGGCAGTTATACCGAGTAAAATACTTATAAAAATATGAACAGAAGGGAATTTCAAAATTCTGTGTGATGAAAACTTGCGTATGGAAGCTAGCTCTAATTTAAAACCGACCCGACCTCGATAGCTCTCATAGTCATGAAGTTATAACAATTCTCGTGGAAGCCACAAAACAAGTCATAAGTCTAGTTTAGTAAGGTATACAAGGCTGAAATTTTTACTACAAGCGTTTCTCACTGCCACCATGTATCCGTGAAAGTTTCAGCTCAAACCTATGCTCAAAAGTGGCAAGTCGATTCTGAGGGGGGGGGCCTTAATAGATGACTGTTTGTGTTTACTTGATGGTCGTTTCAATCAAATGACAACTTTAACTGTTGATATTAAATGTATTGAAGCGTCGTTATTGAATATTGACAATAAGGTAGAAAAAGTTTTGCTCAAAAGATGTTGATATTTAATGTGTTTTTATTTACCTAGGCTGATCTACCCAATTTCACAATATTTTTCTTGACTTCATTATCACCAACGGAAGAATATGATACTTGAATATATCATTTCAATGCTTCGACGAATGCTAAACATACAAACACTCGGTTTATATCTCCAAATTGAAAATAGACCAGAATTTATTGATGGTACCGAGCTCTATAAAGGTGTACTTATCTATATGCCATGAAGACAAAGATTTTTGTTCAATATTACAACAATTGCTGATTATGTCGACAAAATCTATTGGTATAAAAATGATTATATTGAAGATACAGATACTATTGATTATAATCATCCTGATATTGATTGTCGTATTGATTATTTTACAATTGGTTGTTATCGATGTCGTACTTTTTCAACTCTATGCATTAAATCTTCTCGATTGTATAATGAGCAATAATTTTCGAGATTACTTATATAATAACTTGCATCTGGTCTAGAAATACTTTTCTTTCTTGTTTAGTACTTTATTTATTCTTTTTTTCATCAAATAATATTAATATAGCAATGTGATCTAATCTTTTGATTTTGACATATAATTTCATGGATATGTTCACAGATACAAAGAAAAAGAAATAATGAAAAATTCTTCATTAAAGTTGAATATTATGAGTAAAAATGAAAGTCGATCTAATTTGTATGAAATTCATTTGTTTTCATCCATTGAAGTTCCGCGTATGTGTGAATATGGATAATTCATCTCTCCAGTGACCGACACACAGTATTAAAATCTGCGAAAACTTCGTGTTATAGGAGAGTAATACGACGTTGACGGAGATAAAATCGATGGAAGCCAGCTGTGCGACGAATCGTTCAAAAACGGATGTGTTCTGTGAGTTGCAAGTCCCATGTCCCAATATGAACTGTGATAATCATCATTTACTCCTGCAACAAAATTATCGCTAGGTAACATGTTGCCACCATAACGCAACCCTATTCGTTCACTTGGGCGATATCTTAACATACCACCATAGCTAGACGGCATCCCAAAGTTATCAGCAGAGTTAAAAAGGCCACCCGCCGTAGATCGTGTTCCGTCAGCATAGTCATACAGGCCTGGTGCTGCTCTTGACCTCGAATTCGTAGTTGATTGTAATCCTAGAGGCGTTCCATAAATGTCATATGGGGTTATATGTAACAGATGCACTGGTTCCTTGGCTCTTGACTGACTAGAAGGTAGTTCATTAAATGTCAGAGTCGGTACTTGTGTATGCTCTGGCCTGATGGCTGATATTGAATTCAATGCATTCGTGAGTTTTAAAGGAACCATAGAAAGCTTGGGCTTCCATAACTCTCCTTCGTATCCAATCCACTTGCTTAAACATGTAATCAAATTCTGTGCATACACCTGTGAAATCCATTTTTTGGGTAGATTATCAAAACCATAATAAGCGCCAGCCAATTGGCCATAAATAGCAGTCGTTGTATCAGTATCATCTCCAAGATTGACTGCTTTGAGAACGCCTTTTTCAAAGGAATCTTCATCGCAATAGAAAGCCCACAATGCAGTTTCGAGAACATCAACAATGTGTCCTTTACCTCGAATGCCATTATGATATCCAGCAGCTTTTTTGTATGATCCTTGAGCAACTTTCATCACATCTGGAGTAAGTGGCTTGTTATTGAACCATAATTTATGATTTAAGTAAAAGTTATCATCCAGTAATTGCTGTTTTGTTTCACCTCGAAGAACAGCCACGATCAAAGCACCATAATAGCGGCAAGAGTCATACGCTTTCGAGTCGCCATGAGTAATTGCACCGCTAATTCCAGAAAATTCGACGGCGTCAGTAGGATATCGATAAAAGAAAAGAGGAACAGGAGTCAAGCGCATGAGTGCTCCATTGTCAGATGTGTCGCTTTTACTACAACGTACGTTAAACTCGTTGAGTAGTTGTGGATCAGACAGAGAATCTAATTGTTCAGAAGGGATTTTATGTGTGCTAGCTAATAATTGTTGACGACGCTCAAATTCCTTCAGCGACTGACTCATCGCACTACTATTATCGAAGCAGCGTCCAATTAATGACATATAACCATGCCGGAACCACCACTTATACCGAACAAGTTGGTCATAGGGAATGAAATCCCGTCGAGCCACTAGGGAATTTGCCAGACAAAGACCCATGGAAGTACCATCTGTGAACTAAACAAACAAAAGTTCTCGTACATACCATAATTATTCTTCTCTTGGCGATATCAGTGATAGCTGACCGAAGAGAAAAGAATACATCTAGGTGTATGCTAGTTGATTGTTCTGATACTGCCACCTGTTTCTATCACTCATGCTACAACTCCTTGAAAATTCAGTTCAAATTAGAAATGAGAGGACTCAAAATGAACCTAGTTGTCAGTTCTTCTTTCAAAGTATTTCGGAGTTGAGGATATAATTTAAATAGAAAAAACTTTAATTGTCCCTTTTTGAGACCCCACGTTTCTCCTTCCTGAAGATCTCGTACAAGATGTTCAAGCAGATATTGATGCGACCGAATTTTAACATGAGCGCCAAGTGCATCACCTAAGGCCATACCAAACATTGATCCCTTCACTCGGTTTAAAAGAGCATGATTGATACTTTTAGGAGGATCTTGCAGCTTCGTCTCTAGATCTTCAGGAGTCATTATTAATTGATTGCTATCATCATGAAATTTGCAATCCAACCAATGCATATCTGGAGGAGAAGATTCATCTTTTTTTTCAGCAAATTCAACCCCTGAACTTGTAGACGTTTTGTCTTTGCAAACATGACTAGATTTCTCTCTGTCCAGAGCAGATACTTCCAACCGAGGTGTTTGAGATTGAGAGACAAACTTGATAACTGGCAATTTAGGAGGGTCTAAATTGAAATCAAAAGTCTTGCTCACACACAATAATAAATTAAATTTTTCCATTTCATGCTTAATCTAATTTTCTAGTTATTTATGATTTCATCATCACAAATTTATGAGAATAGACTGACAATGTCGAATGTGTATACTTGATCTTGTTTTGTGAATGCTACTCTAAAATTAGTTCTAATAAAATAGTTTTCTATGTCTTCGCAACAACTGTCTTTTGCATCATTTTATGCAGTTATGTGTGTTGACAGGAAAACATCACTCAACCTAACAACAATCTTACTCGATGATTGTACTGATACCATTTCATCGTTGGATTGAAATTTCTTTGAAGTCAAGTCATGGTTTGTTGCAGTTGTTTTATCCATTGGCGATGAAAAACTTAAAGGTGGAACTAATTGTAAATGTGGAGACCCTTCTTCTTGTAAATACACTATTTTAAGTCCGTTTTTTAGATTTGCTTTCTTTATCACGCGTAAATATGTATCAGGCAATAGAAGAACTTCATTTTCCCAGGGGGAATCAGAAAAATTGCGAATTACTTTACCATTAATGCATTCAATTTTGAATATAGTATACACATTGTATTTATTGAGAGGGTGCTCAAATAATGGTTTGGTTCTTGTACATGAGCTAAATCCTAACCAGACGCAATCTTTGCGATAATTATCTGCAACGTGACCTCGAGCATAGCGCCAAATCGTGCCTTTCATTGATGGCAATTTATTCAATGCCGCAATCAAGAGCTGAAGATAAGAAAACCAAGGGGTGAGCGATTGTCGGAATCTAAGTCGAATTGCTGTACTCAGTTCACTAGAAATATCTCGATCAGTTTCCAAATGTTTCATCGTATAAAGATAGACGGCAGCTGCTTCATCAGCGGTAAGATCATATGTCGAAAGGAGCACCTTCGACTTCGTCATTTTTACCATGTAATCAATATTTTGTGTGGACATTTTAAGTTTTTTGATGGCCTCTTCTACTGTCACCAATGGTTGACGGCGATAGTCTATCATAGGCGGTATTTTTTGTAGAAACTCTTGATCAACCTCAAAAAATCGTTCGGGTAAATCCATCGCTGAAACGATTTCTTCTTATTCAATGATGTTCATTACGGTTCTTTTTGCAGATAATCTTGCTGAAAAAAATTAATAAAACAACGAGAGACAGGATGATAGGATATAACAAGAAGACAATAAAAAGCATGCTAGTGAAAGCCTTATAATTTGTGGGTTTTTTTTGTACATTAGTATTCATTTTCAATCAAAAAAAATGAGGAATCTAAAAAGAACATGTATGCATTGTCAATTGTTTTCGAGCATAAAAAGCAATTAGAACAAATTTCAGAAGTTGTGTCTTACCGTTTATGTTTTTTCACTTGTAAAAGAATGGTGTCTTCATATACATTACAATAATAAGTGGCAACGTTTATATTGACAGGACGAGAAAGAAATGAAAAACAACAAAAAGTCACTAACACATAAAGAAGAAGAAAAAAATAAAGTTTGTCATATTGCTTCAGGCTGACAACTATTAAATTCTGCGATCTATTCTCTTTCACTACTACTTGATACATTCTAACATCTATAGTTACCCTAGGGAATGTACTGGGTTCAGGGTACCCACATACTAAGAAAGCCACGCCAGGGTACCTATTAAGGGTACTTAGAAAATTCTCAGTAACCAGACTATTGTAGGTACTGCATTGAGTACCCATAGCAGTATGTTTCGCTGAAGCAGTACTTGTATGAGTACCAGCACCTGTAATTTTACTGAGGAAAGCTCTACAGGGTACCCTAGATTTATCGCGTTCTGTGTGGCGTCTGCTCATTCACCGTTTTCTTTTACGTGAACAGCTCCTTATAAACAACTCGGTGAGCCATCAGAAAATAAAATTTTTTCATATTTTGTTTTCTAGATTATTTCTTGACTATTTATTAGTGGAGAACATGCCAATCTTAATTGTAAATTAAGATTGGACTACCCTGAAGTGATCGGATGGAGATTCGACCAACTCAAGCCCGGTCAAATCCCGAAATTTGACGTGCTAGAGTTTTCAGGATCGGAAAAATTTAATTAAATAATATCGAAAAAAATTTAATAAATTGTTCTGAGAGAAAAAAATGAAAAAATTCGAAGATTAGGTTCGGCCATCAACGTACTGCAATTTTGGTAACAGGGTACCTAAGCATACTGTGCAATAGTATCCAGTTGAGTACTTGATCAGTACCTTCAAGTACTCATTTACTAGTTGTTTTCCAGCAGGGTACCTACCTGAGTACTTTTAAGTACTCCAGTACCATAAAGCTCCTAAGACATACTAGTAGCAGGGTACTTTTTCGGGTATCCTTTGTTCAGTACATGCCCTAGGGTAAGCTCTTAAAATGTTTCTTGAAAGTCAATGTCTTTGATTCTTTCAATCTTGTTTTTTGATTCATACATATAATTATTATGATGATTATTTTTCGAAATCGTACAAATCTCAAATCTTTTAAGCATTATCTATTACTCTTGAATCCTGCTTGCGTGAAAAAAATACCATATTGTCGTATTATATTGTTTTTCTTGAATAATTTACGTGAAAATGATATACAATTAATACAGAATGCAACACTCGATCGAATGCTCTGGAACAGTTTAGTAAATAACTACCCGGAAGCGAAAGCTAATAATGCAGTGAGTTATTTCGACTTACAATGACTGTCGTGTATTCGTAGTAAATATTCAAAGTATTCTAGCGACATCTATTTTCTACTCTAAACGTACAGTAATAAATGTCAAATCATATGAATAAAACTCATAAAATCTATTTATGTCTTCGTTGATAATAAATAAAAACCTCTCGTCAATAAGTTTAATTGGTTAGTTTATTCAAACCAATAAAAAAAGTAAACTTTAATGATTCATTAGCTTTCTTTGTATATTATTATTATTCGAATAAAAGAAACAGCTTTTCTACCTAAATCTAGTCATAAATGTGTATAAATTCTTTAATGATTGATATCGAAGTAATAAAATGTGTCATAGACGATATAATCGATCGTATCTGTTTAACAAATAGTTCGTCACACATTCAAATAAATCCATCATCATATTATTCTGCGAAATCAATCGAAAACAAATTCAACCAATCAATAAATATTCTTAATAATTCAATAAAACAACTATTAAAATATGAATTAAATACAGTTGTTAATAATGGTCAATTGACAACCACATCAAATATTCGACATGGCCGATATTATAATCCAGCTACAAGCGTTAAACAAATGAATGATTTGAAAAGAAGACTGCATTGGGTTCAACAAAGACAAATGATCGTAAAACAATACAATATTAATCAAGATAAAAAGATAACTGAGACAATGTGTGAAAACAAATCATCATTTTTTACGATCATTTCAATGAAAATTTTTTTTTTAAATATTTTAGTCCGGATGTAAATTTGCTTGAAAATGTTTGGTTTGAACATCGTTTAAAAATGTTAGATAACTCATTAGAATTATTAAAAAAAAAAGAAACAGAAGAAGACGAAGATATCGAAGACGAAGAAATTGTTGATGACTTTTCCTGTGCTCGTTGTAGGATTTATCAAAGAAAAAACGAAAATAATAATCAATTATTAAAGAAATTAAAACATATTCATCAAGTTCGTAATGAACATAATTATTCCAGTAGTCATACAGAATATTCAACGCCAGGTTTTCATCATTTGTATAAAAAATTATTTGTTTACTTCTTGATTATCACTTAGAATCTGATCTTATTGTGTGTTTATCGAAAATTGCTGATCGTATCGGTCACACTACAACGTCGAACATATCCAATTCATCAAAAAAAGTTCCATCATCATTATCATTGTCATCATCATCATCATCAGCAACAACATCAAAGAAAAAACAACAGCTACCAAAATTACAATCCTCTGTATCTGTTATTGTTGGAGATACAAATAAAACTACTAAACGAACCATAGAAGAATCTCGAAATATATCGAACAGTAATTTCATTTCAACTAATTATGATCTAACAAATAAACGACAAAAAAGAATAGGTAATTTTAAATTAAAAGTTTTCTAAAAAGTTTTATTCTTTAAAAATTTAAATCTCGTAAGAAAGAAAAAGTTCGAAGTTCATTTTTAATATAGTGTAGTGAAAACAGACTAACATTTAGTAATCATATCTTTTGAGAAACTTTCATAGCTTTTTTTTGTCAAATGATTGTGTTCCGGAACAAACGTAAATTTCTTGTATACGGTTGTACATATAAAAAGTTTTTTTTTACTTTTCTTCCTAACTTCTAAATTGTAGCTAATACTTGAATAATCTAATCTTAAATCTGATTATCAGGTTGAATAAAACACTCAACAGAAGAGAATTTCAAAATTGTATTTTATTAAAAATAGCGTGCCAATAATGTTGAATTTAACTTTCAAATATTCGAAATTTAACTTTCATGTCGATGAATCCTTGAGAATTATTTTCGAAACTGAAAAGGAACTATAATGCAGAGCGAATTGTTGTAATACGAGCTGAGACGTTTTCTCATGAAATTTATTTATATTTGCAAGCTCTTGGAGTCGAAGGAAGACATGATCATTGAGAAATTCATAGTGAAAAGAGTCGCACAATTGATATTCAAGAATGTTTCTCTAGAAATAATCGAACTATAGTCTATAATGGAGACACGATGAACATAATCAAACCTTTTTTGATTTGAATAGAACTTAACGTTGAATGTTTCAAAAATTCACAATACTTCTATAATAACTGATATTTTATTAATATTTGTTTGATTTCAGAAAAGAATCTAGAGATGTATTTACAACAAGAGTGAACTAGTTGTTTATTACTTTTCTCTAGAAGGTTTTCTATTTTAATTTTAATTAATTGTTATAGCTTCACCACAATCTTCATTGTCAACTACATCAACTAGCACCACAGGAATTACAAATACTTCGTCTGCTCACGATATTTTGACACCGAGTTGGCGAATATTAACAAATAAAGATTTTGATAGTTTAATAAATATTGAACAATCTGTTAGTCAACAAGAAAGTGAAGATATATCTGATGAAAGTTATATTCATCGCCATATACGTTGTGAATTAGAACAAGAATCTTGGATAACAAATGATCCAATATTAAAAACTGTTTCATTAACATCGAATCGAAAAAATGGAACATTACAAACATCATTATCTGTACCTAACGGTTTATCAATTACGAATCAAAAACAGTATAAATATCGTTTGACACCTAATGGAATTGCATATACAGAAACAATTGATACAAAATAATTATTTTCGTGCATAAAAAAATAAGAAAAATAAATCTAATTATCTACGGTCATTAAATCTTCTTCGCCTTCGTCTTCTTGTTGTTTTTCTTCCTTTTTCTTGTTTCTTTTTTTGTGTGATTTTTCAACAAATTGTTTTTCTTTTCTATTTGATTGTTCTTCGAACATATAAGCTTGTGCTGTTATATATCCATTAGGTTTATTAACTGGATAAGATAATTTAATTCCAAGAATTTCTTCAATCATAAATGGTTTTAGCCAACAAACAAGCGGAGAATAACCCGATTCATAGAAACCTAATGGATGATAAAATAAATAGCCATCTTCAGCTTCAATTAAATCTATTTTATCTTCAATTTTCATAGGAAGAAGTATTTGAAAATTTTTATTTAATCTTGAATCACCATATAATGATGTTAACATAAAAAATCGGCATTGACATTCAATTTGTGTAGAATAATCTTGTCCATTCCACATTATTATATCAATTATATGATAAATTGACGAACGATAGTCATATATACAATAGAGAATTGTTTGTTTAGGTAATTGAGTAAACATGGTTCTCATCAGATTACCGTATTTGCCATAAACTTGTGTGCGATTTGATTGGCAAACAACCATGCAACGTTGACCACGTGGGCATGGAATTATAAACCATGATGATATATCTTCAGGAGCTGAAAATAACCATTCAGCAAGCATCATACCAATAGGACAAGTGAACGATGTATTTTTACGATGTTGACGAGGTGGCCATTGGGGCTTATCATTTGCATTGGATTCATTATCATTAGCTGAAAAACGAAGTTGAGATATTTTTTGTTCTCTTTTTTCTTTTTGTCGTTTTAATACTTCACGACGTCGTTCGTTTTGATTGGCAAGTGAAGAGATAGGATTTGTTTTCACTTTGTACAGTGAAAGAGTTGATAAATCAAGAATCGGTGTTAAAGTTGAAGCCATGAAAAAGAACAATCTAAAAAAAGATATACTTCGTCTAAGAATATTTAAGTAATAAGTCTGTCGAAATAAATGTATTTTGAAATTAACTTTCTTTTCTTTCCTCTCATATGCCATTATTTCATAATACTGAAGCAATTTTCTTGCCTCTCTGTTTTTTTTTATCTTATATAGAAAGAAAAAAAAATCCACAAACTCCACCTACACACAATGTACAAAAAAAAATACACAACACAAATATGTTTATTTATTATTTTTTTCAAGTCTGTTGCTGCTTTTCAACAAGGCGTTTCAATTGTCGATAATAATCATAGAGAGGTTTCATAATACGTTTCTGTTCACTGGTTGTTGGTTTCGAATATTTATTTTCAAATCTCAATAATTCTTGTTGCATATCACATTTCTCATCATAAATTTGTTTTGGCGTCATTTGTGAAAGATCATGTGGACGTCCATGTCTTAAACGATATTTTCCCATACGTTCTTGAATATCACGTGCCTCAATTTCAAGTGAACTTAACTGTTGTTGAGGAGAATTCCAAATATCTGATGATGGACTCGGAGCTGTTACAGGTCGTTTTGGATTAACACTTTGTGTTGATGGAGATTGATCATTCGATGACAACGGAGTATTTGGAGTATTCGATGTTACAAGTGGAGTTTTGGTTCCTGATGAACCTGGACGACGTGAACTTCCTAGTCGACGATCACTGGTCGATGATGATGATACTGACTAAAATATTATTAACGGTCGATTTAAAAAACAAAAATACAATTTAGAATTATATATTTTTGTAAAAATGTCTAGTATTAGCTTATGTCATTATTTGCACTGATTGTTGAAATACTTTATTTTTTGTTCTGTTTTCTATTAATGTGAATCATATGTTTTTCATCATATCGGATATCAGCAGATTCTTTGATTGAATTTCTCTCGATTGAAAAATTGAAAATTTTAGTAGATAATTTCGATGAAAAGATTAAACAAAAATGAGGAGACGAAGTCACCATTCAATGTATACAATCTTACATCTTTTGGACTATAAATTGGTTTCTTCGGTTTAATAGTAATTCCTGTATTAGCCGTTGGCATAATTGTTGAAACTGGCTGTTGTTCAAGTAAAATATTTGAACCTAACGAAGATAAATCTAGTGGAGGAACATTATTTGTACGTTGATGTTGTATAGATGAATGCTTTGATGATGATGATGCTGATGCATGATAAATATGAGATTGTTTTGGTGTGGTTATAATTGTTGATCCATTCGGATTGGAATATGATGGTAAAAGTGAGAAAGCTTTTGGAAATGACTGTGAAAAACGATAATAATGATCTGATGGTGTTATACCACGAAATAAAAATCCATCAATAGCCAAGTCAATACAGTCACGTAAAAAATTATTTGTTGATATCGAACTCATCAATGATGTATTGGTATCGTTTATAATCGACATTGTGTATCTTTCTTTTTCTATGTGAATAAAAAGAGAATTCTCTGTCGACGTAACATAACAGTGAGGAGTCTATTTTGATGAGGAAGGAAACAACGGATCGTGCGTTAGCAACCAATAAAATGCAATTTTAGAGGATTCAAGAATAAATCTAAATAGCTAAAATATTCAACCAATCATTTTAATAGATTGACTTTGTTTTACAAAAGAGAAACCGTTTTTCCATCATTCATTGTGTAAATCAAGCATTAAAAAAAGAATGGCATCAGCGCCAAATACAAATCCTTTACTTGAATATTTGGAAGATGGAAAAGCTTATGAGTTAGATTTTGGTGATACATGGAATTCAATAAACGATGGAAATTCATCGAAATATGGTTACCATACTATTAAATGTAGTTTTAAATAGATTATTTTTATTGACTTTTATTGTGAAACTTTTCTTTTGAGAATTTCTAGATGATTTTAAGCCGGCCTCTGTTGCCAAATCTGAACAAGCCGAGTTAAATGTGGGTTCAACACAAGATGTTTCAATTACATTACCAAATGTTGAAGTAAGTTCATTTGATCTTTCCTCGGTAATACATCATAAGTATATGTTTTAACATGAAACATCGATCAAATCATGAATTTCTACTTTCGATAAAAAGAAAACATTATTTTCGAAGAATTTTTTCTTGTGTTAAATATTAGCTTTTGTTTCAGTGAATTCAAAGATTAATCGTTATGTTCGATTGTTCCTCGTAATTCTAACTGAACGTAACAATTCAAATGTTGCGAGAGTTTGCGAAACTAATTTATAATAAATTATTGATAAAACCCAAACTTCACAGTATTCTCTTTCAAAAATCTGATACTGTCAAGCTCGTCATGTTGTTGTTTGATTGAACTGGAATACTTATAAGAGAATCTTCAATGTAAATTCTCATAATTTTATGCATCAAAACTAGATAAAGCAGAATTTTTAAACTTTTTCTAAAATTGATAAGCCAGTAGAAAGATCTCTTGAAGAATTGTAACTTTCGAAGAGAATCAATACTTCTATCATCCTATGAAATTCAGAAAGGTTTTTTTCATGATTCCTTTTCCGTAGAACACTTTTCGAAAATATTTCACTCGATTCAATGTTTATGTGGAGTTTTTGTATCACTAAATAGTATAGGAAAATAAACGGCAATAGACTTGAGGGTGATATATTTTCACATTCTCTTGTATATCAGATTTAAGAATTAGATAAAGATAAAATATTGAGAGATAAGAAAATATTTCATGTGAAATTTTATCATTTGAATATATGTCTAATCAAGCCTGATTTATTCAATGGGAAAATATTTAGAATAAGTATCAATATAAACATCACTATCGTTTACAAAATAGTTAAGTATATTGAATTACAAGAAGATTTCATAGATAGAATTAAATTCAAAATGAACTGTTTCTTATTGATGCGAATCAAAATTTCATTATAAAATTGTCTGAAGGAAATTGTTTTCTAAACTTCAAAATGTTAATAATCTTCTTTATTAAATGAAATGTTAGGCTACACTTTTTTTGTTTTGCAATTTATTGACTTAATTTCATTGTTAAAATGAAATTTGAGGTAGCAGACGAGATTAGCATTGTTATAGTACTTTCCATAAATACTATTTGTATTTCGTATTACCAGTGTCGAGATAATCTAGTCTATAAGAAAAATATTTCTTTAAATATTTAAATTGGTAAATGATTGTCTCTAAATATATATCATTTATTCTAAAAACACGTCAACTCTGTTCGTTATTACGATGATAAAAACTAAAAGCACGATTAGATCTTGTTGAAACTTTTACTAATTTATTATTATTTTATGTTATCTAGGGCTCATTAACTCAATCAACGAAATTTTCTGGAAATACAAAATCATATACACCAAAAGAATGCTTGATGATAATTGATCCTCAAACTGGTAAAATAGTGCTTGAACGTTTATCAGCAAATGTCAGAGTAAAAAATGTTCGGTAAACATTATATTTCTTTTTGTTCTTTTATTATTTATTAAATGCACATATTTCTTTAGTATGGAAAATCGTACTGTAAATCCACCAATAAAGCCAGCAGTTCCACGTACCAATGTAATAGAATCTCTACCAGATAAAAAACCAACGAAACCAACAATAGCAACAACAACGACACTGGCAACAGCAACTACAATCAGTAAACCAACAACACAAAAAGTAACAAATCCTAGTAAACCAATAGTCAATGCACCTGTTAAACCAATGCCTGCCAAGCGAACATTATCTTCTGCGGATGATCGACTTAGTGATGAAGAATGTAAATTTAAAAAAAAGAATTTTTTCGGTATATATTTGTTTTTCAATATAAAGCTTCACCAGATTCACCTGAGACTGCTGCAATATCTGTGTCGATTCCAGCAGCACCGGTGCAAACAAATGTAATAGCAAGACGTTCATCTCATACAACACTTGGTTAGATCGACATTTGAATTTACTCATTTGAAATGATTTTCTTTCTGTTTTTAGAACAAGATCTTCAACTTAGTGATACAAGCGATGAAGAAAATTAAAAATATAATTTTTTGTGTTTTTTTTTCATGTTTAATTAATTTATGCTTATTCAATTTTTTTCTTCGTTCATTTTTTCTTCTATCATTTCAGATATGACATCCGGAAATAAGATCGATCGAGCAATTTTATTCTCGCGTATGTTTATAATGAGAAACAGCAAGTCCTGTTTTGTTTCGAAAACAAATTATGTTGTTTATTTTGTTAGAATGCCAATTTTTTATTGATTATCGTTCAAGTCAAAATGGATGTGATCGGTCTCTTCGTTTAGGAAATGAGTTAGAAAAAAAATATGGTGCTAATATTGTCGAACAACCACACGCTTCTTCAACAACGCATATCATTTTTAAAAATGGAAATTTAGAAACGAAATTATATGCAAATAAAAATAATATACCATTGGTTGATCCAATGTGGTTAGAACATTGTATTAAAAAAAGAAGACTAATTAAAATTGATAAATATCAAGTTGTCAATGATGAAAATCAACAACCAGCAGGTTACTTTTTTCTCTGAAATTTATCCATTGATCGAAAGAAGTTCGAAGTATAGCATCTTATCTAGGCTTTATCTTTTCAACGAAGAATTTGTTAGGATGTCAAAGGCTACGTTGAGTTCATCTTGTATCACAATTTCTGCATTTAATCATGCAATAAAAGAGTCCGGATTAAAGAACGATATTGTTCAGCTTAGTTTCATATTAAATAATTTGAAGAAAGGAATAGAATACCTAGTTTGCGTTCGAGTGAAGTGAAAACTTCAATTTATCATGAAATTGTACAGATTTGGAGTGTATTTTTTTAGATTAGATGTATAATATCACCTTATTATAAAAATTATAGATTTGACGACATAAATAAAACTTGCTGAGAGAGAAAGTGATGACCAGAACCTCTTCTTACAGGAACACTTGCATCAATACTATTCAGATGGATTATTGAGGGGGGAACTCACTTCGTTTGATAAGTTTACAACTACTGAACTGCAGTAATATTGTATTGTATCATCATAATTTTAGTTAAGAGCTTTGTGTGGGAAATTTTAATATAAAAGACAAAGCATTCCGTTTATTGTCCTACTAAAAATATAATTTTCACAACAACAAAGAGTTAAATAAAGAAAAGCTCCTATAGTATTCATAAAATTTAACACTCATGCTCTTATCGTTTCGTAATCCTTGTTAAATCTTTGTATATTAAAACAAAAAATCCAATAAATATTCTATCTAAATTGACGTCAGTTTGTTTATCATATATGTTGAATCTTTCAGTTATGATAAGCTTGAACCATTGCAAAGATAGTATAACTATGTTTAAAAATAATTTTTATTTCAACTATCTGAATAATAATGGTGAAACTGTTCTATCAACATTGATTGTAATCATTGAATTGTATGTAACATTTGATATTGAAAAATATCTTAGTTTTGATACGTCGATATAATTATATAATTTTTTGTTTCGAAGTATAAATAAAAATTTATTTAATAATTTTAGAAGAACTTCCATTCGATCAATTGGTAATATCAAATAAGGATCTAATTGTGCCATCTACACCTAAAAACAAGGTTCATTTTGTTTTTCATTTTGTTTTTCTTTAATATCTTTTGTTTTCTTTTTAGGCAGAGCAACTTCAAGATGTGAATATTGATTCAGGAAAAAAACCTAAAAAAGTTCTTTATACGCCAATACGTGGACAATTTGATGAAGGAAATCCTCATGAATATTTTGATCATCAAAATCGTGTGATAACACTTGAAAATTTAGGAATCAATTTACCCGGTACATTTTCATATTTTATAAATAGAAAAATGAAACAACAATTCTTTTTAAAGATAGTAATCATGTATTAATTCATCGATATGGATGTAGTGTTGCTCGTCGACAAGTTCAAGAAAATCCTCGTACTCAATTTGAATCAAAAGGTTTAATTTAATTAAATAAAATGCAACAAATCTAATTTAATAACGATTTTGTGTTCTACTTGATATTTTTAGATAAACAATTGACTCCTATGAAACTAGAAAATTTACCAACAACATCGAGTATTCCATCTCAATCTCAATCATCGCCTATTATTCATTTTGCTAATGTAAAAATAATTTAAAAACAAAAAGGTTTTTTTTCTTGCTTGTCATAAATATAAATTTCTATTTTCTGTAGAATATTCGTCAAATTTCTAATGCTAAAATGCCTATCACTGTTTCTCTTTCAACAACATTTGATTTTGATAGTCAACAACAATATGCTGCACTGGGCGATCTTCCTCAATCAACTCCTCTATCGTCGCCGATATTACGTCCAGCATTGCGATTAAATAATCTTGATAATTATGAATCAAATGAAATTTTAATTGAAAAAAATCTTGAAAATCCGAAAGAAAAACAATTGATTACACCACTAAAGACAATTGATTACACATCATTTACTAAAGTAACACCTTTAGATGAAATAAATGATAAAACAAAGTCAAGAATTACGTTTGAACTATGTCATAATGAGGATGATGAAAGAGATTTTGTTTTACCAAATGTAAAACAAATCATTGATGAACTTGAGACATCAACAAATAATGATCAAATTATTCCACGGCCACCACCACTTCTTGCACTTTCACAAAATATCCGAGCTAAACATCCAGAACAATTAATCAATACGAAATTAGATAATCAATTACCATCTATTAAAGATTTACCAAATGCACCCGCTAATTATTCATTTGTTTTTTATGAATTTTCATCGCCGTATGTTCAAAGAAATCTTTTTGAAGATTTTTCTACTAGTTATTTTTGTATCTTTTGAATTTTTATTTTTCTTCTAGACAATTAGAAGAAGCCAAACGATTAACTCGTCGTATGGGTGATTGTTTTTCATTTGAAACGATTGACATGACAATAACACATATTATTTTACCTGACGATAATCCACAAATGACATTAACACTTAATCTTCTTCTTGCACTGATTTATGGATGGTAAATTTTTCAGAATAATATTTTTTTATTTTTCTTGATTTAATTTAATTTATATTAAACCTCGTGTCAAACCATATTTTTTGTGAATTATTGCTCTTAAATATGAGAAATATTCAAAACTTACGATCCATTTTTTCAAATTGTTAATTAGTTTTTCAGAAATCTAAATTTCAATCTATCATATTAAATAATCAGAAACAAGATTCTCATATGACTCATTGTAGACAATCGTATTCTTTCGTAGTCTATATTCACATTCGAATAATTATAATTTAACCTTTTTACTTCCTAGTCGTTTAGTGACATTTGAATGGTTAAAATCGTCATCACGTATTGGTGAATGGTTAAATGTTAATAAATTTGAGCCGAAACGTTTTTTTCAATCAAATCCATCATTAAATATTTATCGTAAATCTCGGCTACAACAAAAACCAATTTGTTTATTTAATAAATGTGGTCTTATCTATTTAACGTCAATAGCAAAACAGCGATCATTATTACTTAAATTGATCAGCTTATTAGGTGGAAATGTAAGTTCTATATAATTAATTTAACTTAAATTAATTTCTCTTTCTCTTATAGATTACTGTTAATCGTAATCAAGCAAAAATTGTTGTTGGATATTCATCAAAACCACTTCAAGTAATTATTTATCCACAAGTTAATGAACAATGGGTTATTGGTAATTTAAAATTTCAGATTTTATTTTTATTTTCTTATTTTTATTTTCTAGATTCAATTAAATCAGGAGAATGTCTTTCAACAGACGATTATCTCATCGAAAATAATAATAATAAGTGCTCAACATGATTAATTCTACAGATAAAGAAAATTAATGTTTACGTCAGATAATTGTTTTTTGTTTTTTTTATGTATTTAAATTTGTCTATAGATTGTTGTACAGATGAGCGAATAGAATTCTTGAATTTAGAAAAAAAGAATTATTTCCATGTATAGTTTATTTCTCCATAAATTGACAAAAATTTATTAACAATCAATTTTTAACTGTTTCTTCATTTCACTAAATTTGATTCTACTTATACACCAAAATCATAGCTAATAATCATGAATTACTTGGTTTAGTAAAATAAATTTAGTCATTTGAGGGGATAAGATTTTAACTAGATAGGCGTTGTGTGAGTCAAGTTGTTGAATTTTTTAATCTGATTTCTGTCTAAATCTTTATTTTTTAATCGCTCTTTGTTACGTTTTCCGATAAAAGCTATTTGCTCAATTCATAGCTCAGTCCCTGCTACTCAAGCTTGACAGATGATAAACATAGAATGAAACGATAAGAAAAATAATGCTATTATGAATCTATTGAAAGAATGATGAGCCGCGAAGAATATATAGCAAGCAATCGAAGTTCATTGAACAAGAATTGATAGTGCATAAAAAATATGTACATATGAAAATTGATAGGAAAATATTGCCAGTAAAAGATTCAAACAAAAAAAAAGAACAGTTGAACCATTGTAAAAATCGATATGGCTGTGAGCTATTCAAAGTCTTTTATATATCGTCATTGATATCCTGTCGTCACAATGATCCTGCCTATGCTAAATATACTTCAAATAAACTTGATACTGTAACATCTACACACTGACAAGTCACATTAAACATGAGGTTTTCAATTGAAAACATATACTCTGCATGATCAAATTCTAAAGAAAGACGTCAACGAACTCAAACTCGTATTATAGACTCAGTATTATTGATTAGAAAGAAAAAAGATGCAGTTTATTATCATTTCTATCCTTTATCATCATAGCTTTTCAGCCTTGTGCAATAAAAAAAATATGAATTAAATATTTAAAAAAAAGAAAAAAGAACCTAGATAGTTGATAAATATCGTTTCATTAAATTTGGTTAATTATGTTAGTATTCAAGAGTTGATTTCGATAGACATGAACGAAAATTTTTATTAAAAGAAAACAATATTTGATTGTGTATAAAGAGTCATACGAGGCTCCGAATTCAAAAAAGAAACAAAATGTTTCGAAATAAATAAAATTCGAATGTTATCTATTATAAATAGCCGGCTTAAATTTGGATACTTTATCTTTACATGCATCTTTACATCGTTTCTATATGAAAAATATTCGATTTTACTTTTTTATGATTACGAAGGAAACAACTTACAGCTAAAACTTTAATGGGTACTTTTGTATGAAGTTCCTTAGCAACACATTCAACTTCACATGGATTTGCATATGCAAACTTTTTAAGTTGACGATGTGCACGTGTATATACCAAATTATTATCATCATCACTATCATCAGAACTATCCATACTATCACCAGCCAATGCTCCAAGTGAAGATATTAGTAATAAGATGATGAACAAAAGGTAAACTATAAATAATATCTTATGTTTAAGTTTAGTTTAGTTTAGTTCATTTGACTTACTCAATTGATTGATGATCATTTAATGAATAGAATAAAACACAAGTAACAGATGTGAATTATCTAACAGAATGTTTTTATAGAATAAATGAAATAAGCGCCATTTGTTGTTCAACTTCATAATATTATTAGTTAGTTATTCCCAAAGAAATTTTCGCATAGACAAAGAAAAAACTTCAATTCAGCTTTTTGATATTTTATGAAGAATTTCATGATTATAGAACTTCCTAGATTTTTATTGAATAAACACATTGAATAATGAAAGAAAAATTGAATTATTTTATTATTCTACCACATTATTTTACATCAGTTAACCATTATTTTTTAATTATTCAATACTATGCTAATTATTGATACAACCAATAAAAAATCTATTTTTATACCAATATCTATCAATAGATAATGAATACAAATGACGAATCTCATGAAGAGTTAACTGTACTTGTCAGTGCTATATTTAGTATGATTTCATTTATAATGTGTACTTTAGCAACAGCAACATCCGGATGGCAAATCGATAGTTATCACAATAAAACAGGTTTATTTCGGACATGTTATAAAGATAATTGTATAAGTGTAAGAGAAAAACATGATATACCAATAGTATTTGCTATTTTTGGTCAATGTCTTCTTGTATTGGGTATCATTAGTTCATTTATTAATGTATTTATTTATCGGCGTCGAATGGCTTTAATAGTAATTACCATTCTATTCTTACTTGCCTCTTTATTTTTATGGATAACAGTTTTAACAATAAACTTGTATTTATTTATGAATGGTGGTAGTGCTATTGTTTTTAATGCTGCTATAGTTTTTTCATTATTAACTACATTTACAGCATCGTACGCACTAGGTATATCTTTTGCATTACGTCATAATCATATTCATCCTAGACTACCTATTGTACCTATGAAATACAATCAAATAATGATTTAATTTGAACTATATTGACACATATCAACATCATCATAGAGAGATGAATCAATTTATCAGAACGAACGTTACGATTATATAAAACTTGATATTTTTTTTCCAAATAAAATATATTTTCCGTAAGAAACAAAATAGAAGAAAAAACAGGTTGTAATTTTCGTAATTTATATGAAACATCAATTACTTAACTTTGTTCAAAAACAGCAATAGGATTTTTCTGAACATAATGTTCGATACGGCTGCAGTCATATTGCACGAGTTCAAAACTTGATATATGTCTGGTATTGGCTTTAATTGTTCACTGTAACCTTTCCCTCAAATTACTAAAACTAGAGAATTCGAGTACTCATTTTAGTTTTTTTTTCGATGAGGAAGCTGTAACGGATATAATAGTTTAACACGGACGAGTGAAACCCGTCTGACTCAAGGTTTTTAAACCCTGAAATGAACCCACTGAAAAACATTTTTCCTTTCGGATTCTGTCGAATCACAGTCTTATACTGTTAGTAAAATATTCTAATCAGAATTCGATAACCATTTTGAGAGTAGCGGAGGACGCTTCTTTTTCGATTGTTGTGCCCTGAATAATAAGCACACATCCGTTCCCAAAATCACCTTCACTACTAAAGCTCGACGGGCTCTACCCGCGAGGATGAAAATATGCTCGAAAAAATTCTTTATTATATGTCGAATTTATTCTTAAGCTAATTACAATCTGTGAGAACTAAAAGTGAAGTTTTTTCATAAATCATACCGTTTGATGGCCACAGGTAGAGTTTATTTTTCACAAAATTAATTTTACTGACGGTATTTTTCTGCTCGAAAATATTATTGAGTGTAGAAAATTCGATATTGCAAAATATATGTTCGGTACAGCACGTATATGGCAGAAAGCGCTGCAAAACGAAGTGCCGCTTTACTCCGATTTTGTTCACATGTGCATGTTTTTCCATCGTTAACGTAATTGATTGTTTGTATGATATGTTGTGAAAGTGAACGTCTCGTCCACATCAGATAACGAATCAAGAACTTCTTAAAACGCAATAAAGTATATTATTTTAATACCTGAAAATATTTTTCTAATAGTTCCTCTCTAATGTTTTCAAGTAGATTTTGTTTTTAGGATAATGATTGTTTGTTTTCCATTTAAAACAACATCTGTTTAGACGAAGAATATGAGAGAAATCAATTTAAGAGATAGAGAAAGGGCGCTTATTTTTATCGGCTGGTCGATTGGTACTGAACTTGACAACTAGCTCTTCGATATAAAGTTAAGAATATAGATTAATACCCGTGTAATAAAAACCGCATGAAAATCGACGGTTAACCGCGGTTTTACTGGTTCGGTTACCGGCTTCCATTATCACAGGAAGGATAAATACCGCGGTTTACTGCAAGAAATGATCCGGTATTTGCAACAAGGGTAGATTTCTCATGATTTCTCTCAAAGTATCTTACAAGCAATAAAAGTAACGAATTCAACGTAGAAACAAGGTTTACAGAGAATTCTGACCCATGAAATGGAATATTTCTATTTTAATGAATATCTACCGCAATGATGCTATGTCGTCGTCCTCATTTGTTAATTCTGCATACTTTTAGCGTTTCTTTATGCTTTAATAATTGTTTTGTTCGATAAGCAGATCATAACTATTCATTTATAATTTTATGAAATTCTTATCATTATCGACATTTTAATCCTCCTTTACTAGACCATCACGCTTGAATTCAAAACTCCTACTACTTCGCCTAAGGCTAGGGTTACGATATAAAATCTGAATGAATTAGTAGCTCAATATGTTCCGAATTATGAATCATCAAAAACAATCGCCTACTGTATCGTTTTTTTTCTTCTTTTGTGTAGTTTTTATTCTATAATCAGAGAAATCATTCAATTATCGTCATATACATCTATGAATGGAATAAAACTTAAATTCTTATGTTGGCTAGTGAGGATTTCTGAATGATTTATGTCCATACATTTGACCTCATAAAACACGTCAAGTAAGCTAACTATTTTCTAATTTAGATGATTTGTAAATATTGTTTTGATCTATTGAATTTGTTTGAGGAAATTGAAAATAAGATAAAAATATTAAACAAAGAGACTATTTTTATTTTTAGTAAACATATTGATATTGATTGCAAAAAAAACTAAATGAATTCACAATCAGTGTTGTTTTAAATAAATTAAAGTGAAACTCAGCCGTACATTTGAAAAATTTTAAGAAGTATAATTTTACAATATCTTATTAACATTCATTGAATAAACTTCCGATTAAATTATCTGATTTTTCTTCTTCGACGACACTTCACTCGATTTGATCTGAAAAATACAAAGTAAGACATAATGGAACATCAGATAGAATAAAAATGCAAACGAAAATTCATATATTTCGTATTTTTCTTTGTAAATTTTTAGCTCTGCAAAGTAGTTTTACCTGTAACCGTACGCATAGTGAGAAATAGATAAAATAGCCTAATCTAAACTATGTTCTGTTGAGGTCTCCGAAGTGTATTCATCTACTTTATAGCCCAGGCCGAGCAATCCAACAGTGGGAACCAATCGGAATCCATCCGATCCGACTCGCATCCAGTAGGATCTTATCGGATTTTGTCGGACCCAACAGAATTATCATCGGATTCCGGATTCGAAGTTGGATCCTCAGTGTCGGATTCCTATGAATTCCAAAGAAACACCGTTGGATGTCAACGGAAGTTCAATCGGTTCCGACCAGTGGTTCCGACGTCAATTCCTTGACCCGGAATCCTATAAGATTCTGTCGGATGGTAGGATACTATCAAATTCCTATCAGATTCGGTATGGGATTTCTCGACCTGGGAGGTTATACTTTTATGATTAATTGAGATTGTAATTACTGCAATTTTACCTGGCTCAGTCGAATCAAATGTTGCTATCTCTTCGATTTCTTCACTTGATTGAACAATTTTATCGTAATCAATTCTTGCTGGTTTGTCTGCTAATTGATCATCACCAACAAGCCCATTAGGCTCATTAAATGTATGAACTGATGATGATAATGATACTTCTGACACATACGATTCAGTTTCAGTCGATGGCGATACTTTTGATGTTTTCGATTCAGTAGTTATTGATACTTCTGATTCAGATTCAACAGATGGTGATGGTTCCGATTCAACTCCATCGATTGATAATCCTTCAACTATGGATGATCTCGGTTCAGAGAATAACAACTGAAATAAAAATTCATGTTTATAATAAAAGAAGAAAACATAAATACATTGAAATTTACTTCGATATTGGTGGTCATTTCTGTTTGGTTATCATTTCGAAAAAGCTCATCTGCAAATATTGTTGATATTTCTTCTTGGCTTTGGCTAGAATGTGTATTGATTGACCCTAGCTCAAATTGAGTATTTGCTTGTGTAGTTGTAAATAAACTATCATATAAACTACTTTCATCATTTGAGTTATTTGATGATATCGTTTCAGAAACGGATATAGTTGGTGAAGATGTAAACATATCATCATCAGCTGTACTTGATGGAAGTGATATATCTTCTGGATATTCAAACTGATCACGGTTGTTAGGTTCATCACTACGAGTTGTATCCAATAATTCTTGAGTATCAATATTTAGTATCTCTGTTGTTTTTTCATCGGACGCTAGCTAGAAAAGAAGATTTTTTTCTCGAAAAAATTGTTATTGAAAAATTGTAGATGTCCTGACTTGTATATTCATTTCTTCTTCATGAAGAAGCTCTTTTGCACCAGATGAAATATTATAACCGATTGTTGAACCATCATGTTGTTGTTCAATAGGTAATGAATAGCTACATGTAGCTATTAATAAAATAAGAAATGAAATAAACGATATTATTACAGTCATTGTTATACAAGTTTCGAAATGGTTATTGGAGAATAGCCAGCTTTTCTTGTAATGATTTATTTGAACAGGTAACTAGTTTTATAGAGAAAGTTAAACAAAGAAAGAAGAGAGAAAGAGAAAGCGATTATATCATCAGAGATCAAGACACGAACAAAGAATGTAATAATGATAATACTTTACTGACTGGCTGGTCATACAATTACGTAAGCTTACTAGATTATCTTATTCACTTCGACGATTATCTCTTTTCAGGCATTTAAATGTTTTAGAAAATAAAGATAAAACAGTGATACAAATGGAAAAGAATGAAATACGAGCATCAGGTTTAGTCTTGTTTAAATATGTATAGGTCTGCAAACGACTTTAGTCAAATTTAAATAAAGCACTTTTATAAGTTCAATATCAATAAATGTATTTTTCCAATGAAAAATATACAATTAATATTGATTTTTAAATGACTGTTTCGTAATATCATTCAGTTTTATTACATACAGAAAATTTAAGAAAAAAAACTCGTATTATGGTATTATATTGTGTTTGGCTTCATCCAGAGATGGAGCCACATTGAAGTTTTTGTATAAGATCACTTTTGAAAGATATATTATATAGATTTTCAAAACGATAAGACAAATTAGAATTACGACACATTGCAATATAAATGTCACAAGAACTTAACTGGTGACAGTATTTTGACAATTTGTTGCCTGACAACGAATCAAGTATAGAATAGTCAATGGGGTTTGTATATGTTTACTCAAATCATTCTTAGAATCTTTTGCTTTAAAAAAAAATAGTGCTTGCGTAGTGATCGATTAACAACCTCTTGACATAACACCTTTCTTTGATAATGACCCATCTCGATTCAAGGTTTTATCTATATATTTTATAAGCAACTCTATAAAATTCTTCAATTTAGTACTTTGGCTACATACAATTCTTTGGCTGATCCTCATTTACAATGCTATTTTAGTAATGAACGTATACGATCTCATTTACAACATGCTGGATTAGTAAAAAGACAAGAAGCTTTTTTTCCTGAATTTTGTTTAAAAACTTGAATTAATTTAGATTAGCCGCCGAGGTGAAATCGTACCTGATGGTGAATATCGATTAAAATTAGCTCGACGTGACCATAAAAAACATGTTCGACAAATGCTTGCTGAAAATATTGTTCATCGGTAGGATACTAAGAATAAATTGAAAACCGTTTGTTTATTATCATTTTCTAAACTAACAGAGCAATCGATATGGAACGAGCACGACAAGCCGAATTGAGACGTCAATTAGATATGGTGTCGAAAGTAGCGCTCGTGCACAGTATCAAAGTAAAATGCCTACTTTTTAAATAAACAATGATAGCAACTTATTTGTCTAGGAATCTAGACGACGAGGTGCATATCCAATTGGAAATACTCAAAACTCTACTGATATGGGTTTACTGTCAATGGATTCATCATGGTCACAAACACGACCTAAAAGTGCCAGCCATCATCGAGAGATTGAAACAGTAGTTTATACAAATGCACTTGTTTTTTTTTAAATAATAATATCTAATATGAATTAGATGAATGAAGAATTCGGTGAAGTACGTCGTGTTGCTCGTGTTCAATCGGCTCATGTCAATGGAGATCATCATACAAAATATTCTTCAAAAAGTCTTGATCGTCGTCATCGTCAAAATTTCAATCAACCAAAACCATCTTCTATGCAACGATCATTACCATTAGTAAAATATCCTTTTACTTCTGATGAAACTTTTTTCTGAATTAATTAATTGATATTTGTCTTTCTTTCTCAAAAAAAGCAACGTTCTCGTTTATTAACAAAACCATCAGATTCTTCACCATCAAATCCGCCATGTCGAATAACAATGACTTATTTTGGTCCACACACAAAACTTGATTATGATCATTCAATATTCGAACCAATTGATGAAATTATTGTTATGCAACAACATTGTGGAGGAGAAAATTTAATTGTTTACAAAGATAATCTTAAACCTGGAGGTTCAGTTAAACTTATATGTTTCTTTCTTAAATATATCTTAATTATTACATAGATGAATTTTCATTTAATTCTCGTCGGCATTCAAATTATCCATTTGGTTTATCGTTGTATGTTAAAGGATTAATAGATAGTCGAATATCGACATGTTGTGAATATAAGCATCGTCATGGTGTTAAGTTAGGTGGAGAACGTGGTCATTTTGCTATTTTATCTGTTGAAGGATCGAAACCTTGTATCAAGTATATTTTAGGTTGGAAAATAAACTAATTAATTACCATTAATTAATTTAAGATGTCGATTCGAAAAACAAACTCGATTGAAACGATATGGTGATTCACCAAAAGACGCAACAGATGATGAAAAGAAAAAGCCGATCACAATTTCAATACCAGTTTCTGATGAAACAAAAACGAGACAAACACCCGCTATAATACCCGTTAGACAAGTGCCCAATTCGAGTATGTTTAATTAAGATAAATTTCAAATGATTGATTGTTTATTTAGATGAAAATTATGCCGAAGATTTTGTTGGATCTGATGATACAGAAACATCAAAACATGATAATTCATCGGAATCGAATGACAATAAATTAAAAATTGGAAGAACAGTTGTAGATGTAAGTTGATCAAAACAGTATTTTTGTATCTTATCTATTCTTATAATTATGACGATGATGTCTAATAAGTTAGAAAACATATTGAACATATCTTTTTATTGAAATGTTTCAAAGCGAGAAAAGCTTTTCTCATTGCATTATTATTTCTACTTCAGTTGATTTTTTGAAAATCTCTAGTTTATCGTTGACAATATCATCGAAATATGATACACTCGAGAACAAAATCTCTAATATGCGCTTGTTAAATAATATTCTGTTTTACAGCTAATCGTTTATTATCTTTTCTGTTTCCGATAAAGAATTTATAGTTTACGAAATAACCGTCTGAAATTATTCATCATTTAAAAACTGATGTTTCAGATATGAACAGGCGAACGACGAATAAGAATGATATAAAAAATACACAATTTTATTGATATATTTTTTAAAAGAATAATAAGTTTGACTGATAGACATCTGACTAACAACCGTATCCGGACCGAAAATATTCTCTATTTATTAGCATAGAGACCGAAACCAAATCCAATAAAAAACTAAATATTTTTATTGAAACCTGCTTGAATCGAATGAGGATAAAGATTTTGTTATTCGTATTGGCCATTAATAATTAGATCTTACAATTTTGAGCAAATAACATGAAAATTTCGGCTGAAATAATTATTCCTACTTCTCATATTCGATATTCAAAGCTGATTAAATTTCAAAGATAGTCAGTAAAATTGATAGATGGTTTTGAAGATTGAATGTTTATGGAAGACAATAAAGATTTTTAAGAATATTCTTAGAATTGCGTAATCTATTTATAGAGAAAGTTCCAAAATACCAAGTTATTATATTTAATATTCATAAAAGCTTTTCATTATAGAGATGCACAGTTTAAAAAAAATCATTATTAATCTGTTGTGGATCATATCTATACATCATAAAGATAACTGAAATAGGGATAAATCCCTTCGGACAGTTTTTTTCTTCATTAAGTTGAACCATTCATGCATAGCTTACTTGAGAAATAATCTTAACTTGCCTGACATAAATCAAAATAACGATGCACTAGTGAAATCAATTATACAAGATTACTACTCATCGCTATCGTAATTGCATCTCTATCTATCTCATTGCAAGGCGAAGTATTGAACTATATTCTTTGACTAATTGTTTGCGAATACGAAACGATACAATCATCGTCTGAATGTCTACACCAGAGAAGTCTTTTTATTTTTAGACTCGTCTAACAACAGTTCCATTGAAAACTCCAACAGAAACTAGTTCAATATCAACAACAACATCGCACGATAAATCTTTAACAAAAACTTGGCAAATAATATTTCATACAGCAAATATTCCAAGCAGCAGTTTTCAATTACCACAAAACTCGTCTATTGGCGCCACTTTAAAATTTTCATTCATTTCAATAGGTGGAGAAGATGAAACTGAGCAATATGAAATTGAAATGAAAGATTTTCCTCAGCATTTCAAGTCAGGTCAACACGATTCTTTTCGAACTAAACTTCGAAATATTGGAACACCGCAAAAAATTCGATTAATACTTGAAATAACAGGAAATGATGATGATGACAATGATGATATTAAATGGCAACTTGATCATGTAATAATAAGAAATAATCAAATTTATTATTTATTATTATTTTTTTTTTCTTTTTACTTAGATTGAACTTATTGATCCAAAAACTCAATCACATTATGAGTTTCCTTGTCATCAATGGATTCGACCATCCCAAGAAAAAGTTTTTCATCTTATGAAATCGGAATCATCTCAAGATGAAATTCTTCGAAGAACTTCAAAAAGTACTATCGACTCGAAAAATGCATCTTCGTCTACTGCTTCCAAAAAGTCTTCCCCAAAGCCAACAAAAACTGAACCAAAAAAGAAAACTTCTCGTTCATCATCATCATCATTACCCTCATCGTATGAATCTCCAAAACGATTTGAACAATTTAAAAACTCAGTTGTTAATCCAAAACGTCAAGTTGCAACAGACAGTGAATCAACTAATGAAAAAAATCAAAAGCGTTATCGTATTAGTATTTATCCGTCAAAAAGTGAAGACGGCGAATTTAATGCTTCAAATGATAGCCAAATTTTCATACGTTTAAATAATCAAAAGAAAAATTCATTAATATTAAATAAAAACAAGAAAGATTGTCCTTCATTTGAACCAGGTGAAAATAAATCATTTGAAGTTGATTTAATACAAAGTTCAAATGAACAACCAACAAAACTAACTATTGGATATTATAATTCAGATATTGCTGCAGGAAAATGGAAACTTGATAAGGTTTTTATTGTTTTCCAGAGTTTATAGTTTTCTTTTTTATTGCAGAAATTTTCGTTTTTGTCTTTTAGATTGTTTTAGCCAATATAGAAACAGGTCAAGAAACAATTTTCCTCTGTCCTGATTCTCTCGCAAGAAATGATTTTGATTTACGAGCTGAGCAAACTTTTCAAGCTCAATCAAGCCAAGCCAATTACGATAATGACGATGATCAACATAGTAAGTTTTATCATTGACTTCAATTATTAAAAGTTAAAAGAACATTGCCCATAAACTCATCAGAGTTCATCTAATTGCACCTATAGAAAAAAACACTACAGTCCAATATCGAATCATATTCGAAAAGCAATATCTAGTTTCTTACTTGGTGAAATCAATATTTTCTTTCTAGCGGTTGAAAGTGTCAAATGGGTTTTGTAATTAAACTTTACGAATGTAAATTATACAAATAGCTAATTGCATCAAGGATTTATATGTAAATTGAAATTTTTGGTATACTTGCGAACTTCTTTATAGAGAAAAAAAAATTTCGACTGATATTATTTTACTTAGTTTACTAACGGGGTTTTCTATATGTGATGAGTTCTATCATTAAGTTTAGTTTTTTCAAACGAAAAAGATTTATTACTTCCCAGGTTGATCAAAACGGACTCGTTTACGGTCTGTTTATCGACGGTAAACGATGTCAAAACGGTATATTTACGGCAGTAAATAGGCCGTATTTGCCCGTAATACCCGGCGCAGTAATACGGCACCGTAAACGGGACTGAATTTTCATGGTTTACGGCTGTTTGTGCTCCATACTCTCATGATAATACGGTCCGTATTACTGCGCCAGATATTACTGCAAACTTTCGCCCGTAAAATAGTCGTAAACTAACCGTCAACGGCCGTATACGGACCGTACTGTTCGATCTGGGTTGTGTCTTACACTTAATATATAAAAAGAAAATCATAATTACAACATTCTGTTACAATGCATTATTAAGGTACACCTCGAAGCGTCACCGAAGCCAAACGTGCGTCACTAGAATGTGAAAGTGAAGAAAGTATTCAACAAAAAGAAGTTCAATTAACAACAAGTAAGAGAAATCCATCCTCATCATCGGAATCACTACAAAAAGGAGTCAAAACTAAAAATAATGAAAAACCTTTATCAACACATTCACCGACGAATCTAAATGATGATAGTGACGAAGATGAAGACGATAATGAATACAACAGAATGTTTAAACAAAAGAGTTCAAAAAATCAAGCTGAGTCTGATTCGTCACCATCTCGGCCTAAAACTCGACGAGGTCTTCAAAACAACTCTAAAAAAGATAATGAACAAGACAATACAAACGATACATCCGAAGCAAAGCCTGAGATATGGAGATCATCAAGTGAACTTGATAGAAAAGAACCCGTTGATCCTCTTATTGGTTTAGATGATCTTCAAGACCAAACATCAAGGTCAAATGATCCAAAAACTCAGAGCTCTCTTCCATCAACGAATAATACTCACACGGAAAATCAATTTAAAAATTGGTATCATGGAGATAATGATGACGATAGTTCAAATTAAGACAAATTAAATTTTTGTTTTATGATATTCACATTCATTTTATTTTAACATACACACAGTGAATACACACTTCTTTATTTCTTGCTTTCTTGTTTGACCTTAATGTTTGTTTGATCTCTTTTTCTTCTTCTTCTTCTTGGTTGTCTTACAAATAAATTATTTACAAAAAGCTAAAAATTAAGTAAGACTTATCAGCTATAAATATATATATATATATATGTATTGAATAAATAACATCTAATCATTTTCTTCATTAAGAAACTAATGCGACAGAATGTTATTTAATCGATTAGTATCAACTAAAAGTATTTACCCTTTCTTGTTGCATTAAAATCTTTTTTATTATAATGAGTCAGCTGGCACATTCGTAAATGATTTCGTTATATTTCTTTTAAAATCTTCAATTTATTTAACTGCTTATCTAAAATGTAACGGGTCGGTCATCATGAATGATCGAATTTTGAGTTTAATTTGTTCATCAAGCTCATAGAAAGAAGAGGACGTGAGATATAACACTTTCGCTTTCAATTTTTGAGATTATCCTGTCTAGTCACTCTTCTGTGTTAGAAATTTTACTATATAACGCCTCTAATTTGCACACTTGTCTATGTTGAAATCCTTACACAACTCCCTTATCATCAATGATGAATTAAGCTTCTAGTGTTGATCATCTAATGCATTTTTTTTACAAAACAAAATATACTACAATATATAAAATGAACAGCTCTACAAAGTCGACGTAAGACTTATTCGATATATTCATCATTAGTTTTCTAAAAAAAAAAGACAAATTTCGATAATGAGAACAAGTTATTCTTGTGGTACACGAGTAATTCCTTGTTGTCTTATTTTATATTTTAATCATCCGATATGTTTGATTTAAAATAAAATATACAAGAAAATGTTGCGTGAAGTGTTCTATTGTTTACAAATAAGAATTTTATTTTATATATATACGTTTTCTTTTCAAAATGAACCAAACTGAGTGTGTCTAATTTTCAATCCTGCAACTACTTCGTTTGTTGATATACAAAGATTAACTTTTTTTAATTTCATCAAATCATAAATGCTGATTTTTAATTAACTCTATTTGATTGTCTACTATTTACAATATCGCCTGAGATTGTAATAATCTAAAACATTGCCATTGGGGCTATATGGTGGCCATATGTGATTAACAGCTGGTGTAAAACTGATCATCTATTAGGCAGTGGCGGAGCCAGGGGGGCTAGGGGGGCTCAGCCACCTCTAACAATTGTTGCGGGGGCCCCCCCCCCCCCCCCCCCCTAGGGAGATTATAGAAAATGCATTTTTTTTATATAAATATGTATTAACGTTTCTAATTTAACGTTTTAACAAGTGCTACCAGCTAGCGAACTCGAAAACCCAGAAAAAAGCGAGAAAAACTTTTAGAATTCCCGAAAAAAATCGAGAAAAATTTTCAAAATTTCCACAAACACTCTAGAAAAACTTCCGAAATCCTCATAAAATTCGGAAACAATCCAGCAAAATATTTTGAATTCCCCAAAAAATCCAGAAAACCTTTCAAAATCCCTAAAATACTGCAAAAAGACTTAAAATCTGGAAAAAATCCAGAAGAATTTTCAAAATCCGAAAGATCTGGCAACACTGTTTCTAAAACACGCTTTTAAAAGTGACCACTCCCCCAAATTTTTGGATGTTCGCTTCACCTCTGAGGGGCTGAGCCCCCCTAGTCCAAAATTCTGGCTCCGCCACTGCTATTAGGATGTGTGTTAGTGTCTGTAACAATGTGGCTGTGAATGTGTGAATAGCAGATCAAACTGACATCCCACACGCACATCGATTTTTTTATGTCAACATAGCAACGGTGCGACCGTGTTTGATTTTTTAGTCGCGATAAAAATCTCTCCTTTCTACAAAATCTTGATAATATGACATAATAATATCAATACATTTCGATGCGTACATCATTGCAAAGTAAACTAGAATTTAATCCAAGGAGAAATTATTCGAATGTAAAATATGAAAGACTTCAAAATCGAAAGAGCAAAAAAGAAATCGGAAGACTTCTAGCATTAGATCAATACAAATAGCGTAGAAGAGAAGCCCAAAGTTGATCAAAGATTAGACTGATTTCGAGTTCATCCAAAATCCCCATTGCAATAAAACTCGATAGTCTGGCTTCTCTACATTGTCATAATGTTCACGTGTACGATAACCTTGCGCATGTTGACACTTGACACAAAAGCATTTCTCATTTGGATAGATACTTCCAAAAAGTTGGTCCCATATTTTGAAAAAGAAACCAGTATGATACGGCTTATTTCTAGTAGAGACAGCATGATGCAAGTAATGTTGAAATGAAGTATTAATTGCAGGATGATGAGCATCTGGATACGAGAATTCATGACCCCAATGAAGATAGACCCCATAACCGTAGAAAAAGAAAGCAAACTAAACGAAAACGAAATCTGTCGCTACGATGCCTTCAAATAATTGTATTAAAATCTGATTGAAACGTACAATCTTTCAGAGATTCAATCACTGAAATCCTTGATAAGAACAGTATTTTCAAAAACTACTCTCCAAAAAATTTCGTTAAAATTTCATGTTTAGCTTTGTCTCTTTGATAGAAAAAAAGTTTTCTATTTTTCTTGTTTACTCACTTACTTGAAAAAATAATAGATCCATATTAATAGGAATCAGCGCAGGAATGAAGACCAACGGTAATGCTCCAACAATCTGGTCAACGTAATCTTCTGCTATGACAGCAAACGGTGTTGGATTATAGAATTGATGGTGCGATTTGTGTACTTTCCAGAGTATATCAATAGTATGTCCCATTCGATGATAGAAAAATTCAAAAAAGTCTGTTGATATCCAAGCGATAAAGAAACTAGCTATTAAATATTTCCAACCATATTCATCGATACCACAGTACCCTTTGAGCTTCTGTTTGCCCATTAAGTATAATGCTAAAGTTGGACAGAATGTACCTGCTAGAATACCCTTCACCATGAGAATAATCTCCAATCGGACTAAACTTGCCGATGGATATTTCGGATTTGATTTTTTAAGCCATTTTTCATAGGTAATTCTCACATAGGAATAATAGAAAATAGCACTTGATAGAAGCATCAAAACGACGAAAGCAATCATGCTGAGTGTAAACCATGTCAATAAGAAGTTATTACCAAACCAAAAACTCATTTCGCACAACATAGTGCTTCTAGGAGAATGAAAATTAAAAAAGACATAGTCAATATTTCGTTACTTAGTTATCACAATAATGATGATAAGAAAAACAACATATTGCGTTATCGTTCTCAAGGAATTATGCGAGCAATGAATCATGTTTTATTAAACTATTAATTGCAGAATACTTAAGATCTACAAATTCCTGGTGTAGCGCCTAAATAAAGATAAGAACTTATCAAATAAATCTTAGTAGATAGATCTTGACTGATGAATTTGAAGTAGTCTTGAATATGTATTGTTTGAAAAATATTTTGAGTGAGCGACAGACATGAAAAGAATCCTATCGTATAGAATTCGGCTGTGTTCACGATTTTCTGGAACTGGACTCGCATGTAATTACATGTATTTATTACTTACATCCACTTTTACCATGTTTTATGCTGATGAATTTCTAAGTTTGATCGTTCGTTTTTGAGTCAGCCAGTCAAAAATATAAATTATTTGTTCACAACAGTTAAGGATTCTACTGAAAACAAAGGAGACAGATGACTCTATGTGTCAGAAAATTTTCAAGAATTTTTCGTTTTTATTCAAACTGAGTACAACTAGTCAGTTGTACAGAATTCATATTCTGCCTTCTTCAGACAAAACTGAATTTTACACATGAACAATTATGAAGATTGAATCTTTCAATAGAGCCTGTGATGCCAAGAATTCGTAACTTTCTAAGGATAAGCTATAAAGAGTCTTATAATATTTCAGTCATCTGTATTCACTTTGATAGCTTACAGTACGCTTTGAACACATTAGCTAATATACTTTTTTGTTGGATCAATACCGATGAGGTTTTCTTCTCGATGAACATATTCAAGTTCATCAATTCTATTCTATTTAAGCTTTCGAAACACAACAAATCACAACGAAACATTTCAGCTAATATTCAACACTTGAAAATAACATTTTCAATTCCTATTAATTGCTGACGATTAAGAATATAAGTCAAAACTTGACGGAACATTTATGTAAAAAAAGTGCTTTATTAGCTAAACCACAAGATTGAAATTGATATAAGCATTATACAGAATGAGTGACTTCATTTGAGGAGAATCAAAAAAATATATATATATGCATAGAGTCTGGTTTTGAAATCGATCCTATATTGTAAACTATTCCTTGATATTTACCTAATTGATAGTTTTATCAATGCTCGAGACAATAATATGAGAAATATAGGATAGACGTTAAAATGCTGTCGCACACGTGGTAGAGAATCATCAGGAATTAACTATATTTTACTTGTTGCATGTCACTTGAGACTCAAATACAAAGAAAAGAATTACTCAATATGGATAGTCTCCATGAACAATCGGTAGAAAAACGTTTCACTAACTGATGTTTGATGCTCTGCACAAAAATGAAAAGGTGATAAGCTGCAAATTTTATTTGTATTATTATTAGCATCAAAATCTATTTAAAAAACATCACTAGAAAGTTTATGTCTGTATTACATGTTTTTTCTTCTTGCAACTACGATTGAAAAGAGGAAATTCTTTTATCAAAAATTGAAACTCAACAACACTCGAGGAATACAATTGAAGGGCTTTTCTGCTATGGTACACTACAAAACTGTCTCTTATTTTTGGTTCAACTGAAGAAGGTTCATATTTGGCCATTGAACTCATTAGCGGAGATATGACTCGTAACTATACCCACCTACGATAGACAGTTACAAATAACTACTAGCGATAACTAAGATCATAATAGGAAATTCATTTCATTTTCAAACTAATTTTATTATATTCCTTGACTTTTTTTAAATCCTAGGTCGAACATTCCCGGCCACCGGGTTCCGTAGGATACTCCAGGAAACATGCGGGAAAGTCACCATATGCTGCAGAAAAACACGGGAAATCGCTGGAACATGAAAGCATTATTCCGGTAAAAATACAGTCGGACTTTTCCAGCGGATTCCTAGCCAAGTTCCGGCAGGAATTGACCAGAAAAATGCGAAAATTTTCCAATTGGAATACTGCTTCCACGAAACCAACGGAACTATCCGGAACCGGCCGTACTGTTCAACCTGGGAATTGTTCAATAAATAAATTCTATGAGGTATACAAAGACTTGGGTAAGTTATCACTTAAAAGAGAATCTCGACAAGATATAAATTAATTTTAACATAAATCACATGGATTCTGCTTGATTTTATGTAAACTAGAGAAAGACAAATATAATGAGTGTTTAATTGCATTTTTTTCTCTAGTTATATCTGTTCTAGCAAAGTTATTCTAACGAATATCGTCGATAGTCTTAGATCAACTTTAAAATCGACTTTCACGTTCAAATTTGGTCCCAATCAAATACTTTATAATGCTAGTCCGTTTTAAAATGATTAAATTTTCTAGTATTTCAGATCTTGAAGCAGTAATTTTGAACATACTGTTGGTTTAAAAAAAGCAAAATTTATTTTTAGATTAAATTTCAAACTGAAAGATATCAATTGCAATAGCTTGTAAATATTTTTAAAATAGAACATCATTTTTGAAGACGATCTGAAAAGCATTCGTAGTATTCTATAGAAAAAGTCATGAAACATGCCATAAACTAAGAAGAAACAAGAATGACAACGAGTTTCTTTTTACATACACTATGATCTCAAAAAAAATCTATCAAATGTGAGATGACTAATTTCAAAAAAATGATTTAGTCTTAGACAAAGTTCATTCCCTCAAGTAATTACTAGAAGGGCAAGAAATCGATCTTTATATAAGAATCAATGAAGTAGATTGATAGAGCATTTATTCCAATAAAAAAGAAAAAAAAATCATGCAAGAAGTCAAAGGCAATGGGATTAAGTTAGGAAGAAAATAAATTAGCATAGTGATTGAAATAAACGCAGAGTTCATCAGTGTACTTAAAATTACTCAGCTATAGAAACAAAATCTTGCAACAAATCACTTTTCCCTCCCTCTCTCTCTCTCTCTCATTATATTTTTCATTTAACTGAGACTTTATGTAGAAGTCTAGTTTATTTTTTCTTCGTCTTAAATATCAATAGCAAACAAAAGAGAAAGAATTTCCAATAAATAAATGTCTTGGCTTTATTGCCTAATTAATATTTTCAATTAAATTATCGACTGAGTACACGATCAAATTGAACTCCGCTCAATGTTCCACCTGCCATAGTTTTAGTAACATTTGATCGAAATGTATTAACATTAGTTTTTAACACTTCTGCTGCTTCTTTATTTAATGGATCATCAGGATTGGGCTCCTATTAAATGACAACAATTATAAATTAAACGAAGTTCAAAAGAATCTTACAGAAAAAAGAAAACCCATGCCGAGAATAACGGATAAAATTGTTAATACAGGTTTCCAATCTTCGCTAAAAGACATAAGAATAAAAATTTTCCACGAAAAAGAAATATTTGTGTTACCGAAGAATATTTAAACAAACATTTCCATCAAGATCAATATTTGGATGATAAATCTTTTGTGTACATTTTACTTTAGGTGGCGTATGAGGATATTCAGATTCGATTGTAAACGAAAATATAAATCGACCACCTTTATAAAAGCCCTAAATTATAGAAAAATATGATAAAAACAAATTGTATTTTTGACGTTCTGTTATATATTTACATCGTCAGGTGTGATTGTAAGTGTAAAATGCAGAAGATCGTCTTTATTCGGGTATGTTACTTGACATGTTGGTGGTAATGTACCCAATTCACTTAGATCTGACAAAAAAAAGAATCAAATAAATATTTTTCGAAAGATGATAATGAATAACCTTTTGTAACACGAAGAAGAGCTGCTGATGTCTTTTTTGTACCACCATCACTCGAGGCTCCATCACCTGAACGAGTTTGTTTAATACTGAATATATTTAGCATATCTAAAAAGTAGGTTTGAATGGAAATAAAACAAATGACTTAGAAGTATTTTTAATCGACAGTAGAATTTTGTCATCAACTTTATTCATTCTTTCATTCATGCATCAACAATATATACAGATCTATCATGAATCAATAGGAAAAATAATAATTTAACAGCGACATCTTATTTATAATTCAAACAATTTCTGATTCGGTAGGCCATCTATGTTTTTTAAAATATTTGTATTTATAAGAGCTGTTTGAATATTGTTAACATTTCATGAGTAAAAGAAAAATTATTTAAATTATTCAAGAGATTTTGTGTAGCAAATTATCTAATCACTCTCTCTTTGGCTATGTTCTAACATATATTTTAAAGGAATAGTTCAGAGAATTAGCAGTATTGTAAAATTTCAAAATGATTTCAAAAATAGTTTTAAATGAAATCTGATACTAGAGCAAAATTTTGAACTGTTTCAAATCAGAAATATTTGGCTATTTTTCGTCAGAACTCGACTGGAGTTGACAAAAACAATGAAACTATTATATAAGATAAAGTCACAGAAAAACAACTTGTCATACAATTCTATAAATACAAACAGATTTTGCTAGAACCTATTGATTTCTTGTTGAAAATCCGTAAAAAGATTTGAGATATGTGAAATTTACAAGTTGAATGAAGTACTTGATGTAAAAAAATTAACCAAAGAGTACTATTTAGCAACTTTAAGAGCATCATAATTCATCGAAATCCATTCGTATTGAACGGTGATCATAGAGTAATGCAAAAATTAATGTTTAGACGCTAAGCAGGATTCATGGCAGTAATCTAAACAATAATAGCGCTGAAGTCAATCATATATGAAATGTAAATCAAAAGAAAATTAGGCTGATTTATGTATGTTACATTCTTGTGTGATGCATACTTTTTGCTCTTCAGAAGAATTATAAGAACAAATCTAGAAGATTTTAAAAAATTGATTTTCTCTTAATATTAATCGTTAAAATTCATACTGCAGATTTTGATGTGAAAAGAAGTAGATTTAATTCATTGCTATTATCATAAATAATGTAAGGAATAAATATTATGATTTATATATTTGAGAATACTCAATCCTGATTAAATATATGGTCACTACTCAAAATGAACTCTTAGGAGAGGCATCTAAACAAATACAATTTTTTTGAAATCAGTATTTTTTCTTTTCTTTTATTTAAATGGTAGTGAACTTATATTTATTTTGTATCCAAAGTGTTTGATCGAAAAATGGTAAATTAATCATTGAACACTAATATGGTTTGTTTTTATTTAAAAAAAGAGCCGAAATAAAATTTCATCCACATCTTATTATCGTGATCAACGGTTTCTTTTTTTTCAATGAATTTTTTCGTTATCTAGTTGGTTTATGGGTTGCCATAATAATCTAAGAAAAACTGATGCTATATTTTTGAACTCACCGAATTTTATATAATTTGTCATTCCACACCTATTGACAACACTATTTCATTGACGTCACACAATATACTTGTGTTAATTTTTTAATTTTATTTTTGAAAGTAAATTAAATTGATCTAATCAAAAATGAATAACAGATCGATGAGAAACTTCATTAAGTTTGCAAATGGATTAGTATACAAATGTTTTCAAGTCATTTGAACAGGTCATTTCTAAAAGCTAAGTCTAATAGTACATTATGAATGATTAATTTGATAAGAGCAAAAAACTTGTCATATATTGTAGAACTAATCAATGAATCTGGCTATAAACATGTTGAAAGTAATATGAACTTGCTCGGTCGGTTTCATTGAAAATATTTTTAAATTAAATTCCGCTTAATATTTAACTATTTAGGTAGCTTTTTTATTAATATTAATTTTACGGCACGGAAGAAAACAAGGAAAATGTGACGATATTTATTTCATGAGCACAATCTCTGTACATAAATATGAAATTTGAAGAAAATGAATGCTTTTGGATTTCAAAAAAAAATCTCGAGCCCATAAAGTTGTTAGCTGATTTCTATGAATGAAAGAATGAATAAAGTTGATGACAAAATTCTACTGTCGATTNTCATTGAATTAGTATCAGTCAATATTCATTTTCTTCAAAGTGTTTGCTATTTGATAGAAGAATTGGCCGTTTCAGACGTTTGGCAAACCTCACCGCAGTGGACGAGTTCACGATCAAATGGTAATTCATATCGATACGATGAATTATTCCTGAGAAGGTTTATGTAGAACCCTAAAAGATATTTATCACTCAAAAATAATTAATGCCAGAAAAAATTCTTCCATCGACATAATTCAAGTTTTATATACTTTCATCGCTGCTCAAGAAAACGATGGTACTCGCTCATAAATCTGCCAGGATGTCCTCAGAGCCTCCCAGAGATTTTACATTTTCCCTGGAACTTTTCAGGGGATAGTCGACTAGAGATAAAAAATTATTGAAAAGAATAATTTGGAGAAAAAAAGCATACAATAGCAATAAATCGAAGATAGTGCTGCAAAAATTGTTTCTTATTTGGACAAATTTTTCTACTTTTTTCGAAAAACTTAGCGGAAGATTTTGTAGTTATATCTCATCTTAAGAAATATTCCTGTGTCGTCAATGATTATATTTTTGCATAAGTAAATTTCGTCTTTCAACATCAACCAAATGGCATATCATTTGTTCAAAAATAGTAATAATAATAATTATTATTATTGCTTTTCATCACTCTGCTGATAGCATAAACATTAAGTTATGAAACTATAATGTGCACATATCAGCTAATACACCGGAAATGCAGTCTTTCTAAAATAATAGCAGATCAGAGAAACGAGGTTTGCCTACAATAAATTTGTCTCGTGATGGTGATTCCGTTCGCTTGCTACGACGATATTGAGTTTTTGTCATAAAAATATCAACGATTTTGTTGGATCAAACGTACACTTCATGACTGAATCGAAATTCTCTCGCTTTAGAATAAAAAAATGATTTACCATGTATTTTTGTAAGAGAATCATCCGCACAAACGAGAATTATTTTCTTAATCGACGGCAAAATCTAGATTGCTTATCAAATGTGAAGAACCTACTCTGAACAAGCATATGTGATGTCATCGACTTGAATAAAAATAAAATTTGTTGATATAAACTATTGCAAAGTATAGATGAAGGAAAAACTTTTGACTTAAGCGATTTTGAATAGTATTTCTTTCTTGACGATTTATGAAACGAAATAGATATTTAAAAAAAACATGTCTGTATACTATTGGCAATGCCCTAAAAGTCGATTCGATTCATTTTTTCTCATTTTTTGGTTCCATTTTGACTCGAATCCATAGATATCTACTTGGAAAGATCTTCTCTATTTAGTGTTTTTTCTTGATTTAGTAGCACATAAATAAATTATACAAAAATTTATTCAAATAAACTATGACTCTTGTTCATCATCATTTTCATTTAAATATTTATGCCATTCATCAATTCTTTGTTTTTCTTCTTCTTCTGCTGGTGCAACATCATATTTTGTTGAACCTTAAAGAAATAAAAGAATAGATGATTCAATTTTTAACATAAAATAAAATCTTACCATCCCAAATTTTACATTCAATGACTCTTCCATGCCAAATTCTATCATTCATATATTGACAACATATGTCGGCTTGTTCAATATCTGCAAAACCAACAGTCACAACACCTGCTGGATTTGCCTTTTAAAACAGAATAGAAATCAATATTTATTTAAACGAAATTCAGAAGTGAATAATTACGTCATAAATGTTAATTTTTTTAACTTCGCCATATTCGCTACATGAATCTCGAATTTGATTTCGTAATTTATCAATAAATAATGGATCATTCTAAATAGAAATAGATATATTTTATGATGCATATCAAGCCAAAAGTTTGTCGGAATATAGAACTTGAATAAATCTTTACTAATTTTATTGATCCGCGTATATAGATATATATATATATATATATAAATTTTATTTCGCTCAATACAACTTGGATCCATGTATTTGTTAGGTAATAGGGGATATCGAAGATCTACAATTGCAGAATTAGATCTATCGGCCAAATTTCACAGAAGAAATGGTACATATAAACTTTACTAATGAATTCTCTGGCTTTTCCCCATAAAAGCGATAGTTTAGTAGATTAGAGACCTTCAAAACATTTTAGAATGGTGTGATACGAAACGTTCGTTAAAGTTAATAGTAATCATCACAATCTATAAAATTACGCTAGTTTGGCATTTTTATTTTTACGAAATTTTTCAAATAGAACTTTTAATCATGAGACAAACCGTTCAATAATGAATGTATGGGTATCCGAATTCTGTGAATTTCGAAAATAATCTACATAATAAAGTTGTGAGTATGATCTTCCCTACAATGGCACATGCAACATACGATTTCTAGTAGATGAACTTGGCGATGATGCAGTTACTTTTGCTTAAATTTTTTCTACTGCATTCTTTGGACGACGATATAGAATTTGTAAACAAAATAGAATACTTTCAAAAACAAATTCTTATGCGTTTTTTATTTTTGGAAATATTCGAAAACTGTAAACTTGTATGCTTTGATTTAGTATGTTATTTTTTGCACTGTGGGTTTAAATCAAATTCTAACAAAAGTAACTATAAAAAGGAATGAAATAAAACTATGGAAAGCTCACAAATATTGCTTTAATGATTTATAAACTATTCAGGTTCTTTTTTTGTTTTCGGCTAGCATTTGAAATATTATAAATATAATTACTTTGAACTGATTTAAGTCAAACATATTTTTCATAGCAATTATTCTTTCATGTTTGTGTCTAACAATTTCTGGACGTTCATCCCAATTGAGGAGTTTATCTACTTCAAGTTGTTTTGTTTTTTTATCTATTTTTTTTCTTTTACGTTTTAATTCTGGATTAAATGTTCCTTTAACTTCGAATTTTGCACGTTCAACATGAATTTTCGAGCAGCGAAGTTCCGTGTCATCAAGCATATCAATACATAATTTAACAGATTCAGGCTAAAGTGATAAAAAGATTTATATTAATAGAAGTGAAATTGTTATTAAAATAAAAAATGCTTACTCGTAAATATCGACATCTGCCATCACCTTTTGGATTTCCCTGTTCATCTCTATATAAACGAATTTTTTTCTGTCGTGAATCATTTGGATCTGGTGAAATAATTCCATATTTTGAGAGAAGTTCTTCAAATTCTTCATCGGTTATGTCGAGTGGAAGACCACTTATATAAACATTACAATTTTTTTCATCAGGTACTTCAAACCAACCTAGAAATAAATGAAAAAAAATAAGTATTAAATTAGCTTATTCTCATAGACCAAACGGTCTATAAAACCTCTATAATTGCCTAAGATTTATGAAAATCTTAGAGGAAATAGGCCGTATTCTATTTGTAATAATATGCATACAATGAATCAGAAATAAGATAAAAGCAGTCATTGATGATATTTCTATCGATCAGAAAACACCATTATTAATTTTATACATCATATTCAAGGTAAGCATGCATCATCAAAATTGTGTGTGTAATGATATGAGAGTGATCGAACATAGAATCGAACCATCATCTAATGTCATTAAGAAGTATAAACAGTGTGAACTATTTTTCAGATGATTGCAAATGGAAAATATCGAAATCTAGTAAAATGATTTCTGATTTGCTCAGTCTTTTTTTAAATACAATATAAGAAATGTGTTTGACATATAGAAAATATATTGTAATAATGAGTCAAAATAAAATGTCTAGAGATATTACTCAATACTGTGATATCAATTCAAAGTTGTTGATTGATCTATGTCATGATTAATTTTAACCAGATTGATATCATAACGAATAGATTCTTATCAAAGTTAACGCTGAAAAAATCCAACAGAATAGATATACCCTTAAGATTATGAATACTAAGAAATAACTTATACAGCGAAAAAAAGGGAAGTCAAGTCCATCAATCATTTGCTAATCTAGTTTCAATTAGTGATAATATAGATTCAAATACATAATATATTGTCATTCGAAATTTTAAATGACACAGATACATATTGGATTTGAAAATTTCATTTAGTCAATCTTATGCACATAATTTAAAGTGAGTATTTATGAAAGAAAAAATAGTAAAATCGAACCTTCAGTTGGTTTCTTCTGCACAGTTTGTGTTGCTATTGGAATGATTGTTTTCTTTTCCTTTGATGAAATATCATCATCATCATCTTCTATTCTTGGTTCAATACCTTCATTATCCCAACTGTTTGTTTGTTCATTCCATTTATATTTAATTCTTGTGATATGATCTGTATAAGCATCAACAGTCGATAAAAGTAACCAGTTAAGTTGATCAGTTAGCCACACATATGTTTGTTGTTTTCCTTCTGAATCATTTGTTGAATAAGTACTAACATCAGGTATCCATGTATTATGTTTTTTGGAAAATGTATATTTAATATGATTTGTTTCATCTGTATATGATTGTAATGGAATCCATTGTTGAGTTTCCTTATCTAATTTATATGACATTCCATCACGATTTTGAATATATGTTTGATGATGAACATCGTATCGTATTCCTGATGAAGATTCAAGACCATAATTCATATGATGTTCTACTAAGAATTCTTCAGATACCTTTGAAAATTAAACTTATTGAAAATAAATTCAATTTAGAACAAAAGCAAACTTACTTTTGGAAACCTAAAATTACAATAAATATAGAATCAATAGATAAAAAAAAGAAAAGAAAAATTTATCAAATTTACCATCCTTTCACATTTGGATCCCATTCATAAATAGTTCCATCTGGATCAACTCGTGTTTTAGTTTTCTCGGCTTCATTTTGTAATTTTTTTGTTTTTTCTAAACGAATTTGTCGATCGAATTCATCTTCATCGTCGTCATCGTCATCATACGTAGTCGGACGATTTGCACGTTGATAAACACTATTTCCTTTTTTCCTTTTAGTTGTTATTATTTCATTAATACGTTCTTCATCATCTGATGAACCAGTATCATGTTCAGACATCTGAAAAAAAACAGAAAAAACAATCGAAAATTTATAATTTAAAAAAATTCAATTCAATGGAATGCTGAGAAAAAAATGCAGTTCTTCTTTGGTTTTGATTTTTAAACTAAAGAAATAACACTCGGTGGCACCCAACCGCCCATGGCTTGTTCGATTTCTTGTGCAACAGCTAAAGTTAAATTATCGTGACCACGAGCAGCGACACATTGAATACCTAATGGTAATTGTTTACTATCTAAACCTAGTGGACATTGTGTTGATGGTAAACCCAATGCATTTATAATGCCACAATAAATATAATCAAATGTATTCATTAGAACAGGCCAACCATGTACAGGCGCTGATTGAGGAAATGTTGGAAAAAATAAAACTCCATTATTACCCAATAAAATTTGAATTTCATCATAAAATTTATGTGCTAATTTATGAAAATGTTCATTATATTTATTTGGTACTGCTTCTAATATAGCAAGGCCAATAGCTGGTAATGTATGTGTAGAACGAAATAAAAATTTTCTTAATAATTCATGATAACCATTTAAATATGATGTCCGGTTACAAAGTGTCAAAGAAAAGTCACGTGTTGACATTTGCCCATCGACCATCATTGCTGACCACAAAGAAACAGCATAACGAAGCCGATTTAAACGTAAACGTGTTACATGAACTTTATATTTATTTTCGAAATGTTCAACAACCTAGCAAGCGTAAAAATTCATACAGATCAATTTATTTATTCTAAACGAAAAAAAACATTTTACTCGTCGATGAGCTAATTGTTGATCTCTTTCCACTTTATTAACAAAATAAGCATCGATTTCATCAATATAGAAGTACCGTAATTTACTTAAATCAACCTAAAAACAATTAAAAATTACAATGAGTGTTTCTTCTTTTGTTGATTTCTAGAAAAACTAAATTCAGTAGACATCAATTTACTACGTTAAATATAAATCCTTTCGTATTAGCCTACGATATATACATAAACAATTTTCTTCAGAAAGAAGTAAGAACAAGAAGACAAGAGATAATGATGTTAAAATCCGTCGAAAATGAAAATATTCAGAATATTTGACATACGCATGTGTATTTCCGCTATATGTGATGAATTGTTTATCATATCATCAGTTATTCATGTCTATGGACCTGTTAGATAACTTTGATTTATCTCTTTATTTTATTAAACAGTAAATCTATAAAACTGACGAAAATCAAACTTCACTGAAAGTGAAAAACTAGAATTCTTAGTTCCTATATTAGTCTCGTGCAAAATATATCTCGATGTGCATTGGTTTAATCGAACTATGAAAATGCTCTTAATTATTTATTTTTTGTCTTTAGTTTATATCAGATTAGTAGCTTCTTTTTCCTTTTTATGATACTACATGGTTATGGAAATGCATCAATATATTAAATACAAACTATTTAGACTTTATACACGAATTGGTAAAAAGTATTGAAAACGACTCTAAAAGATGTCAATACTTCTTTGTTGTCATCGATAAGATAATATCTATTTTTATTTCGTACTAGCTGACCGTTGACTTTAGTTTTTCAGTTTCGTGATGAATCAAAAAGCTTGACCTGAAAGTTACATAGAAGTATTTAAAGAATTTTTTCTTGAGAATTTGATAGAATAATGTTGACTTCCAAACCTTATGTGATATGTATTGGAATTGACTAAAAATCGTATAACTACTTACTGGAACATCAATATGTAGTAGTTTTTCGATGTTTTTTGAACCAGCCAAAATTTTAAGCATTGGCTGTAAATCACAAGCATAGCGACACATTGGTCCTGTAGATAATAAATATTTTTGATGAAAGTCTTTATGTGGAGGATATTGACCATCATTCGGTACTATATCTATTGTTGAAAAAAAAAATTATTTTTCTTCATAAATAACCAAAATTTTTTTTTTATACCAGGTGTTGTTTTATGACCAAATATTCCATTCATAAATGAAGGTAAACGAATACTTCCTCCAATATCTGCTCCAATTGCAATTGGAACGCCAACTGCTGAAACGATGCAACCTGCTCCACCTGAACTACCACCCACAATTCGTGTTAAATCATATGGATTATTGGTCGTTCCATAAAGAGCATTTCGACTGAAAAATGAAGAAGAAAATTATTCTTTCGAGTATAATCTATGAATAAACTTACGATTCAAACCACATACATCCTTCACTCACGTTTGTATTACATAAAAGAATGGCACCTGCTTTTAACATGTGCGCTACTGGTGTTGCTGTTCGTGTTGATATGAAATCTTTTCTTGCGACAATCCCTGTTGAATTATGAAAGCCCTGAAATTCCATTGATTCCTTAATAGCAAATGGTACACCAAGAAACGGAGCATGTTCTTCGGTCCATTCATGTGGTAATGATCGTTGTCCCTTTGATACAGCATCTAAAATACGATCGATTTCTTTTGCTTCAGCTAATGCTTCTGAAAATCGTTCATCAATGTAAACATTTAAATATGGTTGGATAGCTCGTGTTCGTTCAATATATAGACGAACAACTTCATAAGCTGTTATCTGAAAAAAAACAAGAAAATATTATACTAAACTATAGTTTTGACATGAACTTACTTGTCTTTGGCGAATTCGTTTCGCAATCACAGTTGCTGGCAATAGTAAAATTTGATTTGTAATAGCTGGTAAACGAAATTTTTGATTTCCATATATTAGACGAAAACCAAGATGAATCCATATTGAAAAAAAACAACGAATTAACCAGAGTATAAATGATATAATTTGTAGTGCTTTCGCCATTTGATAAAATTTTCAAAGAAGAATGAATAAATGAACAAAAATATGTTAGAAACGAGTAAGGAAAGAAAATGAATGCTATTGGTCAATTTGTTTTAACCAATCTCAAACAAGCTGAAAGTTCTGGTTCGATAATTTCCTGTGTAAGTTAATAATATATCATACTCCTACTAGTGATATATGAAAAGGTGACGAAAAAAAAGCTGTGCTATAATAAAAATCTTGTTCGATAACTCGTTAACAAAAAAAAAGAACCTGTAGAGGGAGGACATATTTGATTTCTCAATTACTAGTTACTTCAATTTTAAATAATTCGAATGTCTAAGCTTTGTTATAAACTTTAATCCGGTAGATCTTACAATTTGAATGCAATCTATTCTACAATAACTTATTCATTTTTTTCTGCTAGTACATAAAACAATTGGTGTTCGATTACTTTGCGCTAATAGATTGATAAAGATTATTGGATAGAATTCTTCATCTTATCAATATTATGAAAACCGAATTAAATAATCGAAATTTCATAACAGGTTTTATTATACAAAAATGATGATATGAACACTATCTAGAATGCAATGTACAAGAATATATTAAGGACGAAACATACTGTTACTGTACTAAATAAAATATATCTATGAAATACAATGTCACACTATATCCTTCAATTTCAGATCAATTTTATAAGCTCGTAATCAATCATAATTGATCAAAAGAATTCAATTAATTTTTTTTATGAATCTTCCCAACAACATACATCACATCTTTCTTTATTATAAGAATATTGAATCGCTTCCTATCATGACATTGTACTATTCAATTGATGAAGCTCCAAATATTTGACGAATAATACATCGTATTTCAATTCGATCCTTCCCTAAAATGAGGGAGTTCTTTTTGGTTTTTTTACAAAAAAAATCAGTATCTATTCAATGTTTATGATTATGAGAACATGTTTTTATTTGAGTGATTTCGAATGCACGACCGAAATAGACATCAATCGAGATGCTTTATGCTTGTCTGCAATTAATAGGAGAAAATAAGATTCTTATCGTTGTTTAAGAACAATATTAACATTTCTCAGAAGTCTCAACTGACCAATGATAAACGATGACAACTAAAGAGAGAACTTCAGAAAAAAATACTCATTTAAATGAAGTACGGTTGATTCAATATAATCGAAGAGAAATGTTTGCCTATTGTTTACCTAATCGCACTGGGAATTAGGGCAATTCATTTTACTGTATTGCGATTTTATAGTTGTTGGTTATAACTGTCTATTAAAATCATCAAACTATGTAAAACTATGTAGTATACAGAGTTAACAGAAAGAATAATAAGAGAGACTAGTTTTGACAGGGAAATCGTTAAACGTTGATGAAGAAAATTTTCCATGAATAAACATAGAGATCATAGAAGAGACGTGTATATGTTCTGATGAAAATAGAGAAATCGTGCACGACTATCAAGGAAAATAATTAAAGTTATCTTTCGTCAAACTCATGATGCACTTTAATTCTAGAAAGATCTCTAACTTGTATGATATCAATAGCAGACAGATGCTCGAGTGTATCAATAGTCGCATAATTGTTTAAATGTCTGGCAAAATATATTTCGACATAGCCTATAGTATCACTTATATTGTACATATAACTATCGAAAAAATAGAGTCAAATTTTAGTACAAATTCATGGTGAACATATGCTTAAGTCTAGACAAATATTTTATTCAAATGCAATAATTTATTTCAATATTCATATTTCATATTTCATAATCGATATAAAAGCAAAGATTTCAAAATATCTATTCTAGTATAGACTGATAAGATGAAATTAGTATATCGTACGTTTTTGGTTAGAATGTCGTACAAAATGACGTAGATGTATGAAACTTCATGGCACAATTATATTGCTGACAAAAAATATCCTCATGTACTTTTTTTTAATATTTTCTACAACATGACATATAAGAACGATCCTAGATATGATAAAAAATATCACCACTGACGATGACGTTGAAAAGTTAAACAACTCTATAAATGCATAAGAGAAATCTACACGTCACAATAATGTTTTAAGGATGATATTGATTGCTCTGCAAATGAAAACATGCGAATATATACCAAGTAATTTTTCACTGGGCATATCAACGTTAATATGTGAAGCATTCTTTATGAATCTAACAAAATAGAATCAATATAACTTTTAGTTTATTTAAATAATTTTTTGATTTAATACATTGAAAATCTTCTTCATTGATAATACTTTGATAAAAATAAATCGCAGAAAACTACTATATGCAGTTTATCCTTTTAACGTACGACATAGAAACATGTTTTCGTAAACCATTCGATCATATCTCAAATCCACCATTTATGTTGATAATTGATAAGTGTTTATCAATGAGAGTCAAACGCATCTGGTGACAGGCGTTTTCTGTTATCAAATTTTGCTTATTAAAAGGTAACCATATTGTATTTTTGAGTTTACACGAACGTTAAAACATTACTGACAATGAAAGAAATTTCGCTAGTTTGTCTTTCAATCCTTGCCATATGCTGGAGCAATGTGGCTGGTTTTAATTTAACAGAACATCATTTGACTATTGAAGAACTGGCTCTTGATGCGCATTTTGTTGAAGAATATGCCAAATGGTCACTCGAACTTTTTTCTCAGCCAGACTATTTATACGGTCCACCTTCACAACCTTTCCCTTGTACAACAGAGGCTATGCAAAGTTCTGAAATTCCCACATCGGTTCATGCTCTACGACCCGGTGATATTCAATGTGTTGCAGCCTTGGGCGACAGTTTAACAGCAGGCATGGGTGCTCACGCTATTACTCCAGTCGGTGTTCTTTTAGAGAATAGAGGTAGCCTTTATTTATTTATTTTTTCTGAAATTCATTATTATCTTGTTGCTTCTAGGTGTTTCCTGGTCTATCGGTGGTGATCATACCTACGAGAAAGTAGTCACATTACCGAATATTCTTCGTCTTTACAATCCAAAATTAAAAGGCTTTTCAACGAAAACTTCAATATCATTTCTGAATGGTCAAAATGCAAAAAATAACGGACTCAATGTTGGTGAGTATACTTTCTTAATATTACTATTACTGTGTCATATTGAATTATCGTCACTCATATTTCAGCCAAATCGGGTGCTCGTTCTTATCATATGGTTGAACAAGCTGATCTTCTCTTAGATCGTTTAAAGAATGAGAAACTATGCGATTGGAACAATGACTGGAAACTTATTACATTCTTTATTGGAGTATGTTTTCTGTTTTTATTTGCTAAAATTTAAACTCTTGATACATGTAGGGAAATGATTTGTGCGATTTCTGTACGGATTTAACTAAACATGATCCAGCCAATTTTGTTGGATGGATTCGTGATACACTCGACCGATTGTATAATGCTAATCTACCCCGTACATTAGTAAATCTTGTACTCGTTCTTGACGTTCGTTCTGTCAAAGAACTTAAAGATGGCAATTTTATTTGTGGACTTCTTCACAAATATTTATGTCCATGTGCAGCATATCCTACAGAAGAACAAGAAAAAATATTAGCTGCATGGATTCCTCAATATCAACAAGGTCTTATCGATCTAGTGAATACAGGTCGCTATGATGGCCGTGAAGATTTCACTGTCGTTGTTCAACCATTCTTGACACACACTCAGCCTCCTCGAAAAGCCGACAAAGACAACAAAATCGATTTCAGCTATTTTGCTCCTGATTGCTTTCATTTTAGCGGTAAATTTGACTTTTCAATCTAATTCATGCATAGTTTTGCCCCATTTTAGGCAAAGGTCATTCAGTCGCGAGTTTGTCAATTTGGAATAATATGTTAGAACCGGTTGGCACGAAAAAATCTTCATGGCACAAAGATGAATCGTTCGAATGTCCTACACAGGATCATCCTTTTATCTATACATCGAAAAATTCGGTTTAAATATAGAAACGTCCTTAACATTCAACACCAATATCTGTCTTATTTTTCAAAATTTTATTGTAACTTTAAGACAGAATAAATCAAATCACTATATACTGTTGAATCGCATTTGTTAGAAAATATCAAAAAGTCAAGAGATATCGATTGATTTCAACGGAATCTAATGTGTTATTTACTCAGAGCGTCGAAAAAAACACTGAAAAACCTAACGCATAAGTGATAACGTACTTTTAAAGTTAAAGAATTAGAATTTCTTATCGAAATCTTTATGCCAATAAAGTTATACGAGAAACAAAATTCCTATTGAGATAATCAATTATTGTTGACAAGAAAAACAAATCCATATTCGTATAGAGATCTTAATTAATATGATGGATTGTAACTGTATAGAATTTAATTTCATCAAATTTCACTGGCATACCTATTTGAAGACTGATAATATGACAAAACCTATGGCGTACTATCAACTATGCTTTTATCAATCATCGCTCTCGATTTACGAGAGAATGGGATAGACGTGACCCGCCCACGTTGTCATTGTTGCTAAGAAAACTGCCGATACAGTTAGATTTCTGAAAAACCTGGAAGATATTGTAGATTTCTTATTGATTTATTCAGAATATAAACCATCTGCAAAAATTTGGAAATACGGTACACCAAAATAATGTTAGATTTACCCTCTGATCTAGACTCTGAAAAACAACGGAGAGACTTTGTTATACGTCATATATGAGGATACTCGTTTTTAAAGATGAAGCGGTTCCGACTTTGCAACACCATAAATTACTTAATAGATGTTAGAATGTCTCGAACAAGCTACTTAGCTAAGTAATTTGGTCGGTCTATTGAAGGGCAAAGTGGCATGAAGTGTGTGGCAGTGTCAATTCAATTTTACATCTAACACCAACAAGGTAACGCGACTTTAGCGTCGCCAACCCTCTTCTGAAAGGATTTAGTCATGTAGAACGTAGCTATTCTGAACTATCTAGCTAACAGACTTCACATTATCTATTACTGTCAGTGCCAAATTTTAAAAAAATCGTTTTTATCTACTGTACATACTTCTTTATTTAACTCGTAACAAAGGAAAAGACTATTTTATTGATTTGAACTATTAAGCATCTATTCAGTTTTAAACAAAAAAGTGAACAAAGTTGTCATCTATTTACATCTAATCATTTTTTATGAGAAAAGTCTTTAATGGTTGCTTGCTTGACTCCTTTTGAGTCGATGAAAAGTTGAGTAGTTGTGAATCCAATTGAGAAATAAGTGTATGTAATTGCGGTTGTTAAGTTGCAGCAAAAATATGTAGTCACCGAACCATGTACATTGCTTCGATGAGTTTAGGTGGTGCTTCAGTTGGCATGTCGTCATCTTCGTTGTTATCTGTCATATCATTTTTCGTTCAATATCTCGCTAACCATTCTCAGAGCTAAACTTCAGAGACTTGTTAGTGCGCACTCGAGAAACAAAACGAGAACTATATATTTCATTTATATACTATATTATTCATATGCATCACAAAAAATGAACTCCCCAATTGTTTCTGATGAAATGAAAGTACAAGCAAAATTTCTGAGGATGTCACTGTGATTCTTCGTTTCGTTCACATCTATGCGTCAATGTATACATTACGATTCTCCCTTTTCAATACAAAGATTAGTTTTTTGGGTCGAAAATATGGAATTATCTGTTGTGGAACAAGAAACGGTGAATTTTTTGTTCCACTTTATTATTAATATCTGCATTGAACATAAACGAGAATATAAATGATTCATCCTATCATATATTATGTAGGAAAAAAATAGACAGAATCAAAACTACTATTTCTAAATAAAGGTCACATCAATAAAATGGGGTTGCAAACATGAATAATGATGTCATAGAATGAATAACTAAACATGTTGGAATATCATTGGTTCCTAGCTGACAACAGAAACATCATTAAAAACAATATGTTTCAATATTGAGACTCGGCATAGATTTGAAAACAACAAAAAGTCGTCTTATAATCTAGACAAGTGATCGATTTCCTTTCACCTCAGAAGATTTTCAAAAAAAGAGATCATTGCTGTATGATTCATACGAGGTATCTCGTTGTGTACAATAAAATTCGTAAAGCTTGAGTCAACTTTCATATCTTTCGTATGCAAATACTTCAATATATTAAACATATAACATTTTGTGCTAGTTCGACCAAGTTTGCTTTTTTCTTTAGAAACAAAATTCCGAATCTAGATACATACGTTGTGATTGAACTGGAATAAATACGACAGAGAATTTATCAATTAAGATTCATGATCATTTTTTTTCATAGAAGATTTCAATTCTAATGTCTGTAAGCAATGGTTAATAAAAAAATAAAAACTTACTGAACTTTAATTTAAAATAACTGTTTCTTATCTTTTCTTTTTGAAATATTCTTCATCAATAATTATGATGAGAAGTTTACTCAGACATATCAACTGTTTTCAATCACATAAGGCGATGCAAAACTATTTTAATTTCGAGTATTTCAGTATCTGTACAAATAATTCTTATTATTTATTCAAAATAGTACAAGAAAATAAAAAATGAACCGTTTTTAAAGGCAAAACAAAATCGGAGTAGAAATAAGAATATGATAATTCGATGATCGAGTATTTGCCTAGAATACTTTTGATCGATATTTTAATTGAAAAGAGCCTGAATTTTTCAATGAACAACAAACTCTTCCTATTTCTTCCTATGGAACATTTTTTTAAAACTGAACTCGTGTGATAATTTAGAATTGTCCTATGCAATATTGAGTTCTGATTTCAGTTGTTTTATTTTAAAATTTTATGCATATTTCGATGAGATAACAAAACGCTCTTGATAATACTGTTTTGAATATTACTAATACCATTTGTTTTTCATAGATACGATTACTAAAAGTAAGAACTGCTCTTCGACTCGTTTGAAAAAAAACATTGAGGAGGTCTTTCGCATCATTGGGTCACCGCTGTCACATTTATCTTAATCGATACTAAATGATAAACAAAATTTTCTTCTGCCCCCGCCGTCATCTTCTTCAATACTTGTATTTATGACGTATTCAATAATGCACCAGCTGTTACTGCATTATTACATTAGCAAGAAAAAAAATGAATGAAGTTTTTTTTTCGATAGGGCTTCAGTGCCATTGTCGTCGTTCCTTTTGATATCGCCAATTCTTCTTTGGACGGCAAAAACATTTCATAGAAATATAATATACTCTTTTAACATTATATTTTTTTCGTGCATTTTCTAATTAAAAAATGTTAAAAGTAACTGTACACAATGCCGAACGTATTCCTAACGTGGAACGATTTACCAATGTTGATCCAATGGTTACCATTATTTTTCAAGGTACGTACATGTATGACCTTTGCCATCACTCATTCAGTATGTGGGAGTTAATAGTCATATAAATATAATAGTAAATTATTTATCATTGATAAAATAAAACAAATATGGACAATGTTAATGTTACAAATAGAGATGGAGTTTTTCAAATTATTGTACACAATGTTGAAAATGTACCTTCGCCAGAAAGATTTCGAGGATCCCCAGATCCTTATGTTAATGTTTTCTATCATGGTAGTTTCATGATTAGCTTCTTTTCTTTATTATTATTTTAATATTATTTTGTTTTTCTCAAACTTATTCTTATTTTTAATGATAGGTATTAAAAAACAGACGAATTGGCAACGATCAACATGCGATCCAAAATGGGAAGAAGTAGATGAAATTTTTTGTTTTTTTATTTGAAATTCTATTTTTGATGTTAATTTAGACACTCGATTTTCCTCTTAATGGTATTCCTATTCAGAGTACGGACACACTTGAAATTCAACTTAAAGATCATGAAACGATTGGAGCTAATAAGTATACTTTTAATTACCTTTTCAAATGTTTAAGTCGTTCAACATTATTTTTGTATTTTAGGCTCATCGGACAAGCTTCACTACCATTGAATGATCTCATTCGTGCTGGTACGATAAAACGACGAGTTGTTCAATTAACGAATCCTCAAGGTGTTCTTCTTGAAGCAGTATGTTATAAATAGATTTCCGATTTCATAGAGTTATCTCTTATTTTAATAGACGAAATTATATACTACATTGGAATATATTCCACCGAATGATAGTGAAAAATCAGCAGCAAATTTTAGACATGGTAAACTTTGTTTTTTTTAGTTTATTTGAAATGTACTTTGTTTTAAGGTGATTCTAATCAATTTGATGACGTACTTCTACAAAATGGCGGTGATAATACATGGCAAGCAGACATTGAAGGTGATCAAGGTTTAAGACGACCAAATAAAGCAAGATCAACAAAGTCACAAGATTTTCAAGTTAATTATACTCTTGTTTTTTTTAATTCGTTTGAAATAATTAGCTTTTAGGTTCGAATAAAAATCTTTCAAGCTCGTCAATTAGATGGAAGTAATTTACATCCTGTTTGTCGTGTACGAGTATTTAGCACTGTAAAACAAACAAAAATTCAAAAAGGAACCAATCAACCATACTTTAATGAAATCTTTTTTTTTAATATAAATATGTCTGAAGCAGAATTATGTGATGAAATGGTTGAATTTGAAGTTTGCAATTCCAGAACACTTAGAGCTGACATGAAAATCGGTACATTTAAAATGGATATTGGTTATATTTATTCTCAAGCAAAACATTCAATTAATCGAAAATGGTTATTATTAAGTGATGAAGATGATCGAATGGCTGGCGCTAAAGGATATCTTAAAGTGTCTGTTAATATATTAGGTCCAGGTGATGAAGCACCTGTAAGAATTTCAATGTAAATGAGCTTTGAATTCGATATTAATGCATTTTAGGCAAAAGATAATGCTGCTGATGAAGATGATATCGAAAGTAATTTATTAAAGCCAGCTGGTCTTATGCTTCGCCCGGCAACATTTGTTTTAAAAGTATACAAAGCAGACGATTTACCAAGAAGTTTGTTTTGAAAAAAAAAAACAGAAAGATTTTTGTTTCACTATGAGAACATTGTTTTTCTTTGTTCTTTAGTGGATAGTGCATTTTTACATGGAGTTAAAAAAATCTTTCATGCAACAGAAGATATTAAAGAATTAATTGATCCTTACATAAATTTTTCATTTGCTGGACAACAAGTACTCTTACTGAAAATGATTAACTAATACATTTTATTTTATTTTATTTTAAATTCATCAAGGTTTCAACAAAAATTGTTTATACATGTTCACATCCAGACTTTAATCAAGAACTTCGACTCGGGCTTAAAGTAAACAATCTATTTGAATCATAGCATTTGGTTTATATTTAAATTTAAATTTAGTTTCCATCAATGTGTGACAAAATAATGTTAACCGTTATGGATTGGTAAGAAATGAAGTTTTGATTTCTCTTCTTTTTTTTGGTTTTTTGAAACCATAAGACATTTGAAAAGTGATTCATAATGAAAACTAAAATATGCAGGGATCGCCTACAATTCGATGATGTTACATGCTCAGCAATACTTCTTATGAACCGTTTATGTGATGATCGAGAAAATGGTATTAATCATATATGTCAATAGCTTTTTATTTTTATTGCACATATTTATTTTGAAAAAGAAAAAAAAAGATTTTATGGGACCAGATATAATTATATATGAAAATAAGTTTTATTTTTCAAGGGACAAATTATCAGCAGATGATATGGTTGCAACAAGTTTGCTTCATCTTATTCAAATAAGTCAATTAAGTGACAGGGGTATTTAAAATAATATTAGATTTGCTTTCTAGAAATAAATCTAGTTAGTCTCGAATAGTTTTAGCTATTTGCAAAATGGTATGAGTATATACTAAAAAGCAATAATTAATGGCTATTTCTATAATAATAGCTTGAAAGTATTTTCAGATCAGACTGCTACTAGATAATATTTTCATGTCAATCTATAAATTGAATCAGAGAATTTTCTAAGAATATCTTTTGCTTTTCGAAAATGTCAGTAGAAAACAATTAAATATATTCGTACACTTGCTTTTGTTATGAACTTACTTCTTGGAGAAAAATCACAATTATTAGATTAGTAATACTAGTTGACAAAAAAGTGTAAAAAGAAATCATTTCAATTGTTGTTTATGATTTGGCCACACAAGTTGGTTATGAATTGATTTTTAGAAATTTTTCATATTCTCATCATTTAGTCAGAGTCAAAAATAAATGAGATGAAGTCATGTTAGATAGTTCGAAAATATTCCCATACGAATTGTAATAGAACTATTCTGTAGAAATCTATTTTATATTTATGGTAACGGGCTTTTATATATTTTATTAACTATTTTGCTTTGGTGGTAAAGGGATCGGCTAACATACAGTGATATAGTTGGTGTTGGGTTTCTTGATACATTTACTAAAGATAAAGGTAGAAATTGAAATGAATTTCATAATAATTATTATGATTTTCAAAGGTTTCCTTCCAACGTTTGGTCCATGTTGGATTAATTTATATGGTGCACCACGTGAATACTCTGAAATTCCAACAGTATTAGATGAATTGAATAGTGGAAAAGTAAAATGAGACAATATTCCATTTGTATTTTTATAAATTTTTTTTTCTTCAAATAAGGGCGAAGGTGTTGCTTATCGTGGTCGAATATTTGTTGAATTACAAACAATTCTCGGTGAAACTCCAACAGATCCTATTGGCGAGATTTCAAATTCCGATTTAATCCGTGCATTACCATATCAATCACGAAAAAAATATAAATTACATGCGGCATTTCTCGATGCTTGTATGTTATATGAACATGAATCAACAGTTGAATTTGAAATCAGTATTGGAAATTATGGAAATAAATTTGATGATCTTGTTGGTAATGCAAGTTCTTCAACAACACCACCAACTAATCCTGTTTTTGATGGAACATGCTATTATTTTTTACCATGGGGTCATACTAAACCATGTGTACAAGTGGCTAGCGAATGGGAAGATATTACTTTTCGTTTGGAAGCTATGAATCAATTATCGAAAATTAAATTATTTATTGTATGTTAATTGATTAGTATTCATATACAAAAAGTTTAATTTTTCTTTTTACTTATTTTTAGACAGGTCTCGTATCAACATTAGATTTATTAAAAATTAAACAAACATCAGATGAAGTTCTTGTTCGACATTATAAACAATCTCTTGATATGGTTATAGCACATTTAAAGTAAATTTGACTGAAGATAAAAAAAAGAAAATTATCGTTTTTTCCTATTTAATTTAATTGTTTCAATAGAAAACCATTACCTGAGCCAGAGCCAGGTCGTCATCATGTTAATGAACTTGATCGTTTACGACGTCAAATGCGTATAAAAGATGTGACAGATATGATTAATAGATTGGAACAATTAAAATTGCACGCTAAGAAGCCACAAGAAATTATTCATACATTGGAGGATATTAAAGAAAATATTGAATTTCTTGAAGTTGAAGTAAGTACAGAAAATTTTATTTTTGAATATAATCAAATCAAGATTGAAATTTTTGTAGCCACAAAATAGTATTCCTGATGTGATTATATGGTTATTGTCAAATGGTAAACGTTATGCATATTATCGTTTACCAGCCAACGAAGTATTTTACTCATCACATGTTGATCGTCGTGGTCGTCTCTGTGGGAAAGTTCAAACAATAACATTAAAATGGCCAGGAAAAGAATCAGATATTGGAAAAGATAAAAAAAATTTTCTTCCAGCCGAAATTCGAGTGAAAATTTGGTTAGGTTTAGCGATACATGAACAAGATTGGTTATCGCAACAGAAAGGTGCTGATTTAGCTATCTATGCAGAAACTTATGAAAATCAATCAAATGTACTTGGACAATGGACCACTGGTGGACCATTAATGAGTCGACCAGCATGGTCAGATGTTACAGGAAATGTAAAATGCATTGATGATGGTGATTTTTTTCTCCTTTTATTCAATGATGTTACTTTTAGATAAGTTTACTGAAAACAAATTTTCAAATACCTTCTGGATGGCGATGGGAAGGTGATTGGTATATAAGTCCAGAATTAAGGTAAAGAAGTCGATGGCAAATCAAAATATAAATTAGCTTTTGTAATTCTACCTTCATGATATTTTTCTCGCAAATAATATTGAATTGATCGCTTTTTAGAAATTAGAGCAGCGAGAAATTTTATTGTTTCATCTAAAGATATGTTTCTGTAATCATATATAATCTATTCTAATAGAAGTTTCCAATTAAAATCTCGAAACCTATAGCTAATATTTACACTGAAAATAATTAGTAGTGAGAAAAAAATCAATCAACGAAATTTCATTATGCAGTAATTAGAAAGACTAATTTGGATCTGCGCCGAAAAGACATAACGTGGAAATAAACAAAAATATGTTAATGAATCTGATTTAATAATTGTTTATTGTTCTTCTTAGTGCTCGATATGCAGATGATGCTGGACATCGAAAATTTACTGAAGAAGTTTATGAACATCAATGCCGTCTTATTGCTGGAGCTCAATGGCAACCGAAAACAGTTGCTTGGACAGATTTAGTAAGAAACAAACTATTAGTAGACGTTTAATATGAATTTTCTTTTGTCTGAAAAGGCTGGTGATAAAGTTCCAAGTAAAGATGAACGCAAAAATCCACCATCAGGATGGGCATGGGAAGATGAATGGACAATTGATGCAAATAGAGCTGTTGATGAAGAAGGTGAACATCGTCTGATAAGATTTGTATAAATAATTCTTTGTTTTTGTTGATTTATTTAGGTTTTGAATATTGCGTTAATCAAACTCTTGGTGGATGGTGTCCAACGGAAAAAGTATTTCATTTAAGTCGACGACGACGTTGGTATCGAACTCGAATTATTCAAGGAGAAAAGACGCCTGACAATAAAAAGGTAATTAGCCTAATCTTTCTGTTCTTTTTTCGTTCCTTTCCATTAAAATAAATGTATCTTCAGGAACATTCGCGTTTACTTTCTACATCTAACGAAAGTGCACCTCTACTAATATCATTCGATGAAACTGACGTGGGTTTTAGAGATCCTTTAGGTTTAGCTCTAGAAAAATTCCTCATTTGGTTGAGTTTTTTGAGATTGATAAATAATTTTGCCGTTTCTTTTTTGTTTTTCATAGAAAAAAGAAGTTCGTGATAGTCTAAAACAGGAAGGATGGGAATATGCTCCAATGTTTAATATGAAATTTCATGCTGATGAACGTAGTATGGATATGACGCGTCGTCGACGATGGCATCGAAAAATGGTTCCATCAGCTGAACAAAATTTTAGTAGTGCAACTGGAGGACCCGTATCAAATACAGATGTTGTGTTTCGAGTACAATCTCAAGTTCCATCTATAGCTGATTCACCTTCAAAGGCTGATCAACAACAATCAGATTCACCGGCGACAACAACAACAACTAAAGAATATAAAATTGAATTGAATGCACCAAGAATGTTTCTTAGCTTTAAAAGTAAATTTTAGTCGCTACTTTAAAGAACAGAATGTTTTTAAATTTATTATTTTACTTTCTAGAAGCATATTATTATGAACTTCGTGCATATATTTATCAAGCAAGAAATCTTCTTTCAATGGATAATGATAGTTTTTCAGATCCGTATGCTCAAATTGGTTTCATTAATCAAAGTCAACGCACTGATATTATTCAAAGAACATTATGTCCAACTTGGGATCAAGTAAATGTTATTTATTTTTTCAGTTTTTCTTCATTTAACAGTTCTATTTTTTAGTCATTAATTTTTTCAACAGTGGAACTCTATGGTGAACCAGATGAAATTCATCATAATCCACCAAATATTCTAATTGAATTATTTGACAAAGATCAATATGTAATTAAAAATACAAACAGAAAGAACTTTGTGAAACACGATCTAAAAGAATTGTTGAATTTTATAGGGTTATATAGTTCTAGTCCCATTTCTACAGATCGTGCTAGTCTTGTTGGATATATTATTCTAGATCACGTATCAATAATGTCCTAATATGAAATACTTCTGTATTGAGTTTGTCGAGAATAAAATAAAACAATGTTGAAGAAATACATTTCAACGTAGATAGGATATAAAACAATTGTTTTTGTGATCTGCAAAAGGAGTTGCTTCGTGTTTCACATCTTAAGATTTATTAAATTTGTAACTGTAAATAAATGTTTTTATTTTTAAAGGGAGCGCCAGATTTTCTTGGTCGTGTTCAATGTTCACCAATTGTTCGTTTAGTGCCTGATGAAGCAAAGCCAACAATTAAATTAAAATGGTTTCCAATTAATAGAGGAAAAGACGATGCAGGAGAATTATTAGCTGCGTTTGAACTTTTTCTGGTAAATTATTTTTTTCAAAACAAAAAACAATGCAAAAGAAAGAAAATCGATTTTGTTTTAGTTACCAGAAACTGATAGCGAGAAAAAGATGCCTCCACATCCACCAAAACGTGGCTCTCTATTTATTGTACCACAAGAAATTCGACCTCAACTTGTACGAACTGGCATTGAGGTTTGTTTTCGAAATAGTAAAAAAGAGAATCAGTATTTTTAAAAAAAATCCTTTTAGATTCTTTGTTGGGGTATCAGAAATATGAAAACATTTATGTTATCAGATGTTGATTCTCCACAAGTTGTTTTTGAAGTTGGTGGTCATGAAATTGAATCAACTATTATTAAAAGTGCGAAGAAAACACCAAATTTTGATAAGCCATTATTATTTCTTGATGTTGTATGTACAAGATTTTTTTTCCTATTAGCAAAATGTCATTTTATTCTTTTTTTGTTTTCTTTCAATGTAATTAGATGTTACCAAAAGAGGATCTTTATGCGCCACCAATGAATATTAAGGTAAAAGATCATCGATCATTTGGAAGAAAGCCCATTGTTGGTTTTCATGTTATTAAATCTCTTGAATTATTTCGATGTGATCCAACCGCACCATCGTTAACTCTTATGCAAGCAGCTAGTAAGATACAATTATTCAATTTTATTTCTTCATTTACTGATTCATTTTATTTTTTCTTCTTCATTTAACCAAAAGGTGTAACATCACCTTTGACTTCTCCAGTTGAAGAATATTCTGTTACAACAGATAAAAAATCTAAGAAGAATCGTAAACAAAAAGTATTCTTTATTTTCCGTACAATATAATATATGCTACAATTATAATTCTTTAATCTAGGGACCCATTTCACCGAAACCAACAAGTCTAGCTGATGGTACAGTTGCAACAACAACGGTTGCATTGACAACAAATGAAATGGAGGCAACAACAGTTGATAAGAAGGCAATGAGAAAACGAGTGAAACATTTTTTGAAGAAACAGAAATCAACGAGTGGAACACCAATGAAACCAGAATCGAAACTAACAAAAATTCAAAAAACAATGGCGATCAAACATCATCAACAATATCAAAGTGTTCCACTTATTGAAGCGGTTTGTTTCAACTCATTTTTCTATATCAAAATGTGACAGGGAACTTTAGTCAGAGAACACAAAAATATTCTAGTTTCTCGTTCTTCCTTTTCTTGTTAATTTTCAACCGCAACTGTATCTGTCACCTTATTCTCATGCTTACTTTGTTTCTAAAACTAGAAAATCAGCTGTTGTAAGAAAAAAGATTTTCCATTCGCTTTCGTCTATTATTTCTCATGATATCGCTTTTTATCAAGTGTTTCGTTTTCGCCATACTAGCTGCCTATCATATGATGCAAAACTATCAAATTCATGAGCAACAGAGTATATTTGCATAGTTAGTATACTATTTCTTGTCCATTAAGTATCAGTATAATTTAAATGTAGTGCACTTCATAAATATATCCTCACTATACTCAAACCGCTACGAAAAAAAAGGTTTCCTTCAGATTAAAATCTTGTTCAACGATTGAAATCTATTATGCGTCATAATGATGATACCTTTTGTTTTTGTTCTTCTTTATTAGCCGATTGTTGAAGAAGATATTGATTGGTGGTCAAAATATTATGCATCCAAAGGTGATTTTAATAAATGTGGATCATATGCACAAAAAGGATATGAAACAATATCAGTAAATAAAAATGCTCACCAGTTTTCTTTTATTGAAAAGTTAATATTTTAAAATTTTAGATTTTTCCTCATCCACTTGAATTATATGAGATTTATGAAGGTTTTAGTGATTTTTGTCGAACATTTCCATTATCTCGTGGAAAAACAAAATTTGAAGAAGAAAATGAAATTGTTGGCGAATTTAAAGGTCTTTTCAAAGTTTATCCATTACCCGAAGATCCAAATGAACCTTCACCACATCGTACAATGGAAAATCTCCCATCGAATAGTTTAGAAGAATGTATTGTTCGAGTTTATATTATCTGTGCTATTGATTTACAACCAACAGATTCAAATGGAAAATCGGATCCTTATATTGAAATTGAAATAGGAAAAACAAAAATTGATAATCGAGATGAAAGAATACCAAACACAACGAATCCAGTTTTTGGCAGGTTCGTTCAAAATTTCAATTGAGTATAATTAAGTAAATTATTTTTTAGAATGTTTGAAGTTAAAACGATAATTCCAACGGCTAAAGATTTAACTATTCGTGTTAAAGATTGGGATCTATTGACATCAGATGATGTTATTGGACAAACGACTATTGATTTAGAAAATCGACTTCTAAGTAAATATAGAGCAACATGTGGACTCCCATTACAGTTCAATGCGTAAGTATTTGATAGGAAAATTTTAAAAGTATACGTTTAATTCTTCTTTTTATGTCATTTAGTACTGGTTCCAATCAATGGCGGGATAGTGTTCGTCCTCGAAAAATTCTCTGCGATGTTTGTAAACGAAATAATTTGCCAATCCCTGAATTAATTGATGAACATTCAATTAAAATAGGAGAATCAATTTTTCATCTTGAAGACTTTGGTTTGTTTGAAATCTATCTTTTTTTTGTAGGATTTATATTATTTTAGTTTATTTTAGAACAAGAAAATCGTTTAACAATTCATGTTGGCGACGATGAAGAACGTTTAGCTTTATATATTTTGCATAAACTACGTCTGTGTCCTGAACATGTTGAAACTCGACCACTTTTTAATCCAATACAACCCTTAATTGAACAAGGCCGTTTAGAATTATTTATTGATATATTTCCCAAATCTCAAGGTGCACCAGGACCTACATTTACAATTACACCACGAAAACCCAAACCGTAAGATTTCTATTGAATTGTTAATATTTTCGATCATGTAGATTTTATGTATGTGAATACAATGCTCACCATAATATTTAGTCTAGATGCTATACAATGACTAGATCTAAAGAAAATCATTTTTATTTTAAATAGATATTCATTTTTAATGTTTTCTAAAATAAGATGCAAAAAGTTTATTTCATGATTAGCAATCTACGTTTCAGATATTCTCATCTATTGAGATGCAACCTGATACAATAAGTATTTATAACATTGATTTATTTTTGCATTATTATTTTCTCTACAAAAGTTAACTTTTTGTTTTCTTTATCGTTACAAGTGCGATCATCAAATATATTTCGAAGGCTATATAATATTTCTCATATTTATTTTGAGTAGATTCCAGCATGAGTAATAGTATTAGTTATATTAAAAAAGAACCTTTTACTAGGTCTGCTCTACAACTTCAAATTGGTCGTGAATCTTTTTCAATTGATCTACAACATTCAATTAAATACATTGACATTTTTATTTGTGTATTTTAGTTACATTCTTCGTTGTATCGTCTGGAATACAAGTGATGTTATACTAGAGGAAACATCAATAACAGGAGAGAAAATGTCTGACATTTATGTGAAGGGATGGATGAGTGGAATCGAAGAAGATATACAAAACACTGATGTTCATTACAGGTATGTTTAATAGATTTTCAATTTATTTTAATCTAAATTGAATTTTTCGTATTCATAAATCTAGATCAATGGATGGTGAAGGAAATTTTAATTGGCGTTTTGTTTATGAGTTTTCATATTTACCAGCAGAACGATGTATTTCAATTAAAAAGAAAGAACATTTTTGGAGTTATGATGCAACTGAATTAACAATTCCACCTGTATTAAATCTACAAGTTTGGGATAACGATAAATTTAGTGCCGACGATTTTCTTGGTAAACTTTCAGTTTTTTCCATTGTTGTGTATCTTAATTTAAATTAACTTATTATTTTTTTTCTGTAATTAAAAAAATAGGTGCATTAACACTTGACTTAAATCGTCTATATAAACCAGCGAAAGATCCCGATTTCTGTACATTGGATATACTGAATGATGACGCGTCGAATTCTGTTTCGCTCTTTGAAATGAAACGATTAAAAGGTTGGTGGCCCTGTGTTAACGTTGAAGGCGGAGATCCAGAATTAACCGTAAGTTTGTTTTTGTTTTTCTTGATCAGTTTGTCATGTTAATTAATCGGGAAATATTTTTCAAGGGAAAAGTTGAACTTGAACTTGAAATATTGACCGAAGAAGAAGCACGTGAAAGACCAGCTGGACACGGTCGAGAAGAACCAAATGAAAATCCTAAACTCGAACCACCACAGTAAGAATTGTTAAAGCAACGAAAATTTTATTAAAAAGAAAATGAATCTATTTCATTTCTTAGACGGCCTGAAACATCATTTCTTTGGTTTTCATCACCATTTCGAACATTTAAAAATATTATTTGGAGAAAATCGAAATGGTACATTATTGGCGGACTACTTTTTATTTGTTTTATCATATTCGTACTTCTATTTCTATGGACTATGCCAGTAAGTTTTTATCAACTGTTCTATTTTCTAAATTTTTATTTCTTTGAAATTTGTTTTTAGTCTGCTGTTTGGTCTCGACTTCTACGTATATCTGGGTGATCGTATTTATTCATATAATAAGCTTTATTCAATTTTATTTTCATGGATCCTCACCTGTTTACTAATAAATATTTTTCATCTCAATGATTCCTTTTTTGGCATAATTTTATTCGATTTGTAATAGAAGATAATGAATTGCCAATACTAGATGAATTTCTTTTTCTCTAAAGCAACATATGTTGCCTAGAATAGTCATATTACGATGAAATTGAGAGAAATAATCGAAACACAAAAAAAACAACTTTTCAGATAAATGAGATTTTTGTTGTAATTTCGATGCGATCCGTTTTCCATTCGCATTGATTAGAATATAAACCAACAGATCTTTGTTGATTCTTTTCGAGTGTCATAAACTCATATCATTATTTTAAGCAGCTCTGTTAATAATATATCTCAACGCTAATCGATTATGATACATGTCTCATGAGACATCACAACTAGCACAATCATGATCAAGTGAATGAGTCGTGATAAAATAGAAAGACGAGTAAAACACAGTTCCATTTTTTGTTCGCACTCCAATGATATTTTTCTACATCAAAAGACTGAAAAATTCTCCTCAGCAGTTATATTATCTGATAGTTTTGATGCGTCTATCGATTGATTTCCATGTTGATTCGTGTGAATTATGATCCGTCTGTCAAAATTGAAATTGTTGGAGCCATTTAACCATTTCGTTTCTATGGTGATCATTGAAAATGAATACTGCGAATAAAAAAATATATTTATCATTAAAAATATAAAAGTGATGATTAGTATATGTGACAAAATATAGATATTAAAAACTATTTTCAATACTAGAGAGAAATAAATAGATGGCGTTTTACTGTGATATTGATTGGCTTAGTGTATTGTAAGCAAATTGTCGAGTTGTTTTTTTTTCACGACACTCTAGTTGGTTTTAGTTAGATTCTATTTTATATTCGATTGCTTTTCTAGATCATTTTTATTCTTGAATTAAGCGAAATAAAACACAATGAAATTAAGTCTTATTCGACTCAGTGGTGGGGATGCTGACGTTCCAGCTCATATTCGACAACAGATGACTACAAATTGGTATGTTCGTCACTTCAATTCCTATACAACTCGTGGTCGAGCTAATAGTGTAATTGCTGTTATTGGAGGTTGGTTTCTTTTTGGCTATACTATGTCGAAATGGTCTCAATCGCGTAAAGCTAAACAATTAGTCGCCGAATCTGCTAAACAAGCAGCTCCAGCTCCACATGCATCATCAGCAAAGAATAGTGGTCATCATTAAATTCATCCAAAACAAATCCACTGACTATTATATTCTTTCGGTCAACATCCTTAGGTGCAGTTATAACTTTTCCATCGCTCTCTTTTTGTCCTTTCTCTTTTTTTTTGTATTAAAACCATACTAGAAAATAAAATGAAGTCAACATAGAATCGACTATAGTTGTCTTTTCCCTTACTAATATGGCGATTATTGTATTTCTGTAAAGATTATAATAGCTTTTTCTTAAGATAATTTTCTGGAAGATTCAATCATCGAAATATATCTGAAAAACTCTATGATTTCATGTCATAAAAATCTTAGTTACTGTCGACTCTAACTGAGTGAATTTCCAATAACAATTCAATGGATGGCTCTTAAATAATGAACCTTTCTGGATTTTCATTGTGGCTTCCTTTGATGAGCGTGATGAAGTTGTTTATTTCTCATTAATATTTTAAAAATTCTAGTTCAACAGATTCCATCTCGATGTCATCATCTGATGCATTCCTGAAACTCTACAACTAAAGCTTGAACAAGTTGAAATCGCTCAAATAGAATTCAATTGGTAGAAACCTTCGAAATTAATTAATTATCTATTTAATCAACAGAGAAAGATAATACTATTAATAGACTACAGAATACATATATTTTCTTTGAATTTCACCATTGCACACAGTAACAGTATCTGGGGTGAATTAATTGCCTAGCTTACAAAGTTAGATGGTTTCTGTGCTTGAAATATTTTTCGTGTAATTTATCTTTTCACTATGTTATAGAGATAACTGTTATTAAACTTAAGCAGAAATTTGAATGGTTTATTTTTTTAAGTAAAACAACGAATTCAAAGCGTTCGAAAGAAGAACATTCATAATTAAAATACTGCAAGATTCATTATGTATGGACTATTTATTAATTTATTCACTGGATAAAATTTTAAAAAGTAAGAGAAACATTTGTTAAAGATATTTCTAGTCAATAAGACATAATCTTTTCTATGATATAACTGTACATTGGTGTAGCAAATAGGAAGAGTATTCGATTTATTATTGATCATACTTTAGTGATGTTCATTTAATATGACAAAAATATTGGTTTTATTCTCCTGAATAAAAATATATTCATCGACAGCAAGTATCACTAAACATGATCAGACTCATCATATATTTTCCTTTTGTTGAGAGAATTTAACTTTCATCGTATTTTCATTCTAATTTTTCATTGACAATCAGAAAGATTATTCTATTACATCCGAATCCGTTACGATAAATTATTGAATAGAGTAATATTTTTCAAAATTTCACTTTTTACGTTTGTATTTTAGACGATTCAATAGCATAGAATTGATCCTATGATGGAAATTTATATATTTTTTAAATAATTTTACCATTTAAAAGAAATGTTAATAAATAATCTCTTTAAATTAGTAAAAAAAGTAAAAATAAAATTTTCATATCGTATGATGATGATGTATCTTTCAAACATTTTGTTTACATTATACTTTTAGATTGATGAAGTCTATCAACAAAGTTGTTTTCTATTTTGGATATTCTCCTGTTAATGAAATCATTTTATACAAATAAGATGTTTCTTTTTTACTTAAAGTTAATACAGAAGAATGAATGCAGATGAGTTTTTTTCTTATTTTTTTTGTATCAATAAAATGATCATCACTTTTTTCTTGTTTTATTCTATTAGTTCATCAATTGATGTGCGCATCAATGGTGGAAAATGATTCTAGTGTACTGCAAATAATGGTAATATCATTTCCATTTTCACCATACTATACCAAAACAAACCGAAGCATCTATTTTGATAACAACTAGTCTATATAACTTGTAAATAGATCATAATTTGATAAAATCTACTTTTTATCTTTCGATGTACTAGGAATTTACGTTGGCTTAGTCAACAATGCTTTGACCAGTAAGAATATCTATTCTATGTCAAAGAAAAATGAAGGTTTCTTTGTGTTAGATTAAAATTAATTAGTTCTATTAAAATATTATCTAGTTTTTCAATTTTCATGATTTTCTTTGTATTGAAAAAAGAAAATATAATGATTTTTAATTCTAACAACTAAGTCTAATCTCACACAATAATCAACAGTTTTCTAACTTTTAAAATCCTTTGATTTACACGGCAGTTTAATTCTCGAGTTGATGGAAATTTTGATGGTATCTTTTTTCGAAAATCTCAACCTGCCTCATAATTACATAAATATTGACGAATTTCAAAGGCAACCACTACCACATATAATGAAAGAAGTCGATGTGTTGAACAGAGCGCAAATTCACCGTAAAAAAAAGTTTGTTTTTATTAGAATCCAGCACAAAAGTTTTTGCTTTGATAATACTTAATTATTTATCATCAAAATACAGATTACTATGCTGAAAAATATCGTATGCTAACTATAAGTTAGCATTATAAAAATATTCAATGCTTCAATGATTTAAAATGATGGAGAAAGAATAGGAAGTCTGGACTGGTGTTAAACTTGTGATTGCATTACTTGCATATTTATCTTATCATTTGTAACTAATTCTTTTTCTTTTCTCATGTAGAATAGACATCCGTGTAGGGATTTCTATTTTGATAAAAAAAATATTTATTTTCTGCCAATCAAACATATTCCATGTAAATTTCAACTTGTCTCGATCATTTTATTTCTTTGTAACTGAATGTAACACAGTTGAGTTTTGTCGCTTCGATAACTCCATGTTGTGTTAATAATACGACAGTACATTATACTTATGAATATGCTCAACAATTCCATTTAGTATATCTTTGATATTACACTAGTCGTCGTTTATTAACTAAGAAATATTCAATTTTCTATTTTCCAATAGCCTAGTATTACTTGTTTGAATAGTTAGCGAGAAAAATAAGTGAAACTGTAAAAGATCATCGTGTTCTTCGATGTAGATTATGTTGAGAGAAATAGCAAAAAGAACATATTGTACGTTTTTTATTTTTCAATAGATCGTATCCTTAATAATGTACTTGATATAACGGTGCACATTAGAACTATCCATTGCTAATATTAAAATCGCGAACGATAATCAAAGTTTGCTTCTTTACTAGAATAAAATATAAATTAACTATGTTTTCGTTTCTTTTAAAATGGTATATATAGATTAATTAGCAATTCACAAGCATATGCTTTTGATTAGCCGTAAAATGAATTTCTCTTGATAGATGGATGAACTCTTATTTAAATTGATTCGCTCGTTATGATTATGAAGTAAATGTATTTTATTAAGTAAAATAATAAAAAATGTCTTGTAGAATGAAAGAACTCAATAGTATGAAATCATATTGTAAATATGATGTTTTTCCAATAAAATCTGTGTCAAAACGTTTTTTCTCATAGAATGTATTCTTCGTATACTTATGTCAAGAAATATTCTTTTTTGCTCTTTGACATGCTTCAAGAATTGTTTGTTACATTAGACAATTTCCGTTTCTGTTGCGACTTCAATCACATTAAATCTAACAAAAGAATATTTCAAGCGATACTCATTATTTATGTTCTGCTTTCTTTTTTTCTTCTTCTAATAGACAATCTTTTGTTTTTCAATAGACAAAAGATTTTAAATCCTAATTATCTTCGGAGAAAATTAAATTAAAACTCTATCATTAGCAACATTATTATCTTCTTTTCATTACTCTTTTAATCGATCGAAAAAGCTTGTTCTCTCAAATAGAATCTATTCTGAACATCGCAGAAAAAAAGAAGGTTGAGGACCTGTGACTCTCTATTACATAATGTGCAAATTTCTAATAATGATGTTCTCAAGTCGATCACTTCTTTTTCCTGCTACATCTTCTCAGAATAAACTTTGATGCGCTACTATTTAAAACATTCCGTTTCAAGCATCATTCACAAATATTTCTTACCAATTAGCAAATAACTGTACTTGAAAAAGTGTTTTTACTTAGGGTCTATTCCAAACATTTACTTTAATATGTCGTATCTATTTTGCCTTAGAATTGAAAACAATAAGATATAATAGAAATTTGCTTATTTGAAAATAGTTTTTATCATGGAATTAACAAACAACATAACATCGTATTCATCATGACAAAAGACATTATTTGTTGTAAATGAAAGTTCAAATAATCGAATCGCAGACTGATTTTAAACAACTATTACGTTTTAATCAGTTCATTTTTATCACAGAATCGAGTTCAAACAGTAAATATAAAAATAAAGCGGTTTTTATTTCTTTCAACATATACTACGAACTAGAGAATGCGATCTTAATATGTACACATAAATAAATGTTAATGTCAGGTAAGTTAGACCGTATCATTCTCTCTTCTTCTTTTTTTTGATGCATCAAAATAAGACATAGGTAGTGGTGTAGTGGTCATTTTTCAAATTGTATAAGATTTTAAAATCATTAAAAAATGTTTTCAGAACCTTCGATGCATTGTTCAGATTTCAAAGACTCTAAATTGTGGTAAATATTTATTTTAAAATAATATTCAAATAACAAAAGAATTGCATTATTACTAGAGTAGTTTCTTGAAAAGATTATTAATTATTTTTAAAAAACCGAAGAAACCATAATAAGTACTTCTCGGTTCACCATACCTTTTTCATGTGGCTAAGTATTTGTCTTCCATTAATAGAAATTGTTGATTACTGATCACACTTATGTTTTCCAGATTGTATTAATATATGTTTATTCCTCAATAATATCTATCTAACGTCATATACAGGATTTCTACACTTGAAAATACTTATGGAAGGGCGGCAAATACAAAATACAAAAAACTAACAATCAGATCTCGAGTATGTGTTCGGCACTTAAAACACACATATAAGCACGTATTGACGAGTGAGAATGTAACTAGTGCTTGATTCAGTTGTACTCATTGAGGTAGAAGTATCGCCTAACGCAATTCTTCTTGCTTTTCATTTGTTTTCTTTGGTTATTTGTTGTTCAGTGAACATGAGAATGAGTGACTGTCACGGCATCGACTTTCAAAGAGCTATGATTGATTCTATCAAACATACAGGTTCTCTGTATGTAAAACAGACGATAACAGACAATGACAATGTCCTTTCTTTTTCTCCTCCTTTTCCTCTTCCGGTTCAGTCTTTTGCCTACCGAACAGCTACATAGAACGAAGAGAAGAAAAGATCGATGAATAGACACAATGATAATCATGCTGCAAAAATCTTCTCTATTTCTCTCTTCCTCTCTCTCTCTCTCAGCCATTCTCCCTTAAGAGACTTCAGAAAAACGCTGTTCGTCACTTCTCATTGATTATGATTACTAGACATCCGCATATTCAAATAACAACAATATTTTTTAGATCATACGAAGAAACGGATCGATTTTTTTCTTGTCCAAATATTCTATTAACCTGAGTATGTGTATCTGAATTTTTTTATACAATCTATATTTCAATTGACCATTGATTGTTATATAAAAGTAAATAGTAGTACAAGTGAGATTCTTTTGTTTTTTGTTTTCTTCTAACATTTAGATTAGTGATATGATTATATTCAATTCTTTTCCGTTTCATTAAAAAGATGCGATATCAAAATTATACACTAACGAAAACAACATAGAGAAAGAAAGGAATCGGCGCTGTAGAAATACTATTCAAGTAACATATAATTGTATGAATGACATCGTCTGCGAAGCGTATTTTTCTAAGATCTAGATTTATATTATCAATATTGATTGGCATCAATGAATATCTAAAACTATTCTTGTATTTTCTCTTTTGGGAAACTTTTGTAACTAAATAATTAATGTAGGAAGAAGGATGACCAAAGATCATAAGTATAATAATAAAAGTTAAACATACTGATTTATAATCTAAAAGTTCACATTGAGATAGTTGAAAAAAAATTTAGTTTTGATCTATTTTTTGACAGGAAAAAATAATTCATTTAAAGTATCTTCCGAATAATTCTAATTAAAAGCGAAATAAACTCATGAAAATGTCATCGGTTATTTTATATCACTTATTTCGTTTTTTTCATCGCCATTCTTTTTCTCAAGTGGCCAATTACGAAATATAGAAATTCGTAGAAAGACGACTTAATAAGTGTGTGTTTAACTGTCATGCCTAATATAGTTAGAAGAGCATCATATGTAACAAAATAGCAATGTCAAAGTTTCACATCAAATTTAGAATTGTTGTTTTCTTCTTCTTTGAATAGCACGTTCCTTCTAATTCCATGAAAGAAAATTCAGTTCATTCTATCGTAACGTTAGACAATATCAAATAATGTTCTGGTCTTTAGAAAATGTAGCATTGTCTTCTATCTATGATTTATAAATTTCGACTCGTCATTCGGTTTTTTTCCCGTGATATTTTATCAGCATGAACTTCTCGAGTTAAAATGTAAAACGAAAAATTTATTCGCTTATTTTTTAGAATAAAAATAAAAGAAAAAACGAAGCGTGTTTTTAATGAACTTCGTAAGCTGCTGTATCTATAAGCGTCGGCGATATTTTCTAATAGAACTAGCAAACAATGTATGAGTAATCAAACGATACCATCTAGTCCGTCACTCGAGTAAATCAAATCAAGTTTAAATCATCATAAAGTGATATCCGACAATAGTTCATGTACTGTTTAAAAAAAGTAAATTCTAATTTTATTCTTGTTTCAATTATGGATTTTATATGACTTTCGATATTATCTCAAATATCTACGTAGATGAACATAACGAATAAATTTTTATTAACCCTTTCCGGCCGGCTGTTTGGAAATTGCCGTACCCTCCCTAGGGGAAAATGTTGCCATTTGGCAACACCCGGCCGGAAAGGGTTAACTAAAATAGAATCATTAGATTGAGAGAAAGAAAAAAGAACTTAATGTTATTTTTCTCTTTCATTTAGGTTTCATAATGCAATCTGATTCTTCTATATTTGAAGAAACAATATCTGAAATAAATATTCTACATTTATCACATTCGAATATTTTTATGCTTAATCTTTCATCAGTATCCGGATTCGAAAATGATTCAATAGCAATTTCCTATGATTTTTATCAACATGTAACTGAAATAATTGTATACAAATACATATGCTTAACAATATTTATAATTGGTGTCATCGGAAATTTACTAAGTGTATTAGTATTTAGTCGAGCATCGTTGCGGCATCGTTCGTGTGCTATATATTTTTTAGCATTAGCTATAACTGACATCGCATCATTATTTGCTTCGTTTATCGATACAGTTCTTCCATCCTATAATAATGTTTCTTTAACAATGAAATCCTTGTTCATATGCAAACTAAATCCGTTAATGGTTTATTTTACAACAGATCTTTCCAATTTTCTATTAGCTGTCGCATCAATTGACCGAGCTGTATCAATTCAGTGTCCCTTAAAATCGAAACAATTTTGTCGAGCACGTATTGCTATTTATATAATTATTATTATGGCATTAACAGTTCTTTTTATTAATGGTCATATTTTTTGGGGCTTCGAGTTGATTGATGAACAATCTCAACGATTTTGTTCACCATCAAAAACGAAAATTATTTATTATAATGAACCTAATTCCATAACTTACGATCGTTTTTATGCAATATTTGATTCATTAGATATGCTATTTGCTGTTGTTTTTCCATTTGTTGTTATGTTAATATGCAATTTAATTATTTTGATACGTGTTATAACATCACGACGTTCAATAAGTACTATATTAACAACGACAGTACAATCAAAAAAAACACGTAAAAGACATGAAAAAGAAAGACAATTAACAGTTATGTTACTTGGAAGTGCAGCTGGTATGTTTAAATAGCACACTTAATTACGAATATAAAATAAAGAGTAAATTTACTATTTTGTTTTTATGGTTTTTAGCTTTTTTAGTATTTACACTACCAACAGAAATCAATGATACAGTTCGTGCTTTCCGCCCATCAAATTTGTCTCAACCAAAAGGTGCCATGGCATTGATGACAGCTGTATTTATTGCTATGGAACAATTAAATCATGCTATTCATTTTTATATTTATACATTAACGGGTCGAGTTTTTCGAAATGAATTAATACAATTATTTACTTTATCTAAACATAGTTTATTAAGACACCAAAAATCATCAACAATCAGACAAATCAATCATGACCACTCACTTCAAAGTTTTTCCAGACAAAAAAATAGTCATAATGATAATAAATAAACAAATACACACTTTTCTCTTTTTCTTTTTCTTTTTTTTTATAAAAATTAATCTTTTGTTTTGTTTTTAATTGAAATTTATTATTCCCACCACCATTGACCAGTTTGAATTGATACGGAGAGATTATCAGGTAAATGCATTATAGTTGTTAATTCCGTGATCATATTTGAAAAAAGATCATATGCACCTATTGGTTGAATTAATATCCACCAGGGATGTAACAATAATGTCAATGGATAAGCAAAGAAAAGCAGAAATACAAATGATAATATACGAATTATTATGCTAGACATTTTCTTTTTCATTTATTTGCGCCCAAAAAAATAAAACTAATAAATGAATGATTATCGCTCTATGATAGGCAATTTTTATTACAACGAAATAGACATGCTGAATTAGTTATTTTTCCAACATTATTCAAATATTGCAGAAAATGCTTCACATGGCTAAACCATTGGTTTATAATATTAATTAGCAATATAAATTCATGGATATGGCTATGTATATTTTTAGCCTTTATCATTCGTTATTTTCAAATTTAAGATTTCATTGTTTTTTGCTTTTGTAAGTTTAGGAATAAGTGTCGATTGTCTTTTTTCATTGAAATTCTCTTTTTGAAAATAATATAGTCTATTCAATCTCAATATTATCAATAGAACATTGCTTTTCGACGAATGCATAAGAATAATTCAGTGAGATGCCCTTTTAAATTTGATATTTATCACATAGATGCAACCTACAAGTTTCATTATCAAAATAGTAGAACTAATTATAAAATAATCAACGACACAATAATTTTCTGAAAATATCTATATTTATTTGTTAGCATTCGAACATATAAGCAATTTGGAATATTTTTTGTTTTTCTGAAAAAATAAATTCTAGAGAATATATATATATATATATTCTTGAAGTAAATAGAAAATTTCTTTAGCACAGCTATAATATAGAATAATACTATTTAGAATCATTAGTAAACAAGCGTTGTAACCCTTGAAAGCATTCATTTGGCTGTTAATACTAGACCAACGTAAGATATAGAAGGCATAAAAACCAAGATATTGTTCGGTAAAGAAGAAAAGTCAGATTTAGCAAGAAAATATTCTGAAAAAAACAAAAACAACAACTATTTACTCTATGTAAACTTTGTTGGTCGAATATTTGTTTTCAATTAATAAAGGTTCATCCAACTTACATTCCAATAGAAAGAATATAAAAAGAAAGAACGCGCCCATCGATCGTCAAAGATAATCGAAATTCAACACAAAAGAAATCATGCGAGTTAGTGAAGCGTTATTTGTGACTGATTTTTCTCGAATTTTGCATGATATCAATTGTGCACTCAAAAGAACAAAAAAAAAATTAGTTACAGCTATATTTTGATCTTAGTTTCTTCCTTGAATATTAGTAGAATAAGTTCGTAGTGAAAATTTTATCTATGCAAATAAATTTTTATCTCGTAAATTTATCCTTTTTCTAATACGAAAAAGATTCGGTATGAGAATGTGAAGAAATGAATCTTGGTATTTTTCTAATGGCTTTTTTCCTCTATAGTCAATAATTAGTCTTGAACATAGATCCGAAGTTTCAAACGGATAAACTTAATCTTCGTAAATACTCAAGTGAATGCCAATGACGTTGACAACAATTGCATTTTTTCTTGTTAACCAAACGGAATAAGGCATGAGCGCGATGAATTTCTGTTAGCGTTAGTTTTCTAATCCTGAATGAAGATCCGGTAATGTTCTTCCTAATAGAGTATCAAGAAATCGGTTCAATAAATAGAAATACACAAGTTGAGTCGTGCAAAGAACTTTTTATTTTTCTTTCTATAATATTTTATCATTTCATTTGTTAATCACAATTAACTTGATAGGCTATTGATATTGTTAATCAGTGTTTTTCTTTTTCATATTATTTAAATCTCAACGATATTTTATCGTTAAGATAAATGCATTAGTAATTATAACTACGAATATCTGAAACGATGAAAACTATAATTCAATTATACCACACGATTTTTTTCAAAAAGAGATTTTCTAAATGATAAAATAAAATTTTATTTCTAGAATATATAGAAATAATTCATATAAAAACTCTGAAGAAAAATTCCTCATTTAATAAACAGATAATTAAATAAAGAAATAATATTTAGAAATAATGCAACTGACAATTTATTGATGACAAACATAATTGTCAATAGAAAAAAAGCAACAAAAAATTTATTGTTTTTCATAAAAAAAAGAAGTTTGTTTCGATCCATGGATAAAAGAATCTTAGCTAGTTTTCTTGGTGGAATTCGTATGTTCATTTCTTTCATGTATGACATAAAGGATTCTTTTTTTTTCGTCAAATGTTATTTATTCTTTTCAAATATGCCAATATTAATTAAATATTGATTTTATAAAAACAAAAATATTCTAAATTCGATAACATTAATCAAGATTCTTTTGTCTCATAGTGATTTCTATTTTATAGACAAATGTATGAAAAATATTTAAGTAGTTTTTTTAGTAACTAAATGTTAGTCACGATAAGAAGAAGAAAAAAGCATACTTGCTGGTCATAGTTTACTATTAACCCTTACTATTTCAATTCCAATGAACATTAATATCAAGAAATTATTTTAAAAATAAACTTCTAATTAATGAATGATAATCAATGAAATCAAAATTTCTTCTTAACGATGTCTTTTCTTTTATATTTTATTCATCTTAAATCAGATGTTGTTACAAGATGAAAAATTTCAACAATAATATGAAAACGGTTATTTTTGTTTGCTTTCTTTTTTTTATTTGAGTGGAATAAAACGAGATGAATGTGTTGCACCAATACCAGGCCGACCATGTTTAACTGGCTTATATGTGATTGAAAATTCTCCTAAATAGTATCCAATCATTTCAGGTTTAATTTCAATTGAATTAAATGTTTTTCCTTGATGAACACCAACAACACAGCCGACCATTTCAGGTACAATAATCATATCACGTAGATGTGTTTTAATAGCTTGTGGTTTTTCTAATTCGGGTGTTTCTTTTTTAGCTTTACGTAAACGTTTTATTAAAGCCATTGGTTTACGTTTAAGACCACGTGATAAACGACGTCGTGCACGACAATGTAATAATGGCATTAATTGTTCGTTATTCATATCTAATAGTTGATCAAGATCAACACCACGAAATGTAAATTTACGAAATGTTCGTTTCTTTTTTAATTCAGCTGCACTTACACCAGTAGTATCTTGGTCTGCCATTGTTTCGATCTAGAAAAAAAAGTCGCAATGAGCAAATCATATTCTTGTTTTCTTTTTCTATTTAGTAAAATGATTTACTTTAAGTATTGTGATGTTTGAATTAAAGCAAGAATATCTAAAAGATATTGAAATTTTAGTGTTTTACATGAATTGAAATCAAAGAAAAAGATGAATGAAATTTATTCATTATTCGCTTATTTATTTTATACAATTGAAAAACCAGAGAAAAAAAGAGAACCTTCTTGTAATAGTAGAGTATGAAAAAAAAGAAATTGAGAAAAGAAGCGGCGACACTGCAACGCAACGATTATTTTAGTTCAGAAACACACACACACGAAAATACACACACGCAAGAAAAAAAGAGATTATATAAAAAAAAAGAGAAAAAAGTGTTAAAAGCGATTGACAGAAATAAAATCAGATCGAATACTAGACACTTAAATTTAGCGATTTTGAATGATGAAAACCACCAGCGAATATTGTTGTCATTCCAAATATTGAACAATGCGCAGAAGAAAAAAGGAGTAAGACACAATAATCAATGACAACGACAACGAATAACAACATAAAAATCAAAAAGAAAAGACTAGAGAGCAGCAGTAATAATGCGCGTAGTGCGCAAATACAAAACAAATACGAGTTATGTATAGATGACAAACAGACAAAGAGAAAAATCTGGATGTGTGCGTGTGTCACTGTTGTTTATAAGTGTTTTCTCTGTCAAAGCGTGTTCTGAAATACACATAAGAAAAAAAAAAGAAATTTAACTAGAGGAAACAACTCGAATTTGACTTTGAACACTCACACTGTACGAGAAAACACACGTAAAATGAAAAAAAAAAGAAAACGAAAAGAGAAACGACCATTCTAATATAATAAAGTAGAGTATTTTAATATAGAGAATAAGTAATAATAGACGAAAAGATAGTTAGACAAAAGAGAGCTGTATGTCTATCTCTTAGATTTTATTCGTTTTTCTAAACTAAATTGTACTCTTTTAGATTTAATTGAAGAATTGTGTCTTTTACAGCAGCAAATACAAATCGAATATTCTCCGTATCTGAAAAAAATAATTTTTATTTTTAAACAATAAACTTTCGCAAAAAAAATCTTGTTTTTTATTTACCAGTTGCACAGGTAAAATGTGAATAGATAATCTTATCACTATCTGGATTGAGATCAACGTACATTTTAAGAATAAATTCGCGCGCTGCTTGGGCATCGCGTTTGGGACCTGAAGAAATGAAATTGAATTTTTTGTTTACTAGTATTTTTTATTAATAAAATTTACCATCAAACTCAGGAAAATAATCAACCAAATGCGAATGCATAATTTTTTCTTCAAGCAAATCTTTTTTGTTCAAAAAAAGGATCACAGATGAATTCGTAAACCATGGATAAGTTATGATCGTACGAAATAATGCTTTGCTCTCTTCCATTCGATTCTAATAAAAATTTACATTTTTTTAAATTCAATTTTAATGTTTATTAATAACATTTTCTTACTTCATTGTCAGATTCAACAAGAACTTGGTCATATTCACTTAATGCAGCAAGAAACATTATTGAAGTCACATTCTCAAAGCAATGAATCCATTTTCGACGTTCAGATCTTTGACCACCGACATCAACCATTCTATTGATATATATATATATATATATACATAAAGTTTTATTGAAATATAAATAATCAAATAAAGTTTGTTTTGTTCAGAAGCATAGAAGTCACACTAATGACGTAACAAGACATGAAACTATTATTTAAAAATTTCGAGAAGGCATTGAACTATTTCTACAGATATAATACGATGGTTGAAACCGTTTCTCTTTCGAAATTTGCTTTTCTAGTTACAGTTCAAAGTTACATTGTCTTGGACAACAGAGTTACTCTGTCTCTCTCTTCCTCAACAGGTATGCTTATTTTGTCACACAAGGAATAAATTGATTAAATTAAAAAAAGCATTTCAAATATTTTTAAGAAACATAGTTAACTATCGATTGTTTTCGTCTGATTCATAATTCTCCTATTGTAAAATTCGTCATTTTGTCTCAGAAACTCATATTATGAACATAGAAGATTATTACTTCTAGTATCTTCTGAATTATAGTTTGTTGATTAGTAAAAGAATTTTATATGACTAATGACTAAATATCTTTGTCATAAATCATAAATGTATCGCTTTTTTCTACAAAAATGAAATAAAATACGTTTATGTCGATAATTTAATAGGGCATCATCTCTTCAGTTTTTTTCACACTACGACATCGATATCTATCTTCATATACTATTTATTATCGGTAGACTGGTGCTTTTTAAGTTTAATGACTAACAGTTCGGTGGATACGGAGAAAATTTTCCGGTTAAAATAAAACTTTTTTTTGTGAAAAATAGAATTCATATCTTGTTACGTCAGTGAAATGAACACGGATATGAAAAACTAGTCAGCATCTAAGTGAATGCTGATGTTAGTGAAATCAATAGTTTAGTCTCGATGACTCACTATCACTATGTACACTAATATTAGATGTTGGTTATTTGCTTCCTCCTATGAAAATAGATATTCTTCCATTTAAAAACTCTTCCTCAAAAGAGAAAATGTTGAATAAAACCGATGTAAAATCTGTACCGAAATATGATATTTTCAAGATCAAATGGATATTCAATAATTCCAGTTGTTGGGACACGAACACGTAGGACATCTTGCTCAGTTGGTAAATAACCCGGAGAAGCGATTCGATCGATACTATCCAAATAGCTAAACACAAAAGAAAAAATAATAATTAATAGAAAAGAATTTTTTCAATGAATTTTACTATTTGGCTGAATCTGTTAACTGATATTCTCTGCGTCTATCATAGCATTCTTTTATTCCTGGATCACTCCAAAGACTTTTAATAGCTTCAACATATTGAGGTTCAAATGTTGTCACAGTTTCATAATCAACGGCTCGTACGAGTGAAGCATGTTCTTGCTACAAAACGGAAAAAAAACAATTCTAGTTTAGCGAAATTATTTTGCACAAAATTTTACCTCATTTCTTTTATCTCTATATTGTATTTTGAGCGTATCCATAGCACGAATCATTGAATGCATAGCCATGAATATATTTTGATAGACAAGTTTAACAAATGATCGTTTATCTTCTTCGGAATAACCTGTGCCATGTATAATACGCATTTGTTTTATAAATGTGGATTTACCAGATTCTCCAGTACCTATTAATTTAAATAATTAAATTTAAATATTAAAATAATTCAAAACATACCAAGTAAAAGTAATTTTAGTTCTCGTCTTTGATTTTTCTTATCAAGACGTAATTGTTTTTCAATTTCACGATTAATTTGCTTTTGTTCACGTGCTTCAGCAGACAGACAGCACATCATCTTGAAGTTTTGCTTTGTATTTTTATATATTGAATATAAAGGATGATTTGACTATTAATTTAGAGACTGAATAGCAATGATAATCATCTGCTTGTTGTTTTTAAATGAACAATACGAATATTTAAACAAATGCTATTGAACCATATTAAACGTTCGTAATGAGACTTCATACCATCTAAATATCAAAATAACATTAGAATGACTACTGAACTAGTCAATCATTGAGCAGTAAATAAATAAATAATCAGCAGCCATTACTGATGTAAATACACATTTTACAAAAAAGAAAATAAATTATGGAGGATCATAAGATTTTGTCAAGGATAAATTAGTTATGCATTTTCTATTTTCATATTATTCAAATTTTTCTTCTATGGACTATTTAAAAAAAAAGAATGCTCTTCGTAAAATTAATTAAAATAGAAATTATATTATTCAAATATTTTATTCGTTTATTCATTCGTTGAATAATAAGCCAATGGAAAAGTTTAAGAACAAGAAAAGGAAGATATTCATAATGTAATCTCAGTAAAAGTACTCTTCTGTGTTTATAAATTATTTTTCCTTTTTCCTTATCTATCATTCAAAAGAAATTAATAGAATTGTGTAATCAGACGTTTTTACCTCTTCTAAACTACGGTTAAATGACTAAAAACAAAGTATGTAGCAAAATCTGTTTGAAATATTTCTGTTTGTCAAAAATGTTCTTATGTGAGGTTGATTGATATTTCATTTCTAAACGGATGTTCTAACTTGCGAAACCTCAAGATGAACAAAACCCATTTAACTGTAGAATACTTATAGACAGTTAAATCAAGAATGTAGAATATTTAACAAGACAACAGGTCATATGGCTAGATTTTTCTGTCATCAATGTGTGATTGATGATCGCTCTTTTATTTTAGAAATAATCTTTCGTATGAAAATGAATAGAATTTTGGTTTGAACACGATTATAAATGAGGTCATGATCCTTTCTCAAATTCATTAAATCTACTATGATTTCACTCATATTTCATATTCAAAATATAGCTACGAAAAAAGGCACAATCAGACTTAATAAAAATGAGTACATATCTAACTTTATTATTGAGATTTCAACAGATATCAGCAGTACCGTTGACAAATAGGAACTATTTTCAAGAAATAATCGATGTTCTCAGAAATTGATTTAAAAAAACATATCTTAGAATTTTCTTTTTTAAATCATAATTCATGATAAAATTAGAAAAATATTTTTTGTTTCTACTTGTATTCTTATTTAATATCAAAAGCTTATTGTTGAAAAATTTATCTGGAAAAGATGTTTGTGAGAAAAAGTTACTTATTTATCTTTGCTTATTTTAGATTTCATAAAATCAAATAATGAGTAGTAGTAAGTTTTTTTAATAAATTTATATCTAAAATCATTATTGATTTATTTTTATATAAAATAGAACATCATAATCCTAATAAAAGTTCATCTCATCCTCGTCAATCGGATGATGATCGACATCGTGCAAGTAGCACTTCTCAAAGTTCATCACGTACTGTGATCTACGAAGAACCATCGTCGACATCAAATAAAACTTTAAAATCTTCAGTTCGTCAAGTTTTCCCACCGGTATCGTTTTATGATACATCAACATCAAATAAATCTTCTCATTCAAAGCCCACAACTATCGGAACTGGTAAACAATCAAAATCTTTCGATAGTGATTTATATCATTCAGAAATTGTTGATGAAGATGATGATTATGAAAAAGAAGACGGTGAAATGGATTATTTACCTAACAATAATCATCAACAACAGCAGGATCCAAAAGGATCTCATAAGCACAGTAGAGTTTACTTTTTCTCTTTATTATTAAGAAAATAAATTTTAATTTATTTAGATTCAAGTGAAGAACGTTCAAAACGTCCTCATCATTCATCCAGTGGATCATCAATATCTGATGATAATTCTGACGATGAGGATTCTTCAAAATATAAAAAAACAGAACATCGACGAAGAAAAAGAAGAAATTCGTCAAAAGAACAACGATCACCTTCTGAAGAAGGAGAAGAAGCGGGTAAAAATTATATCATGATTTGCTTTTGTTTCTTTTTGTGCATCATAGTTTATTTTAGAATCAATATCTGACGCAAGTGATGATCATCATTCAAAAGAAGAACATCAATCAGCTACAACACCAGATGAAGATAAAGATAAAAAAGAACAACGAGTTAATTCTTCTACAGGTAAAAACAAAAAAAAAAGAAACACATCATATCTAGTTTAACTTCTGTATTTGTCAATTTTTTTCAAGATGATCATTCTCCAGACGATGAAGAAGGTAATGAAGAACCAGCACCACCTGCACCACATCGAAGTCGTTTTGATTATGATGATGATGATGATGATGATGATGGTGATGATGATGATAATAATAATAATAATAATAATAATAATCAAGATGACGATCAAGAAGGAGAACAAGATGATGAAAATGAAAGTGATCGCCGTCATCATCATCGTCGTCACCATCGCCATCATCGTCACCATCATCAAAAACGATCAAGACGTCATTCATCATCAACGCCAGCTTCGTCTTCGTCAAAATCTGCTATGACACCACCCATTTCGAATAATAATAATAATAATAATAATAATAATAATAATAATAATAATAATAATCAATTTGAAAAAGAGTTAATCGAAGAGAAACCTAAACTACCTAATTATTATCCAGCTATACAAGGTTGTCGTAGTGTTTATGAATATGAACATTTAAATAGAATTGAAGAAGGAGCTTATGGTGTTGTTTTTCGCGCTAAAGATAAAAAATCAGGTTTGACCAATATTGATTCAATTCAATTTTTTTGTATTATATTTTATTTTATCTAGGAGATATTGTTGCTTTAAAACGATTAAAAATGGAAAAAGAAAAAGAAGGTTTTCCAATAACATCGTTACGAGAAATTTGTTGTATTCTCAAATCTCAACATGAAAATGTTTGTACTGTTAGAGTAAGTTGAATTATTTGCGTTCTAAAAATATTTAAGCTTACAAAGAATATCACAAAAACAAGCGAGAGATTTACTTATTTTAAGAATATTTCAAAACGACCAATCCTTTACGTTTTCTTTTAAATTGGTGGCGTTTGAAATCTTCCATTTGCTTTCGACTATTTATGAAACGGTATCGATTTTTGAACATCAAAAATTCTCTCTTCAAGTTTGCTGCTGTATATATAGTATTCTTCTACGAATTAAACTCAAGCGAAATTCGCTGAACTTTGTCGAGTACTTATTACAGTCTCGAGTGACACGTCGGCTTGTTTTTTTTCCGTAAGATTCCCTAAACGTATGTTTATAATGCAGAGAAGAAAATAGTAGAATGATTTCAAAAATTTTTATCATGAGATTTTTTATTTTATTCATATAAAATATTTAAATGCGTAAATTGTATTTGTCATAGAACCATATTCTTAGAAGTTTGTAAAGTTTATCGTGATTATATAAAAATATCATTCCATAAATTCAGATTACTTTGGTTTTTTTTTGTTAACTTTAGGAGATAGTTGTTGGCGATGATATAAATCGAATATATATTGTAATGGACTATGTTGAACATGATTTAAAAAGTTTAATGACACATACAATGAAAAAACCATTTACAATTGGTGAAGTTAAAACACTAATGTATCAATTATTAGCAGGTGTTAACCATTTCCATGATAATTGGATTATACATAGAGATTTAAAAACATCAAATCTTTTACTTAGTAATAAAGGAATTCTGAAAGTAAAAATTCTTTCTTTTTTTAATTTCTCAATTTTTCAATTAATTTTTTCTATTAAGATTGGAGATTTTGGTCTTGCACGTGAATATGGATCCCCATTAAAGCCCTATACGCCTATTGTAGTTACTCTGTGGTATCGAGCACCTGAATTATTACTTGGAGATAAAGTAAGATTCTTTAAATTTTCTTAATAAAAAGTTCAAACAATCTATGTTCATATGCTTAGCAATATTCTACGCCAATTGATATGTGGAGTGTTGGAGCCATATTTGGTGAATTATTATTGATGAAACCATTATTTCCTGGTAAATCTGAATTAGATCAATTAAATCGCATATTCAAAGATTTGGGTACGCCTAATGAAAAAATATGGCCAGAATATAATTCACTTCCATTTGCAAAAAAGATGACCTTTTCTCGTTATCCATATAATCGACTACGACAGAGATTTGATGATTCTTTGTCGGTAAAAGGTTTCGATCTTCTCAATAAGTAAAGATTATAATTCAAAATGTTTTTACGAACTAATTTGTTTTTCGTTATTAGATTTTTAACTTACGATCCAAGCAAACGAATATCAGCATTGAATGCATTAGAACATGAATACTTTGAAGAAAGTCCTCGTCGTATAGATCCATCAATGTTTCCGACGTGGCCATCAAGAAACGAAGAAAAAGATAAAGTAATTAGAGGAGGTATTCAACGCGCATCTGGATCAAATACAGCTACGGTGCAAGAGGAGCCTAGACCACCATCAGCTGGGAAAATGTATGAGAAATTATTAGGTGGCGGCGATGATGATTCTTATTCAATGGAACAATTATTACCTCCCGCTTCTGGATTTCAACTTCGGGGTTAAACATGATTATTGAACTCATTTCTACGTGTAAAATAGATATAAATGTCAATAGGTACCAATGTTTTTGTATGATTGAAATACCCGGTTAATTTAGATGAGGACAAAATAAACAGCTATTATCATCTAAAATCACTCTGCTGATCATTATTTCTCTGTTTAAAATAGATCCATAAATTCATTTGAATGGACTCCTTCAAAATATTGACAAATTTTCAGTTTGCTCAGTGCTATTCATGATTGCAATTAATTATATATTGTTCCTTTTCTTTTCTTACCATAATGGTAGGCGTTGCACAAATGAACATTGCAATAAAAGATCTGACGAAATAGAAAAATGAAAAATATATTATTCGAGAATTTTCAATTCTACGGATTATTGAAGTGATCAATTAAGAGTAGAGTCGATTCATATTAGTATCCATCTTTTTCAGAAAATACTTTACGATGAGCACTAGTAGGGTGAAACAAATATCTAAAATGATAGCGTAGAAATTACTAAGGATTAGTAAAACATGTACTGTTTGTCTTTGCTTTGTCAATCGTAAAAATAAAATACTAGATGCAAAAATAAAAACAACATCAAAAAGAAGCAAAGATCAAGTCTTCCTGATTTAAAAAGAAAAATATCAGTAACAACTATTAACCATAGACAGAAACGACTAGTAAAACTGATGGAAGCCCTTGATAGTATTTTTCTTAGCTGATTCTTTTGATAAGTTTTTAGAAAAAAAGATGACTACAGACTACGTATAGTTTTTTTTATTGATATCCACTCTACAAGAGATCAAAAGAACACATATTCTTATCAAATCAATGTGAATTATTTGCTCAACAGCGAAGATATAGAAATATCATACCTTTTAGAAAAGGATTAGTTCGAATATATATATGTTGGAATTATACACTGTAATGTTACATTGACTTCTGTGCATGAGTTTTGAACTGTTATTGTGTGCTTTACGTATCAGCAAAAATAGATTTGACTCACAGTTAGTTTCTTATAGAGTAAACAGTCATATTGAAAATAAAAACAAAAAAAGAATAGACAATGTAGATCATTCTTATTTAAAATATAGAGATACATCAGTTTATATTTCTATTAAACTCATAATTATATAAATAGATTAATTTATCATTGATATTTTATTGAATATGAACAATGAATAATAGAATTATTAGTAGTTTGATTCGATGTTACTTGTAGAAAAGAAATATAATAATCCCTTTTATTTTTCAAAATATCATTTAAGATCAAGACAAAAAATTGAGTTGCTCTATCCAAATTTATGCGAAAACCAGATGTCAAGTCTTTTGTTCAAAACGTAGTATGATGTTGCTTACAGGATCTTAAGAAAATAGTGTTGATGGATTCGTTCTTGCGTCAAAAAGAATGATTGATATGATATAGTTTTTCTCGATCTATTCACTACTGAAAGACTAAATGAACAACTATTACGTGCTTCTATCATCTATAAAACATCTCATTTGTCATTATTTTTCTTGATGTTTCCTGTGCTTGCGAAAGCAAACCATCAACATCGACATCCAAATATTCGCTAATCCATCCGACACCAATGTTTGATATATTTGTCTTGTAACAGAGCCTGTCACGTGAGTATCCATCAATTCGTAATACACGTAACTGAGCAATAAAATGATTATGTATTAACTCATAGGTCGGCATTTGAACAACGATTTAAGTTAAATTGAACTAAGATAACTCCAACTGGCTTGATTATGTTGTCTATAGTTTCATTCTGATAGGTGGCAGTATAGTGGTTAAACTCTTCAATGGCTTGTCTGATTTCATTTCGATTGATATCCCGAAAAACGCTTGATATTGATTATGTATTAACAAACAAAATTTCATTTCGATTACTCTTCTCATTCCGCTGTCTTCTTCGTGGTATTGAGAGAATAACATCACTTTGATCATACGTACGGTTACGAAACAGCCTCAAACCACCCATTTCCACATCGTTAGGCAACTGTAAATTGCGTTGTATACAACGTTAATTGCAACTCTGAGTAAACTACGGTCAACTACTGATGCGGTATCAAACTGGATAAAACCAATGATTGTATGCTACGGTAAACTGACATTTTTCTCTGATTTTTATAACATGAGAAGCGATCACGATTGGACGTATTTTAACAATTGACCATCTACGAGTAGAACTAAAAGAAAAACATTCTTATCAATTTTGGAACAGTTCACAACGTACTCTATTTAGAAGAAGAACAATTTTGAACTGAAAAGAAAGCATTTCATGATTGAATTGACTGATGAAGAATTCTTGTTGAATTAAAATACAGATGACGACGTTCAAAATGTGTAAATTAAAGCTAAAAAAAACTTGCCATCGTTGTATAAATACGTTCACTTCCCTTTTTTTATAATCATTTTTCGCTACCTAGTTAGATGTTAAATTTATATGACTTCTAAAACTTATGAATCGAGAGCAAAAAAATATCTTTCGGATTTACATCAGCTGTTCTTTAATAATCGAATTTCCTTAAGAATACGTAAATAAAGACTTTTGTGAGTACGCAAGGAATTATATTTATATTAAAAAATAATCAAATGAAATCGTTCATGTTTGTAGATGATTTTTTACTATGGCTGTATTTAGATATGATAGATACTCTATGTATGCATTTTTGTTGAGACTTATAAGAGCAACTGACAATAGTCAATCAATTTTCGGTCTCTGTATAAAGTAAAGACGTTAAGAATCACTTAGCTGATCAATATTTTTTTTCTCCTTTCATTGACATGGTACGTTATAACATTAAAATAGTTGTATCATTGTGAGAGCCGAGTAATTGATTATGAATGCATGTGTCTAATTATTTTTCTTGCATTTCAACTTTGAGCCACGAATATGTTTTAAATAATTCACAAGCAAAACAAAGTGCTTCAGTATGAAGATCAGCTGTAGAATGTATTATCGAAGTTACAAAACGGTAGTAAATATTATTTTCCAAAGCATTGAATATAGCAATAGCAATGCGCTGTTCTCTTTTCACTTTTACAAGCACGAACTGTGACAAAATGTGCAGCCCGCTTTGCTATTAAGAAAAGAAAAACTTGCCTTCGTTGTACTTCTTCGATGGCATGTGACATACACCATTTTGCAAAACCAGCTGAATTCATTCTATTCGAGCGGCAGTGCTACTGTTCAATCAAAAATTCTATAGTAGATCTTAGAGATTTAGTTGTTTTTGAGAGTCTACATCCTAAGAATTACTTTGATATTTTCCGTTTAACATCAGTGTTGTTTAATTTCAATACGTCGATGTAGTACGATGAAGTCTATCTATTTTTGCGTACATATGCTTTTCTATGGATCATCATGTACAAACAATATATCGTTTCGGAATGAATCCCATTGGTTCAGTTGAGTTTCTTGAGACTTTTAGTTAATAATGATGCGAATTTGTGTGCGATCATACATTTTAACATTGGCCGATTGAAGCGAATTCTTATTTCATCTATTCTACTCTATTCCATTGTGTTCTTAGAAGAAATTCATGGTCTCATATTGAAGTTGAAGTAATGAAAGAAAAAGAAAACGTGAAAGTGAACAGAACGCCATTGGTGCCATTGCTGAAATAGGTGAAGGTTGATTCTCACCTCGACCACGGATTGAAAAATACTTTCAAGTTTTTGCTTCATCATCCTACTAATACGCAGCATGAAAAATAAACACATTCGTAAAGAGAACATCATAAGCAGTGCATGCCATCAAAACAAAAATCTAGTACACATAACAGGTCAAATCAGCGATTGAAAACAGCGACGAATAGCATGCATACAATAAAAACTAAATGATACTCAAAGATCAAGATAGAAAAAACATAAAATGTGCAGTTCCATTACAAATTCATTCAATAATTGGTTCGAGATCAGTTCCGTTGGCGAGTGGCCAGTGTTGATTGATTCCAATACACTAGCATTCAATTTTATATTTGAGATCAACAAAGAATACAACAATTATTTTGACAATGCAGCTATTTAAACTGAAAATTCAACACAATATCTCATGCATGAAATTTTTAGTAGTAAAAACATTCTTATAGTAGTAAACAGAGACAGAATGAACGTTACTCTTCCATATTGGTGTATTCGTTGATCCACGAATGTTCAAATGAAGTTGTTTTTTGAAGTTTCAAATAAACACTGTTCATCTAGGAAGAAAAGTTATTTACATAAGATATTTAACGAAAGGTGAAATATTTATGAAATACTTTTCCTTACTTGAGTATTATGAATAATATCGTGTTAAGTTCATCTTATACTTATAAATCTTTGATGGTTGAATAAAAAAAAACAATTATAGTATAACAGAAGTACTACAATGACAACATGACATAGAAAGCAAATAGTTCTATGCATAACCTGAAGAAATTTTCAAAATTTGTAACGAACTTAAAACAAAGTTGTATAAGTACCAAACAAATCCTTTGAACGACTTCATCACTTGAAAAAAGTCTAAAATAAATTTTGTATTGTTGACAATCTCCAAAAATTTTACTCTGTCTAGGTAAAAAAGAATACGTTTTTGTTTGTGAAAGGCGACAAAAAATAGTCCATTAATTGTTTGCATTTAAAAATAAAATAAAGTTGGAACATACGTGATTATACACAAGGATAATTAAAATATTTATGTTAACCAAATAGTTGAGTAACTCATTCTTTTTTTCAAACACCATGGATGTCCTTAGAGAATGTCGGTGTGATTTTAGGGTGACGCAAAAAACACCCACTGATACCAACATCAGCACTGATGATGTTGAGAATGGGTAGGAGTAGAATAGAAAGGCTTACTGTATATAAGGATCAAACCAAGTACTCATAAAAATTTCATCAACTTAACACAAATTTGGGTAGCGCTGAGATCATCACCTACCATCCATCATCCATCACCATACTAATTCTACTTCGAACTCAGCCTTGCAGTCAAACTTGCACCTTGGCATTTTAAATGTATTTTTGTTTTTATTCCTGTTACACAACTAGTTTTGTTTTCTTTTAAAAAATGAAATGTTTTGTTAATTATTCAAGGATAAAACTGAAAAACATTTTGTTGTTATCGATTTCGGTTGCATATAAAAACGAAAGTAATTATATTTCACTTTCTTCATGTTCATTATTCAAATCGGCAGCATAGAAAGTAATGTATCTCCATGATATAGATTATATTAACGTTTCATCTGGTTCTGTATCATACTGTGGCAATTGTTATCGTTGCTTCAGATCTAGGTTCGGATGAAGTAGCAAATTTAAGTGAATATAATTTAGTCTTATTGAAATTTGTGGCCTCTCGTCAGACGACTTTGATATTTTTACTATATTTTGTTCTCATTGTTAGTTGAACCAATATTATATTTTTGCGCCGTTGTGAATGAAATTTTTACTCGTAAATCCGAAGAATGAATCATTAGTTATCTCGTGTTCAGACAACTCTCTCGATATTAAAGTTTTTTTTAAAGACCATATTAGATTATCAATTTGTTTTATCAATAGTTTTTGAAAAGTTACGTCATCAGAGAGACAAGAAATTTACAAATAAGAATAGTAACCTTATTTATGATTTTCACATGATTCCAAATTCAGCATTTGCTTTCAATAAAGCAAAATTTATAGCGTACAAGAATGCGATGATAGATTTCTTTTTTTTCAATTCAAAACTCGACGGCTACCGTCTCTTTTAGATTGTGAAAGTATTCAATTATGATTAATCCGGTATTCACCAACACAGCAGGTATGGACAAGTCCTTACTTGCGAAGTACATAAAGTTGCCACAACCTGAAGGAAAAACCATGGTTACATATGTTTGGATAGATGGAAGCGGAGAAAATCTGCGAGGTATATTATGCAGTAGTTACAAAAGATCATGAATGAGACTGTTACGTTTGATTTTAGCCAAAACACGTACATTCGATAAGGAACCTCAGTCAGCAGACGATATTTCATGGTGGAATTTTGACGGTTCATCGACTGGTCAAGCCGAAGGATCGAATTCAGAAGTATATTTGAAACCAGTGGCAATGTTCAACGATCCATTTACATTAGCATCTAATAAGCTTGTTCTGTGTGAAACATACAATTTTGATAAGAAACCAACTAGTAAGATTAATTTATATTTGTTAAATAGGCATTTACTACTCTTATCAATAAATTTCTAGTGACAAACAATCGAGCTGATTGCTTCAATGCAATGGAGGCTGCCAAAGATCAACATCCATTATTTGGTATTGAGCAAGAATATACATTGATGGACAGAGATGGATGGCCTTTCGGGTGGCCTAAAGGAGGATATCCTCAACCGCAAGGTTTGTCTCATCTGTTAAGCAATACTTGACAATATTGAGTAATTCACTTTGCTTGATTGCTAGGTCCATACTATTGTGGCATTGGAGCATGTTTGGCGTTAGGCCGTGACTTGGTTGAAGCCCATTACAAAGCATGTCTCTATGCCGGAGTCAATATTCGAGGTACAAACGCTGAAGTCATGCCAGCTCAATGGGAATATCAAGTGGGTCCGAGTGAAGGTATCGATGCTGCTGATCAACATTGGATGTCACGCTACTTGTTGTTGCGTATTGCCGAAGAATACGGTGTTCAAGTGAGTTTCCATCCGAAACCCATTGCTGGTGATTGGAATGGAGCTGGATGTCACACAAATTTCTCTACACTTGCCATGCGTGAACCTAACGGAATTGAGTAAATTATTTGATCGATACAATTATCGACACAAGTGTTATATTTCTTCTCTTTTGAATTTCTAGAGTCATAATAGCTGCAATCGAGAAACTCTCATTGAGACATGAAACACACATCAAAGTGTACGGCAAAGACAACGAACGTCGATTGACGGGAAAACATGAGACCGCTAACGTATGTTTGCTTTTCAAGTTTATCCATTTTCACAGACAAGAAAGATACCGAGAATTATCATCTTACAACAGAATTTTAAAAGCTTATCTACCTAATAATATTAATTTCTCACTATTATAGATCCATGAATTCAGTTACGGTGTAGCAAATCGAGGTTCATCCATCCGAATTCCTCGCCAATGCGACGAAGAACGGTGTGGTTACTTTGAAGATCGTCGACCTGCCTCTAACTGCGATCCTTATTGTGTAACAAGTCTTCTTGTACGCACAGTGTGTCTTAATGAAAAAGACGCAAAATAAGCGTTAGTTGTTTTAAATGGAAGGTCATTTTTCTCATTTGATTTTGTTTTTGAGTAAGTCAGATGATATTTTAAAAGTAGATTAAACAGATTTTTTTTGTAATTGAATGCTTTATTTGAAATAACAAATGCGAAATTTATTGATGTATACACTAATATGAATTCAAGTTTGTTTCTATAGTCTATAGATGGTAAGATTTCTCTTTAAGGTCTCAATCTGATGAGTTGAATCGACTATTGGATTTTATATGATTGTAAGAAATGACTTATATTTTCCTTAAATAGAAGAACAAAACAAAAGGAAATATAACTATTTAATTTGAATCCATTCAAATTTGGTCAATTTTAGATCTATTTAGACGAGTTGCACTTAAAAATTTGATTGATCCATTTAGCTTGATTGGACGTGCTGAGGAGGAATCAATGAAGACTACAAACAATATCAAGATTTAAAAATTTGTACTAATTGTCAAACGATTTCGATCCACATAGAATATTAGGACGAATCAGTGAGCTACTTGATATATTTAAAAAAGATGCGATCTCCATGAATGAGAGAATCAAAGCATTATACGCAAGTGACACAAACACTACAGTTCGACATCTAGAAAGTTTTAGTTGGTGTCAACGAGATTATGGTCTTTTTTGTACTAAAGCATGATATATTCACAAATTAAAGAAACAGACTGCAGCATCTATCATGCTATTGGTTTACTAGCCCAAGATATTCTGCTCTTTTTTAAAAAGTCGATGAGTCATAGTGAATCTTTCAGAGTTCTAGATTTCAATATCGTTTTACGAACCTTTTTGAGTTCAGTCTGAATTCTATGAGACATGAATAAGTTTTTGGAATTTTGTTCGTAACTTAAATTCATTCAAACATTGATCTCTAATGTGTTTAGTATTATATGAACAGTAGTATGATGTCATCTCTTCTAGATATTTCTATTGAACTTGAAAGCTACAAGAAACAACTCAGGCCAATCGAAACAGAATCGTGTATAGATCTTTTTCTCTAATGGTAAAGAATGAGAATACTACTAATTTACAATCTTGAACAGTCTGTATTTTTATTTTCAACCGTATTGCTAGGTGTTACAGACTTTCTTCACAGTTGCTTTTATTCATGTCTGCCAGCTGCGCTATTGGTTTTTGATACAATCTACTTCAGTTTTTCTAATTCATTTCTTTTCAAGAACAAAAACACACTAGCTATAGTTCAAAAAAAATAATGAATCATCCATTACTAATTCAATTTTTCGAAAACCACACATGTTCATGTGTTGTCTTCATTTTTGAAAAATATAAAGATTCTTTCAGTTTTTATTTCATCTACAAATATTTAATATAGAGGCTTGTGTAGTAAAGGTAAAAAAGATGTCGAAAATTTTAAAATACGATAGTTTCGATTATTCAAATGTATATATCTTTATTGATGCTTTGAGAGTAGAACTCTTTCAAAATTAGACCTAGATGTGTGTGGATGAAGATGAGGGTGCCCTACACGAAAATGCCAACTCCCACATGCTCTAGACAGTGGCGGCATACAATAAATAATTAGCAAAATATCATAACATAACTCTAGCTATCAACGGGATACAATTCAATACCAAATTGTTTGCTGAAACCATTTTCGATTTTTTTTCGATATTTCTTATTTCGACATTTTTAATTTCGGCGGTTTTAGTTTCGACATTTTCTGTAACATTCTATTTAATTAATTGAAGCGTTATTTTCAAATGAATAGCACACATATCTTAACATTTTATCTGGATTTTCCGTGTACAACCCTCAATATGACCAAAAACTGAACTGTTTTGCATCGAAATGTCTTGATTGATGTAAGATTTATAATAGACATACTCCTTCTGTCTAGTTTTGATGTGTAACACAATTAAACAGAACAATGTGACCATATAGATCATACTGGCATGTAAATACTTCATGCACTCTAAGAACCATCCTCTGTATTCTTACGTCTTTTGTTCATATACTTCGCCATACATAGACAAACTGTTCATAAAAGTCATTGTAAGGATAAAAAAACGTGGTCTAATCAATGTGAATGAAGAAGCAAGGATCCTACTTTTGCTTTATAGATCGTGTTAAACGAACTCTACGAATCATCCACAATTTCTAATCAAAACTGTTTCTTTTACATGACCGTTTTTGAGCAATACATCAAGTTTGTAAATTCACTTCTTTTCGCAACTTAATTCCCAAATCGTTTTCGACGAAAGTAACACATTGGAGCAATTTGTTGATTTGAAATAATATTATAAACAAAGCATCCTATGAGTTCTGCTTGAATCTCAGCCAAATGAAAAGCAACTAATAATGTGAATCATGAAATTTTCATGATTACTGTTACCACTTAGTTTATCTTTGGTTAGAGCATAGCATGCACTCCTTAATTAATCTTACTGCGTCAATCTATCTTTACGACTGATTCCATCAAGTTAAACTCCTTTTTAAAAATATCGAGGACTTAAATAAATCGGCAAGTAATAAAAAAATAAAAGGACATGTCTTTCAGAACATCCTAATTGAAACAGATACTAAGAAAATTAATTTCTTGTTAAAATCATAAAATGACTAGATCAATTAAAATACTTCTTTTTAATTGAATGAAATATTCTTAAACTGATTGTTGGTGTCTATTGCATTATTATAGTACTATATGCTTTTTCGATTTAGAGTACTTTATTTTTTGTATTGTATATATAATAGTAGGAATATTCTAGTGAATGACTAAAATATACATATGCGTGCAAATATTATCAAGTACTAGACAGCAATATATAGTCAGTTAAAGATTTTTCATCATTTCATCAGCACATAATGGTAATCAATGTGTATTCCATGAATACACGGTATTTATTTGCGATGATTTTTTTAGATCAATTGAAACAATATTGCCATTAAAGAAAAACGAATTCCTAGAATAAAATCTATACGGTTATAATTAGACGTTTATACCAAATAATATGGCTATTCAAGTAGTGATCGCAGTAGTTCGAATTGATATTTTATCAAAAACAAGATTGCTTGTCGCCAAGCTTTTGTTTTTAATTGTAATATTGTTGATACAATGCGATGGCTTTTCTCTGCTTGCTTTTTCCACCATTCGTTGTTGTCGTCTCGTATAATATCATACAGCGCACTATTTATCTCTCTCTTTTCTTGCTTTTTCTCGTCTTATTTTATGTATTATTATTGTCAAGCTTGCTATTTTCCTTTCGTTTATAATGTGTAGATGTATAGATAGATCGAATAGCTGATAGGCATATACACATTTAGAGAAAGAGAGAGAGACAGAGAGAAAGAAGACAAGCAAATAAGTAAGATTCTCCAAAATCTATCAACAATTACTTACCAGAGTCCAACAAGTACTTTTTAGTTAAAAACCGAAACAGTCAAAAATAACAAACAAGACGAAAAGAAAACCAAGTGAGTTGTGTTCGATCTCAATATAAACTGGACAGAAAAAGTTTGATTCATTCATGGGAAAAAATACACTGAAGATCATAGCAACACATGAACACACTGCCCACCAGTCAACAGCCAACAAGTGTCACTGACTGGGTAAGTTGCAATAAAGAGATTAGATCAGTTCATATAGTAAGAATAATATTGTTTCTCGGTTTAAGATTGCACTAAAAGCTAGACTTTTGTCACATGTCTCATTCGTGAACTGTCAGTGTTTTGATTATTAGTTGTTTCAATATTGTCATTGAAAAGAAAAGACAGTAAGAGACCGACTGGTGTTTTTTTACTTTGAGGAGTCGCCACACAAGTCATAAAAACATGACAAACAGTATTGTCTAATTGAAATAATAAATCTATCCATGTAAATATCTTAATACAACAAATATTTCTGATGATTTCGATTTATTCTTTTTCTTTCATAAGGTAATGAAATGAATAATATTTTGCTTTTTCATATACATATAAATATATATATGCACGTAGTTAATAGATTGTTGTTGTTCGGCTAGGATAAAATTAGATTTTTTTTTCTGACGCTCTTTTAAAGATGTCATCGATAGAATGACACAAATGATAATAACAATATACAGTAACTTGATTGTTTCAACGTCTGTTTTTCTTATAGTTTAGTGACAGTTTTATCAGGTTTTGTTGAAGATCATTATTTTAGTTCGCTTATGAATCATTGTCAACATGTTTTATACTTATTTTTTTTTATAGCATAGAAAAAACATGGCTTATTGTTAGATGATTACTAATAGTATAACAATAATCGTAGTAGTAGTACTAATCATAATAATAATAAATAAATAAAAATACATCTATGTATCACTAAATCATTGTTACCAAACAGCCATAGAAGAAAGAAATCTCTCTATACGAATCATTTTCATATTTTAGTCAAGCAAAAATATCGAAGGAAACTAATTAATTCTATGCAATTCTTAAAATATAAATGATATGAAATTGGTAATCAGTATGAAAATTGTGCCTAGTTAAATAATCATTGATAAGCGCTTATTTTCTCAAGAAATAGAATGGTTATTCTCTGATTTCTTTATTGTTAAACCCTCTATGAGCATTTTATTTTTCGTTCTCATCGATTGCAAAAGTGAAAGATCGAATATTAAGCATAGTAATATATTGATGTGTGACACCTGTTGCTGGTGTCATGCGTTATTAATAGTTGTATCATAATGGCAAATCGGCATTGACGTGTTTTTCATTTTTTGTTTTACTTTATTCTTGGATTTTTTCTTTACTGCGAAGTAAATGACACAAACAGTTTAGTGAGAAAAAAAAGAAAATATTGACATTTATCAAAACATTATCATGTGGAGGAGATGTTGAAAAAGGAAACTAAGAATCGATCCATATTTCGATTATTTGCTTTTCTAATACTAATCATGGACAACGAAGATCAACAACATTTCTGTGATATAAATAATCAGATAGACGATGGAACTAGTTTGCGTTATTCATCTCGCCATAGAGCTATTTCGAATGAAACAAAAATCAACGATTCTACTCAAATATCAGCATTAACAAAAATCTTATTATAAAAGATTTTGTAGAAAATGTTTTTCAAAAACTATTCGTATTGATCAAGACGAAGAACAAAACATTAATATTGATTTAATCTATGCGTATGATCCATTTCATGTTGGAGTAGAAGAAATAATTAATAATTTTAAGTTAGAATATCTTTACAACGAAATTATTTATCTATATGCTATAGATAATTATTTTTTATGCTGATGAGATACGCACTTCGATCTATTTTATGCATGTTAAAATCGTTTAGTAAGAATTTGCTTAAGATAACAACAGGTTCTTTTTCGTTTGCTTGATTAACATCGATCTAGTGATGCAATGATATATGTTTTGTCTGTATATTTATTAGCCGATGCTCCATGTGTAGACAAGGCTAAGTTTTATCATCGTAGTGGAGACTTTCTTTGGGGTTTAACTCGTTGAATGCGACGACAAGTGTTTCTTTTTTGTCTTCTTCTGTTGTTGTCGTCAAGAGCTTATCTTTGGGTGTGTCGATTCTGTCGACATTGATTTCTATCAGGTGGTGAAAAAGAAAAATGTAGTGTCACATTGGTACATTGTATAAGAGATTTTATTTTACAAGATCTATTGTTAGGATAAGATGCAATCGCATCTGATTAATGCTAAGAACTTTTTGTTTGTAATATTACAAAGGTATATGATTAAAGCTTAAATTTCTTTATTATTTTTCAGCTAGACCATTTTACGGAAGAACAAATTCAAGGTAGACGTGAAAAGATAATAACAAACAATTGTTACCTTTTCTACGCTTTTCTAGAATTTCGACAAGCCTTTCTTCTCTACGATAAAGATTCAGACGGTGCCATCAGCCCCAAAGTGCTCGGAAGTGCAATGAGAACACTCGGGCAAAATCCCACTGAAGATGAACTTAAAGGATTAATTAATGAATTTGATTGTGAAGGTTCGTATACTTGTTCATATGTTTTATTGAATTTCAAATTGATATGTTTTGAATTTTCTAGGTAAAGGACTCATTGATTTCGATGAATTTCTTCAAATGATGGCAAAACGAGCCAAGGAACACAACGAAGAAGATGAATTAAGAGAAGCGTTTCGTGTCTTCGATAAAAATGGAAATGGCTTTATTAAAGTAGCTGAATTAAGGTAATCGATATATTTCAATATGTTAAATAAAACTTGACTAATGTCTTAAGCAGACATGTCATGACCAATTTGGGCGAACAATTTTCCGACGATGAAGTCGATGAAATTTTACGTGAAATCGATACTACTGGTAAAGGAATCATTCGATATGAAGGTAAAATATTGGTTAAAAAAAGATTACCTTTTTTTAAAAGTTTTTCCTCTTTAGAAGTTGTCAAAATGGTTCTTGGAAAATAATAAAAACTTTCTTTCACGTGCGCCTCTGTGATATATACGTATGTTACTAAATCGGTTCTACGCTCATATATACTCTTTCACGTATCTCAAATAAACAAAAAAATAATGTTACAGTTAAAGCAATTGTCTATATCTCTCAATTTTTTGTTATTTAACAACAAAATGATGATCATTTCAAGAGAAAAAGTTTGTCATTGCATGTAATTACAGAGCAAATTTTGAAGAATTTTTATCCTCTGTCATCTCTTTTTCATTAAATCAAATTGGTGAAATTTTCCATGACGAAAAAATTAGATTAGTTCCTTTTGTTAGTTGGTTGATCTTAAGCATCATCATTGAAACAAAATATCAATCAATCGAACGAAACAGAAAAGCTTCTTGATTGATTTTGAATAAGTACAAAAAGATAAGATGAATTTCATACTTCATCAATGGATAAATACTTCAAATACAAAACCAATATATTTCTCTAGATATAAATCTGACAAGTTCTTTTTCTTTTTTTTATAATGCCGAAGTATTACTAATTATAACAGCAAATTAGTGTATCTTTCAACTCATTTTCTTATTTCAATATGGATCGATTTGTTTGCGATAAATATTTTTCGAAATAACTGTTTATGATTATATATACGGTTATTTACATTGAGCAGATTCTGTGATAAGTAGTCAATTAGTAGGAGATTAGCATCCAGATGAAGATAAAAATCAAGAAGACAAATACTTATCCTGATATATAAGTGATGCTGAATTTCATATATTAACCATTGATTAATTTCTATGCAAGAGTTTCTTCTCAAAGTTGTGGTAATTATCCGTGATCAATCTTGATGAATTAAGTCAAACAAAGAATTTAACAAAATTGAAAATCTATCTAGATACTTGAAAGCATTCTCAAAACACAGATACGTATATGCAAGTCTAGTTAAAACGTTAATGTGTGTTGTATGTTGTATTGTTGAAACAAATCAAAGATAATGTATCGATCTATGCAATTAATTTTTTTATAACGATTTTTCAGTTATTAAAAATCTAATATCTGAATAGATCAGTACAGCTTCGTCCATTATAAAGCTCAAATAGGCCAATGAGAAAAATTACACGTCGCCAAGCAAACAAGATTATAGACATAAAACTATTAAAATCAATAGTTATAATACTATTCAATGACTCAAAACACGTATTGTTCTATGGAATATGATAAAGGCTCACTCTATAATTATATGACCTGTCATTTAGGAGTTTATTCTTATTTTCTATAATTGAACTTGCTTTTTTAATTCATGCTAAAACAAATGAAAGAAAAGGACAAGTAACAATAAAGGTTCCCGTAGCCTTGATGAAACGACAGTATACTATGGTACACTGAAAGAAGAGAATTTCTAATACGTTGAGTGGTTGAAAACGACAGTAAACAAGAAAGAGTAATATTATTTCTATAAGATTTATACCTGAAATATCAAACAACGAGTATAAATTCAAAGTTACTGCTGTCGTAATGGATATTATCGAATACACGAATAGTAATAGTTATTCAAATAATTATAAGAACAAATAGATCAAATATAATATATAGATAGATATTCAAAGAACAGTAGCTGTTATCTTTAATGGTTTAGTTTTTGTTGTTGTTCTAGTTATCGTAATGTAGTCGAAGTAATTACTATTGCGTTTGTTATTATTATGACTGACTCGAAAGACGGGTTTTGTTTTTAATTGGGTGCTAATTACAAGAGATTGATTTCTTCAAAATAACATCGCTTATAAAATGTTTCCGATTGACAGTATGCTAATTAAAAAGCTAGAGACGAAAACTTTAATTCTATGAAAACTATTTCTCTATTCCTTATTTCTGTTCTTGGTGCAATAATTTATACAATCAATATTAGATTAAAATACAAGGAAAAAAAATAGAATGCTGTTTTTCTTATAGAAAACTTTTCGCTAGTTTTTTCCTTTAAATGTTTCAAAACTGCACATCACTATTTACTTTCTGAATCTTTTTTTAATGAAATTATTCAACAAGTTTAGCTCACCTACAAAAAATAATACGTAGATAGAAATATGGAAGTGATCATCGAGAAAATTCTATTCGAATCTATAATTTCAATCTTCTCCTCGAAAGTATTAAAAATCTATGTTGATAGTGAGAAATTTGTAGTTTGATCAAAAACTACATTGTTAGATCATTGTGACGTAAACTATCATATGGAATAATACTAATTTTCAAGTAAAAAAAGAATATCTTTTCCATTTAATGCACGTAACATTTGTAAGAAAAATTCATTCTGATACATATTTGAACATTTTTTATCGTCTTTTTTATATGAAGTGAAATTATTTGATAATATATAATTATATATATATATTGGCGGAGTAGAAATTAAAATTCTACTAGACAATTATGTATAATGGAATTAATGTCATCTATAATAGAAAATAAAATAAATGTTGATACAAATGCGGATCTACAGCAAGATATGAACTATTTATTTGTAAAGTAGACAGCATTGTAGACCATTTAGTATATCAACGTGTTTACGTTTATATATGAGAACAAGATTTCTTTTTAGCAGGATGACATGTTGTACCACATGGCACTTTAGCTGCCTTGCAAGGACATTTCCTTGTAGCACAACTGCCATTACAAGAACAAGCTTCCACCACTGAACTGAATTCGTTGTTGTTTTATCTTAATTAAATATAAAACTATGATTTTAGTTCCACAGATTTCAGTACCGAATACTACCTCTTTCCAAGTTTTATCACGGCCATGATGTCCTACTCTTTTATGGCATTCTTTTATTGTTACGTATAGTTGTTCATACTTTATCACTGGATTATTCGATTTAATCCCATAAACAACTTGTAATTCTCCAATTTTGACTAGCTTAAAATGTTTATGAACCCAAAATTTAAAAGAAGACTTGCCACAACCATCTTTCAGTACCAGTATAATGCCATTGTAAACTGCTTGCCTAATAACAAACTTTGAACGAAATTTTTCATCCAAAGATTCTATGTGCTTATCAAGTTTAGAATAAAACAGTTCCATTGTTATACTATGAGATTTTTTTCCTTTGATATTATGACGCGACGTACGTTCAATTTAAATATTCAACATCTTTCCTTTTCCCTTTCCTTTCTACATATTGCACCATTCATATCAACATTTATTTTATTTTCTATTATAGATGACATTAATTCCATCATACATAATTGTCTAGTAGAATTTTAATTCCTACTCCAACATATATATATGCACTTTCAATTAAATGTTTCATATTAATATTCTGATTTCATTCATTTGGAATAGTCAAGTTTTTTTTCTACAAAAATTATGATTGAAAAGATAGACTGAAATATAAAAACGTACGAGAAAATCTCATAATTTAGACAGAAAAAGATCACAAGAAAAACACATTTTATTCAAAAATTGTTTTTCTCCAATATTTTTTCAGAATATTATAAAAAAAAAACAATAAGCCCATATTTTAATTAAATCGAATTGTATTATTTTGAAAAACTCTCGTCAACATTATTTCCACTAAAATTGTTGTAGGTCTCCTAACCGAGAAACATGTTTTCATCAATACAAACTGTCGAAAAATGATTCATATTTTTTTCAATCAATTCTTCGGACAATAGTTGTGTCGAAGAAAAATTCAATAACGCACAGTATGTAACACTAATCGATAAAAGTTAATAACCAATTCACCTCCTACAGAAATTTGATTACATACTGCCCAAATTATTGTTAACATTTACTATAATCGGAAGAAAAAAACAAAGTTATTTTATGTGCAACTTTCATAATTTGTTTTCATAAAGTTAAAATTTTATTTTTCCTATGTTTAGCTATTACAAAAGAACTCAATTAGTGAAATATGGCAGCAAAGATTCAACCATATCAACAATATCTTCGAAATAAAGTTCGTGCTAAATCGCCTTCAAATGAAAAGATATTATCTGGCAATGATACCATTACACAATCCGACGTAATATGGATGCCTACATATTCGTAAGTAATATATTTCTTCACATTGAGATAGATTTTTGCTATCCTATTAAAGAAAGTCAAAAATACTTCAATGGCCAGCTATCCTCTGGATTGGTTTGGGTACTCTTGTATTTCTTTCCTTATCTATTGCTGCTGTAATACCAATTGTTGTGTTAACTAATAAAAGTAGGAAACAATCATTTCAAAGAAAAACAATACTAAATCTGCTAATCATTCTTTTCTCTTATAGTTCAAGCTAATGACACCACGAATACAACAAGTATGTATAACTGTTTCTTTTTAGTGGATAAAAATTTGAAATATTTATTATTAAAAAACATTTCTTCAATTGATTAGGCATTTCAACGATATGTCCAACAACAGCTATTACTACTACAGTTACTTCAAGTTCACTTCCTGATCAATGTTCTAATTACATAACGATCACAGACAGCACACGAAGTCCAGACTATTCTGCGTCGAGTTCCTGTGATAATGCAACATTTTCAACTTCTTCAGCATGGTTTCGTTTTACCGGATCAGGTGGAACTCTATTAGCCAGTTGCCCCATCGAAGAATATCGATGTGGGACAGATTTTCCTGGCTGGTATAGTGGAATTTATCCATCTTTAGCTGGTGCTGTTACATCTGGTTTTGTGTGCTATAATGCTTATGGTAATTTATGTTATTTCACAAACTGGATTTTAATAACTAATTGCAATGGATTTTATATATATTATTTAACACAACCGTTAGAATGCAACTTGCGATATTGCACAATATAAATACACTTTCGCTTTTACATATTTAAACCGAAATAAACTTATCAAATCAATCCTGCAAAAGACATTCTACACATAAAAAAGTTCTTAAGGTGATGATAAAGTAAATATTACATCATATTTAGTTTTCTCTTTCTCTCTCTCTCTCTCTCTCTCTCTACGTGTGTCTGTTGTTTCTTGTTTGTGTATGTGTATGATATTTTGTGCTCTGGTTTGTCATCAATGTTTTATCAAGTCCTTTTATCTACCTTCACTTATTTTGCATTCTTATTGCGATAAATGAATAGCAAAGCTAATTCTTCTTATACATAGATGACCTGTGCGTATCTTGGATTTTACATTTTGAACATATTTCATATTCTTTAATTAACAGAATATCAGTATTCTCATATATTAATTATCATGAAAGAAAAATTTTGATCAAATTTTTGAATATTCCAAATAACTTTTAAATGATGAATGAGACTTTTTCCATTGCAGATTTATTTAGTAACATTTGAATTCTATCAAAAATAGCTTGAAAATGATTATATTTGCCAGAGACGCATTCAATGATTAGAACCCAACGTTTAAGGTCAAATGAGGAAGTCATTTTCTTTACACAGAATATGTCGATATGTAGTCATGCATTGTCAAAACACGCCATACATATATTTGTGTAATGTTTAACAAGACAATATAGTTCTAATTCATCGAAATGGAAAATGTAGCAATAGAGTTTGCCTTTAAAATATTCATATTTCATTTGAATTTTGATCGATTTTATAATCTTTTGTATTCTCTTTTACACACTTGATATCAAACTTATTCGAGATTACTTTTAATTAAAACGTACCTTTATTTATATTTTCTTGAAATCATCGGTGATTATCAAATAAAACAATCTTCCAATAAGAAAAACAAGAAATATAAAATAAATTTGAAATATAATTGTACCGTTTCAAAGATGACTGCTTCTTGGCAGCAAAATTTCAGCGCTTTCTCCATTGTCTTTTGTGACTAACACTGAAAATATCGCTCACCGCACCTCTAAGTCTGACTAATATTGTCTAAAATGCTTCAATCGATCTAGTGAACCATTTTCATTCCCTAGATATCTTGGATCTTGGCGACCTCAAAACATCCCTAGCTGAGATATGAAAATGTCACGAAGGAAAAACAGATATTTTAGCAAGTTATATGCCATAGAAAAGTCAACGCCTCTGTCACCTCATTCACTACGCAGGATACTTCTGTGAATAGGATTACAAGAACTATGTGGGTTATTAGACTGACATCTACACAGTGAAATATTCTTATACATCAAAATATTTATTGATTGTATTCAGTAGTGGCATCTATGGCTGAATATAATTCAGGGCCTTTCTAATAATTTTCACTAGGCAGCAATTCTGAAAAACATTTTATAGTATATTTTAATTAGTAGTTAATAAATGAAAGAGGAGAATGGACACAATCTAGTAACCAATTAATCTAGATTTGAATCATTCTTTGTTCTCGTCTATTATGAATGGTTGGTCTGTTGAAATCTCTTTTGCGTTATTCTTCTTTTAAGGGACTGAACAAGGCATCGTATTACAGAGAAAATAATCGAAGTCAAGTAATAAATGGCTGGAATTTCAGCAGCACGTCTTACTGAAGAACGAAAGGCATGGCGACGAGATCATCCATTTGGTTTTATTGCTGTAACTTTTATATCTCGTTTAGTAGTTTTATTAATTGTAATATTGGCTTCTCTATTTTTTAGAGACCATCGAAAAACGCCGATGGTACATTAAACTTACTGAATTGGGAATGTGGCATTCCAGGTATGACAAGACGGAAATATATTTTTCAGTAATATTAACTTGTTGTTTTTTTGCTATATACAGGAAAATCAGGTACATCATGGGAAGGTGGTTTATTCAAACTACGTAAGTCGATCAGAACGAAATTAAGAAAATATAAAATTCTTCTCTCGTGTAGGTATGGTTTTTAAAGATGATTATCCATCAACACCACCGAAATGTAAATTTGAACCACCTCTATTTCATCCGAATATTTATCCCGTAAGTCAGTGTTGAAAAAGAGAATTGTTTTGTTAATAGTCTACTTATAAAAATAGAGTGGAACAGTATGTTTATCATTGCTTGATGAAGAAAAGGATTGGCGTCCAGCAATAACAATAAAACAAATTTTACTTGGCATACAAGAATTGTTGAACGAACCTAATCCAAAAGATCCAGCACAAGCTGAAGCTTATGCTATTTATATGCAAGATAAAATTGAATATGAAAAAAGTAAAAAACTAAATTTAATTTTGCAATAAATACTTTATTTTAATTATTTCTTTTAGGAATCAGAGAACAAGCAGCACGTTTTCGTGCAACAGATATTTGATAGAAGAAAAGAAAATATCTAATGTGTACAAACGGACAGATGAATGCGCAATTAGCACAAGTCTTCTTTGGTTGTTTTCTTTATCTTCTTTTTCTTGTGTCTTTCTTGTCATATTGTTCGGGTGTACTAAACTCGAGTTGACCATTCCTTAAGAATTTTTTTGTCTCTATATGATGTTTATTAATAAGTATACTTGAAAAAAGCAATGATCATGAGCAAATAGAAACAAATAAGATCTAATGGAGAAATGAATTTCATCGTAAGAGAAGCTACAGAGATATGAATCATTTTTTCTTTGTTTAAAAAATTGTTTGTATAAGTATTTCAAGAATTCATAAATTCGATATTTTCTGTTTCGTTCGTTCTTGATCTATTAATAAACTTCTATCGATAAAAGATTAGAATCTTATATTTTGAGCTATTAATTCATCAGATTATTTAAGTGTTACCTCAATAAATTCACTCAATATTTTTTATCGACTGTATTACATATGAAGTTAACATAGGATAATAGATTCAACGTAGTTTATCAACAAGGAGCTGATTAATCAATACTTATTGAAATAGAACGAAAATCATCATAATAAATAGTGATTGTTACAGCTTTCTATCAAGCTTTAGTGTTTCTAATAGCCATATTGTATTTGTCAGATACGGTATAGAAATTTTTTTTGTTTTCCCATCTATGAACTATGCTTGATAACGAAAATAATGTTTGTTTAAGTGCCACATTTTCTATTGAATGCTATGTTGATTTTATTTTTCTTACTCACTGATTTTAATTTCAAGGTAGAACAAAAAAATATTCTCGTCGTCGCACAGAAAAAATTCCTGAAGAAGTTGCAACAACTATTAGTCAACTAGTTATTGATATTCAATATCAACAAACAACTTTGACTGATGTCAATGCTCGTTCAGCTGCTACAGAAGAAGAATTTAGATTTGCATTACAGCAACTAGTTCATAAGTTAAACATAGTTAGAGCACAAAAATGTTGTAACCCTTAAAAAAAATTCAAATTTATGTCCAGAAACGATCATTAAAGTAGCTCAACAAACACGTTAACGATTTAAATGAAGAAATAACACGTTTGAAATTAGATGTTTTACGTGCAGTTCAAGCACAAGCTAATTTTAAAAATTGGGTCACTTACTGAACACATTAATATGTAGATTATTTTAATAAATACGAAAATATTTTTCGCAAAAGAATGATATTAATTTTTAGACTGAATGATAAGAATGCTCATCTTCTTTTGAAATCAACAGTATTACAACTGAAATTAAAATTGTTGATGAAATTCATGCCACTGATACAAGAGCTATGGCGCATAGTATAACTAAAACTACCGAAAAATCATCAGCTTCTCATTCTTTCAGTTCTACTACAACAAAATAAAAAATAAACAAAATTTGATATTTATTTTTTGACTTTTCAATAATAAATAGTATTTCAATGTGTGGAATGAAATCCATCGTTGGTTTTTATTATTTCTTGAAAATATATAGTGTCATTATAAGACAAATATAGCACCGATCATCGAATAAGAATATTGAGAAAATCAAAGAAAAATAAATCTATGTGTTTTAGATAAATCCAAAGCCAGAGCATTCATTCTAAGAATATTTAAAGTTACATCTAATGTCCATGTGCTACTTGATAAATCTTGTCCATTCCAAATTATTCTTGTTGGTGGGGTCGTTACACCAAATATAGAAATTTCCTCTAATTTATTATTCATATCTGGATATTTATAGGTCCATGGTTCAATTGTTAAACGTTGTGAATTATAGTTAAATATAAAATAATTATAATGTGATGTTTCATATGTATTAATTGATTCGCCATCATCCCAAAACAAATCTCCTCCCGCTTTTTGTCTGTCATCAAGAGCAACGTATAAATAAAATGGCTTGTTACGTGATAAAACTGTATTCAAAGCTGATTGTTGATGAGGTACAATCGAGCCACCACGTAAATATAATGGAAGGTAATTTCTTGGTGCTGACACAACAATTGAACCACGTGTTTCTATTTCTGCACCGGTATAGTAATTAAACCATCGTTCTGTTGCTGGTAAATAGACATTTTTTGTTGTGTGACCTTCATAAATCACGGGTGCTATTAATAAATGTGAACCCCATAAAAATTGTTCATCCAGTGACCAAGATGATGAATCTGTTGAAAATTCATGTGCCATTGAACGAACGACAGTTCCACCAGAAATATGAGCGCGATGAAAAAGCGTATATAAATATGGAATTAACGTATAACGCGTTACAACAGCATGACGATTTGATTCAACAATATTTGGTGGGAAAATTCCTGGATCTTGATCAGCATATCTTAAACCATTATGATTACGGAAAAATGGATTGAATGCTCCTAATTGCATCCAACGTTGGCACATTTCTTCAGTTGTATCTCCTTCAAAACCGCAAATATCAGCACCAACATATGGTATACCAAATAAATTAAATTCGAGCATTCCAATGATATTATATTTCAAATGTGACCACGCTGCCGTATTATCACCTAACCAATGGCCAGCATATGAACCTGATGTTGGAAATGTTGAACGACTTATAACTATTGAACGTTTATTCTCTGTTGCACGAGCTGCTGGTAATGTTGCCACTGTTTCTGACCATCCATATAAATTATGTACATCATAATTTTTATAAATTTTTCCTCTGCCATCACTGTGTTCACCGATCATACAAAGAGTTTTGTCAGATAGATACTCACCGAATATAGCAGTTTTATATCGTGGAGATTCCAATGGTTCGTCAAGTGGACAATGAAGATTCCATGGTGTAGAATGAGGCCAATTCCATGGTTTATCTTTATTTGTATCGAAATTGGCTGGCTCACTTAGATTGATAATGAAAAGAAAAGCAGACGTATTAAAGATAGAGACATGGAATTTTATTTTTACTTCATATCAATCCATAAACCGTCAAATTTTAATTTTGCATAATAATTCAATATTTGATTTTTCCACCAATCTTTAGCTGGAGGATAGAAGTAATCAGGAAATACTGCCTTACCTTAAATAAATCAAATAGTAATCATGTATTGTTTCAAATTACAAGAATCATAGATTCTTTCTCTTTTGCCTACAGAAATACAAAACAGACAAAATTAAATAGTGTATATTATCTGTGAGTATCCTTACGTTCCATAGGGTGTGATTTATATATATTTAGATCATCATTGAAAAACTGGATACGAGAAATAAATTTCGTGAATATTTATTAAGTTAACAAGGATTTCTTTCTTTCTTTCAAGTGAGTCTAATCGAATTCGTAAGTAGTTATTTGTAGATAGTCAGTGTTTTATAAATGAATATTAGCTAATAATCTTCTTTATATTAATCGTTTAAGATTAATTAATGAAAACTATCTACTATTGATTATTCTTTGAATGTATATTCTATAAAGATGATCTATTGATGTTGTCTGTCATATTTTGTAGACCAAAAGCACAATCGTTTAGTATAATGAGAGAACATGCATTAGGGTGACGATTAACTACCATTCAAGTTTCTATTTGAAACACGATATTATTACTAATGTTAACTTTGAATTATTATCTTTTTCTTTTATAAGACTCATCGAATACTTTCTTATGAAGTTTCTAGGTAATGACTTTCGAATTCAAAAAAATAAATAAAACTTATACCAACTAACCAATAGGCCAAACATATCCAACCATATTTCTATTGTTGGTTTCATTAAATTGAATATTTTTATTTTCCGGCCATTTAATCCAAACATCTGCTTTTTGCCCTTCTATGAAAACATCATAATTTGGTTCTTGAGAATCAATAGCTGGATCAAGAATTGTAATAAATTTCATTCCTTGTGTATGTAACCAATCGATATATTCTGGTAAACCTTTAAAACGAATTGGATCCCACGTAAAATCAAGTTGATTTCGAAAATAATCTATATCACCGTACCTAAATCAACGAGTATAATAAAAAAAGAATTATAAACGAAAACTTTTACTTACAAGACATCAATTGGAATATTTGCATCTAAGGTTCTTTGCATAGCTGCTCGCATGTTTTCCAGTGTATTATAACCATATCGACAAAGTTGAAAACCTAATGACCAATAGGGCGGCATATAAGGAGTACCAATAACAGCTTGATATTGTCGAATAACATCTTCGAGGCGTGGTCCAGCAAAAAACATGATATCTAAAATACCACCAAGTGTTCGATAGGTAAGCATTGCTTGATCATCTTCGAATTCATCTAATTTATAATCTTGTGCATTAGAATTAAATATAAAAACGCCAAATGCTTGTCCATCTTCTTCAATTACGACATAAAATGGATGCGTTCCATATAAGTTTTCATTTGTTCCTTGTGGTGGTTGATCACGAGCAAATATTCCATAACGAGATGAACCTTTAAGAATATGTTGAAAAGTTGAATGAGTATTTTCACCGAAACCATATACATTTCTTGATGGAATTGTTGTTATAAATTGAATAAATTTTTCTTCATAAATAAAACCTTCAGCAAAATATGATGTATCAAATATAATTGACTGTGTATCTGTACGTTTTACACGAAAACCAATTTGTCCATTTTTTGTTTGTGTCATTTCATATTTAAGTTTAGCCTTAACCGACGACGAAGGTGATGATGCTTGCCATCGAATAGGTACAGGAACTTCATAACGTTGTTTATCAGCATCAAGAATTGTTAAACGTATCATATCAGTACCTGATACGCTAACTTGCACATTTAAATGTTCAATATCCTCATCATACATCGAAAATACTGTTGATCGAGTTGTAACAAGTTGTTTTACATTTGATGTTGTCTTGTTAGAATCCAAGTGAATATTTTCATTGGCTCGATTAAAAATAGGTTTTGTTGATAAACGTGATAATGAATAACGGGTGACAGCATCTGTTAATTGTACTGCTGAATCATTTTGGCCATATCCACCTTTTTCTTTTGGTACAAAACAAGCCGGGAAACCAGGCTCACTTGCAATCTGCCAAACACATCCACGAGCTGTACAGCCATTACTTGTAGCATCTTAAAACAGACGAAATAGCATATGGGAAATAATACAAATGTAAATATTCTATGTAAAACACGTTTGTTAGCATATCTTCCGAATTTTAATTAAAATTACAAAAATTTATCTTGCATTGAAGAAGATTGTAAGCAATCATGTTTGGTATCAATGATAGTTTTAGTTCTTCTCTTCCAAATCTATGAAGTGCTAAAAAGAATTATAGGAAATTCTTTGGTATAGGCTTTGTTCAAACCATATCTATTGCAATTCGATGTCAGACATATAAGTACTATGGACCTTGTTAAGCTCTATATACTTCTTCTTGTATACTTATACGGCGTGAGAATTTTCCTTTCCATCTGAATTTATAGAAAACTAATTTTGAAATGAAGTTTACACAGGGTTAGAAAAATTTGAAATTTTCATTGTTTTTTTTTTAATAAACAAGATAGGCTAAATAAAGATTTTAAAATCTCTTGAACTATAATCTCAACAAACTGCATGTTTTCATTTCGCAAGGATCCATACAGATATTATTCCTGATCGATGTTATTTTATGTAATTATTTGATATAAATCTACTCATTTTAATCAATTTTCATGAAATAATCAATCATATTCTAATATATCAATAGATTCCAAACTTAATAATAACTAGACGTCATAAAATAATTCTATTTACCTTTATCTGGAAAACAATCTACTCTATATTTTGCTTCGGTTAAAACAGCCGCTGGTGGTTCAACAATTTCAATAACTGATGTTCCTATTGTCGGCCATGTTAATGTATGATTTTGGCTCATGGATAAGCCTAAACCTATCACATCAACAATTTGTGTATTAGGTCTTCTTTCTGGTTCAAATTGTTTATCATTAACATTAAACATTGTGGGAATAGTATCTAATCCATAGATAGCTAATGTATCTAATATTAAATTTGACATGTGTGCATAATTATTTTCAAGAACAGATATTGTTAGTTGATTTTCAGATTTTAACCATTTATATGTTGCATAATAATATAATTTTGATCCAACTGAATCAATGGATTCACCATCATCATAGAAAAGATCTCCCTCGGCATTGCCATCAGAATTTAAAACAATTACTAAACCAAATGGTTTTTCTCTTTCAAAAAAAAAAGAAAATAACATAAAGAATTAAAACAATTTTTCATAATTTACCTTGAATTTTTGGTGTTATTAGCAAATTGTTGTGTTGGAATGATAGCTCCACCTCGTAGTAAAATTGGAATTGTATCTAATGGTGCTGATAATGTCATAAATTTTTTTTGATATGGAATTCTTGAGCCAGAATAATAATTATACCAGTAAGAAGATGGAATATAAACTTGAATTTGTCTTACACCATCATCTGTAACTGGAGCTATCATTATATGAGGTCCAATAAGAAATTGTAGAAAAATATCCAGAGTTGTTTTATCTGTTGGATATTCATGAAATAACGGTCGAATTACTGTGGAACCTTTTGTATGTGCTTTATATAATAATGTATAATAATACGGGAGTAATGAATATCGAATACGAAGTGCTACTATCATAGTTGAGACAGCTGATGGTGACCAAGCAGCGGGATCTTGATCGGGTGTTTTCCATATATTATGCTAAATTTGATAATTACGTGATTTACATCAAATAAAAATATGTTGGAAAAAACTTACATTTCGAGAAAATGGATAAAAAGCTCCGACTTGCATCCAACTAAAAAAGAATAGACATTTTAAACAGTGAAAAACAACAAAACTATTTTCATTACCGAATACACATTTCTTCTGTTGGTGTTTTATCAAATCCACAAATATCTGCACCATTAAATGGAATGCCAAACCAATTGAATTCTACCATACCAATTAAAGATCTTTTCATTTCATGCCATGTTGCTTCATTATCGCCAAGCCAATGGCCAGACCATTGGCCCGAACCAACAAATGTGGAACGCGGCAAAATTAAACTTCGCTTTCCAGTTATTTGCCGCATAGCATCTAATGTTGGTTTTGTTTGACTCCATCCGTACAAACTAAAATAGAATTATTGAATTAAGTTATTCTTTGTTTTTAGGTCAAATGAAAATTTTTCTTACTTATGAACATCATAATGACGATATTTTGGTTTATTTGTTTTGGGATCAATTTCACCTTGTAGTGCTGCCATGCATAATGTACGATCGGATAAACGACCAGGGCGACTCATTTTTCCATCCCAACGATATGCGGCTTTAGTTCGATAAGGTGGATCATCCCATCGATTTTGAGCACATTTCAATGTATAATTACTTCCTGTATCTGCTGCATTCCAAGGAGCTGCTTCATTAGTATCAAATAAAGCTAAAAAAATTCATTAAAAAATTAGTAAACAACAAAAACACAGTGCTATCATCAATTATTACCGGGTTCATTCATGTCAATCCATAGTCCATCAATCGATAGATTAACACGACGAAAGTCAATAATCCATCGTGACCACCAATCTTGTGCTCGTTTAGTAAAAAAATCTATGCATAAACATGTATTATTTTTGATTTTGTATACCGAAAAATGGCGACTAACCTGGAAAAAAGACATCTCCTGGCCAACATGAACCTTTCATTAATGTTTTCGTATCATCCCATTTAATGAAAACATCTTCGTTTATGCCTTCAATAGTTGGTTTATAATTAACTTGATCATCAATGGTGCCCGGATCCAAAATAACGATGGTTCGTACACCTTCACTATTTAATTGAGCAAAATATTCTTTCATACCTTGAAAATGTTTTGGACTAATTGTAAAATCTTTCGCAGCATCCATATAATCAATATCAGCATATTGAACATCAAGTGGTATACCAGCATCTCGATTTCGCTTAATGATATTTTGCATGTGAGTTAAATTTGAATAATCCCAACGGGAAAGTTGAAAACCAAGTGACCAATACGGTGGTAATATTGAACGACCAACAAGCCATGTATATTGTTGAACAACTTGTTCTGGTGTTGGACCAAGAAAAACAAAAAAGTCCAAGATACCACCAATGGTTCGCATAGTTAATGAAGGTGTTGTTCCAAATGCATAATCCATAGCGTTTGAATTAAGTAAAAGAACACCATGCATACGACCAGATGGAGCTTCGTTAGAATTTAATATTTGTTCCATAACAAGATAGAATGGATGAGAACCATAATGGTTTGCATTTGAATCCCAATTCGTTCCTTGAATTAAAAGAAAAAACATCAAAGGAGTCAATGGCAATACGCTTTAGTCGAATAGTCGATACTAGTCGATTAACATTCACCAATGAATTACTTCTTTTTGCATTGTGAGTATGGATGTGAAAAATATTGGCGAATATAAAAATCCCATAACTGAATTAAGTTCATCAGTAGGTAGAGAATTTGTTCCATGGAAAAATAACTACAGTGGCAAATTGATACTAACTCAGATAATCACGGGGAAGTAAGTCGAGTGGTTCTATTTTTGAATTGATTTACTATTAAGTCTAATGAAAAAAGTCTCAAAACATAAAAATTTGTTTTTTGCTCTTCAAATTCATCTGTGTGGCTCTATGAATATCTATGGAGAACACGACTCATGTTTATGTCTGAATGACGAACCTTGATCACGAGCGAATATTCCCCATGATTTTTTTTCTTGAACATTATGTTTAAGTGTATCATGATTATTTTCGCCAAAACCATAAACATGTGGGGATTGAAGTCGAGTAACGATTTGAAGAAATTGATCATTCAAAACAAGACCACCAAGTGATGTATCAAATAAAACTGTTTTGTCATCTTTGCGTTTTATTGTAAATGAAAGAATATTATCACGTGAACTATCTGATGTATAGCCAAATTCATATTTTGGTGAAGATATTTCAGCAGAAGCAGGTGTCAACGGTATTGGTACCTAAATCATTTCAAAAAGAGTCACTCCAGTTTATTCTCAATCATAATGCAAAAGTCTAAGTACAATTTATTTTAATCATTTTTTAACTCGTAATAAATTAGAGGCAATATTCCTTCTAGAAAAACATTCTAAAGTTCTTTCAAAACGAAGAAATAATTTGTACTAAGGCTTTCGTGTCTCAGACTTCTTATTCTTCTTCTTTTCTTCTTACTTCATATCGTTCGTTGTCAGCATCATATAATTTAAATCTGATAATATCAGTTGTATAATGTTGAACATCAAGTAAAACATTTTCAATAGGTTGTTGAAACATACTACCCACTGCTGAGTTTCGCTTTAACTTCAATCTTAAGCCATTATTCATTTGTTCTGCAGAATCTTGTAATATGTAACCATAATTAGGTGGTAAATAGCATTGTATAACACCTGAGCCAGCTCCCTCGTCAAATAAACAATTTCTAGCTAAACATGATTGTTTTGAATAGTCTCCGTGTGGTGAAGCAGCTTCAGGATAACAATCGATACGTTGATCTATCGACGCTGATTTTTGTTGTTTTGATAATAGTGTACGAGCAGATACCCTTGCTTGTATTACAAAAATAATTACAAGAAGAGTAAATATTAGAGAATATCTGATTCTTCTCATCGTAAGACACCAGCACAGTGCCTATATCACGAAAAAAGAAACTTGTATTAAGCAAAACATTTAAAAAAAAGGATATTAATATTTATATAAGAAAAAAAAGAATCCGATGCGAAGAAAGTCATATGGCTCTTACCCTTCTTCTATACTTCGGAATACAACATCGCAAAAGCATAAGAATGATAATAATTCAATTATTCGATAATGCATAATCATACCACAAACAGACCCACAATCCGAACAATTTAATGAGTAATTCTATTGTATAAAATAACTAATCAATATAGCTTATCTAGAAAGCAAATAGTCTTTTCGGTGCTATTTCAAATGGCAAAATTATCGTGTGTGCTTTTTCTCACACTGAAAATCAAATATCAATTCTTTGGCGATCATGCTCTTTAAAATGTTACCCTAATCCACTCTCTCCCGACGACTCCCTAGGGACACCCTGGGGATTCTTTTAGGGAGAGTTGACTAGGGTATCCAATAAAGAACTGAAATATTTTACGGTAGTTTACAACTGTATTACTATTGCTATGACCTTGAACAAATGAGATCATCAATTATAATTAAGCCTTTAGAAATAAAATGATGATATTCGCCCCATCTAGAAACCATTTTAGAGTTTGTTCATCGTCAGTTCCTAAATTTTCTGCACTCGAAAAGTTGTCAACCTACGTTAAATATATAGAAACATATTCTTAATTTCTCATCATTGATATTGACCAAGCTTATAGAGAAAATTTATATCTACCAGCGAAAATGAGAATCAATCATCCATTCATTTTTCTGACTGTATTCAGTTACTACAGGTGAACTGTGTAGTTATGGACTAAACCAAGCGTAAAAATAGAATCTATTTTTACTTTGCGTCCGATTTCTAAAAGGAAACAAAAAGCAAACGTACAGATCAAATAGAATTCCTGCAAAAATTCATTAGCGAAATAATTTGAAAGCAATTTGATTTGATTTCAACGACAACATCAAGTATAATCTTGAAATAATGCATTTCGAAATAAGTAAAAGGATTAATAGAAATATGCTGATGCCTATTTTATTTTTGAGATTAGTATTTTATTGCATCAAAGGCATCTGACATTACTCGAAAAACAGATGTAATCGAGAAAACAACAGGAAAACTACATATCTAAACTATTTTTTTTTATTAATTTCTAAACGAATATTGAACAAATATAAATATAAATGTAAAGGCAGCGATGAAAATAAACAACAATAAAATGTTCATAGATTGTTTTCAAAAAAATATAAGTAGACTAGTTGCATTCGTGTACAAGATTTTTATAAGTTTCGTCATCAATTTTGACAAAACATTTATCTTTAAATGAAAACATATACACTTCTCCCTTGTATATATCAGTCCACAAAGCATGGACTTGTAATTGCTTTCGATTGAGACGTTCTCGTAAGAATGGGTATGATAAAAAGTGCTGTAATTGTTCCAATGTATTAACCTACAATATCGAAGTTTATTTTTTTCACAATAAATAAATTATCGTCTATCGATCATACTTGAGATAATTTATCCGAATGTTTGAATTCATTATTTGGATCGATATATGCTTCAAAATCATCTTCATGATGTTGAGCACTGGAAAATATCAGTTTCTTTGTGTAATCTCCTGAAGATTCTAATTTTTTAAACTGTTCTACTGTTCCTCTAGCATGAACTTTGAGCCATTTTTCGAGTGGATTGCTAGATGGTATTGCAATTTCATTACGAATTCTATATAATAAATTCATCGCTTTACAATCTGAATGGCCAAAAACAGCTATGACTGGTACATTATTTCTTGAGCAAGCTAATTCTAATGCTGCACATTCACCGCCAACTAATGCATTATTTTGATAATACTCATAAGGAGGCACTAAATTACCTTTAAAGACGCAAAAAAAGAAATAGTATTCGTTACAAATGATTTAAGGTAGATGTTAAAGCAAAGCGTCTTACCAGGATTTCGAACAAAAAACAATTGGCCGGGTACAGCTTGAGTTAAACGAGATGCAACAACACGACTATCAACGCATGTTAGAAGAAGTCCTTCAGGCTAAAACAAAATCTTGCTTTTAGCGAATGAAAAAGAATTGAGCTAAAAATTCTTACAGAAGGCCCAAGCGCAACCTTTTGAAATTCCTCTAGAAGCAATGGCCGTAATGCATGACGATATTTCATAATACCATCAAGTATACGTGTCATCCCTTTGCGTATCGGAGATCCGGTAGCCATTTCTATATCGAAGAAAGAAAAGAAAAGAAAAGAAAAGAATTATTAAAAATATGAATGATGAACAAATTTTTATCTAATACACACAAAGTACTCGAATAGATATTTATTCAAAAATAATGATTTTTTTTATCAGTTGATAATATATGAAAACATATTTTCTACAATTAATTTGTTCTGTTTTATTTATGAGAAACCCTAAAGAGTATAAAATGTTAAACTTTTTCAGTTTATTTAAAAGAAACATTTAATAACTAAAACTTTTCATAGTGTCCCAAAAAATTGATTTCTTTGCTTTGAAAATAAATTCATTTTAACCTGATAAATATTTTGACTATTTACAATAATTATTTCTCCTCAGTTAAATTGTTGTAGTTCTATACAAGCAACGGTGTTAAAAAAAGGCGAAATAAGATGTCCGTAAAAAACGCAACACTAATTAAAGATGTCTACTTCGAAAATGTTTATGATTTCGTTTCTGCATAATAATCTTCTTCGTTTGACAATCAAATCATTCATGATACGCAGTAGACTTGAATCTTGTTGAAACTCATTTTTTCTAATAGTAGATGTACCGACCAACAGTGAGATGAAAACCATATCGCTACATTCTCAGAAAAAGAAAGAAGTTAATTATGTAAAGCTTCAGATTAGTTTCTCACTGTTAGATAGTTTTAGTATGACACGATTGTATTATAAATAATAGTATTAGGCTTACGTAATCAAATTTTCACACTGTGTGCAACACTTTTATGCTGTGTATGGCACATGGTAAAACATGATTTGTACATTATCCGTACTCAATATCAGTTTACAAACTATTGACTATCTCGAATCATATAAAAGGAAAACATAGATTCCTATTTTTTGGAATTATATAATCATTGTTATGAGTATGATTAGAATAAAAAGATGCCAACTCTACGTAGATTCCTTAAATGATACACTTTAACTTTCGTACTCATACGAAGGCTACCGTTTGTGTAAACAATCTATTCTATACCGATAGAGGGCGATACATTGGTCTACTTATAAATCATGTTTTTTGCCCTTTGGGTTTGCTTGCTTTGGTTGCTTGCTTGCTTGCTTCTATTCCTAGACGTATCATTCGATACTGCATCTACAAATGATTTCAATCCGTCTAAACACACACACGCACGTAGAGGTCTATGGTTGAACACATCAAGACTAGAATATAAGAATATTAAGAATATCTTTTATAAGAGTATTCATTGAAAAAAAACTCGAGTTTTAAATTTATATGATTGGGTAACTAATACGAATCGATGCATCAGAATATCGCCGTGAGAATGTCATCATAACTACTGTTTATTATAATCAAGGAGTCTGACTTTACTTATGAATACTTTTTTCAGTTCAATGATACCTAATCCGCTTAATTCAGAGCAGACACAGTCGTTCGTGTGAATTCGTACAGCTTCGCTGAATTTTATTTTCGCCGACTCCAACTTCGCCGAATAAAAATCTTGACCGAAAAATATCGAATCAAATTTGATCCATTCTAGATATAGAATTTTATCCTAACCAACTACTTTAATAGTGACTTGATTAATTAACCCCATCTGAGTTGGTAACCAACTGACTTGGTAACACACGCCCACACCCTTCTGCAGCCGATTATATTCATATTATTAGTGAATCCGATTGTCTTCTATTCGTTTGATTTCTATATGTATTGGCTTGTTTCTTGTCAAACAGTCAGATTTTCGTAGTCAAGTAGATGTCATTTTCATTGTGTTATCTATTGTTATCATATTTACATCAACTCATTAGGATAGAAATGAAACAACTGAAAGGTACTTTTTCTATTGAGTATTTTAACAATAAGCATGATGAAATAAATGTGAACTACTACGATCCGTATTCATATTGGGTGGTCCTCGATGAAGTTCAACTATTGTTTCATACAAAGAAAAATAAATAAACAGTAGATTCTCTTGAAACTTTTATTTATTATTCATTCAGTCAAAAGGTAATTTTGCATGTTTCTTTTTTGAAAAAAAGTTAGTGTGAATTCGGTAAAGTTTTTGTCATGATGTAGAAAAGAATTTGTTCAATTTTGATTTTGATTTTAGTTTTTCATTCTATTTAATTAACAATAGTGATGACCCCAACTAAATTTGCTACTCACTCCAATACATTGGACAGGAAGGAAAATGAAGAAATCTTAACAAAATTTTTATGGTTTTTAATTAAAAAAGTGCACGAAAATTCTCGATGATATTTTCGCTTCATATAAAAACATTATTACTCGCATTAATTTAATGTCTTCTTCTCATACGCAAGGAAATATCAAAGTTAAAAATCGATCAAAATATTCAAAATTTTCGAACATTCGCTAACAACGCCTGAAAGTTTATCAAAGTACTTAATTCCTTGTCTAATAGATAGACACATAACGTTAATATTTTACTCTCTAAATCAACAATGAAACTTCTTGTTTAGGCGTGTCGCATATGTCTTTTACCTTGTTTCAGTTCATGATAAATTATTTTTCTTCGTGTGTGCCTGGAAAGGTCATTTATTTGTGCCATGCAATATCTGGCTTGAAGAAAATAGTACCGAGTATTAAAAAAAAGAAGGATGCCGTTGGTCCGCTTATGGAGTGAAAGTTCAATTCTCATTTATTTATTTTTTTGAGCAAGTAGACATGACGATTGTTCATTATAATACATTAGCCGTTGAAATTGTAAGCGTGATGAAAATAGAGATTGATATTCACACTCATGCTCATATCTATATCATTGAGTTGAAATAGAGCGTCTTACAGATGTAAAGCTTTACAAACAAAATCGGATGAAAGGGTTATGTTGGGTACAAATAATTGTTGAACTTTTAGTTTCACAAATCGTTTACATTATATGAATGAATGACTTTGTGATATTCCAGGATTAAAAATTCAAAATAATAAATTTACATATGCACGTTCGTCAATAGCTCAGTGGCATAAGCAATGACGTGTTATTTTTCTCTCTTATTCTCTTGTCTTTGTTGAACTCATTTCATTTGTAACTATGGGTAGTCGTAAGTCCAAGATTATTACTCAAAGCAGCGAATTAACTGCTAAACAAATAGCTGAAATCAGTCGCCAAACAAATTTAATTAATACTGAAGTTCTTCGTCAACATTCAGCTTTTCTTGAACAATATCCAAATGGTTTGATAACACGCAAAGAGTTCTATGAAAATCTTGATGAAATTTGGCCAGAGGGTCGTATTGATAAGTTTGCTTCATATTTTTTTGCTTTTCTGTAAGTTTTCATTGTCTAGTTTTTGTTTTGTTTTTATTTTAATAATTTAATAGAGATCAAGATCAAAGCGGAACAATTGATTTTGAAGAATTTATGCGTATAACACATAAATTAGATTCAAATGATATTAACGAACACATTTTTCTCGAATTACTCTTCGATGTTTTTGACCGAAATCATGATGGGTAACTTTTTCTTTTACTCGTATTTCTATATAAAAAATTAATAAATTCATATGATTAAAATAGATATCTAGAAAAAAGTGATTTGAAACCATTGATTGAATCGATATACGATTTATCTGGTTTACCAGAAGATAAAAGACATGGAGAATATGCATCACATGCTCAAGTTAAATATTTATTTAAAAAACTTGATAAAAATCGGGATAAACGTTTATCAAAACAAGAATTTCTTGACCAAGTGAATTGGATGAATGACGAACGGATAGGACGATTCTTATTCAGTTACTATGAAATGAATAATTAATAAATAAAAGAACATTTTTGAACTAGATCTTTATAAGACTCTTGTATTTTCTATTCATTGCTTTTTTTAAAATTAATGCTCAAATAAATAAGTATTCAACTGTATACTAACATTTTTATTCACGACCAAAGATATGAGATATCTTTTATTATATTTTACTCTAGAAAAAACATTTGTATTACAAAATTACAGTTTCAATGCGTCATTGAATCAGTCATGAATTTCTTTCCCAAGTTCGATGCCATTGACGCAATTGTTATAAAAGTATTTGTTCAAGAAGTATTTATCAGATATAAAATATGACAAAAAAAAAGAACATCTGCTACGTTTTGTAGTTGTCTTTTTTCTTCAAAACTACCGAAGTAATTGTTCACAGTGATAATTAATTAATAAGAATAAAGATCATGATTTTGTATGTCTAAATCACAAAAACATCATCTTCATATTATTATCATTGACTAAAGAAATATGAATAGAGGACACGTCGTTGACAGTTACGACATTAGTAGATTGATCTTGTATTCTAGAAATCCGATGTAATTGAATAAATCGTATCTTTATTTTGCGTATTAATCTGATTAAAATAGATTATTGATAAATAGTGTTTCACTCGCTTTAAAATTTTCAAGTTTTTTTATATTAAATAATGAAAATAAAGATTTTTTACGAGCAGACATATAGATTCAAATAAGTTTAATATCAATTGAGTTTACTTATTCTTGTATTTTCCGTCACCATCTAATGGTTACGAACAGCAGTGAGAAAAGATTCAATGAATTCTCTATTCTCAATAATTTTCGAAGAAAAACTTTGAAATTTACATCTATGAAGAACGACAATGACTCAAATGGATAAACATGGCATTTAGAACGGCATAACTAACCAATGTGAACTAAAATAAGTAGAGAAATTGATGAAATACTTAGTTTTAGTTCGCATCGATTTTAATAAAAGTCGAATTTCTAGATCTGTTTTTTATTTTGATTGGAACAATAAAATAGAACAGTCTGATAGAAGTATGAAAGTAGAAATTGCCAAATTTTATTAAATATAGAAACACGCCTATGATGTCTTAGTAAAAAAAATTTCTTTACTCGCGAATGTACAATTACATGTCCAATGCTTTATAAAAATTATCGAGCAGTTTTCATTCTGCTTGTCACACACATTCATTTACATATACGAATGATATTCACTTTTTTGCCATTTTCATTTATTAATAAGTTTTTTTCTCAATTATTTCTATCTGACTTTCCATTTTCGAGATAAATTATTGAAATTTAAAACTTGCAATAGAGAGACATGATGAACATGTATACAAAAAAATCGAGACAGACCTTTTTTCTTTCTTATGCATGATCTATGCAGACTACAAGATTTGTCCATGGAATATGACTTTCTTGTTCAAGAATCTCAAACAAGTCACGCGCACGATAGAAAAGATTTCTTTAAAACCATGATTGAAAACAGTAGATATATGTTTACACGTTGAACTTATTTTCCAATGAAAAATGTTTGATCAAGAAAGTGATTGAAACTCGGAATTACCTACTTTTACAAATAGAATTTATTCTCCTGTGTGCACACCACGAGACCTGCAATAGGGATGCTTATTAACTATTAAAATCAATCATTTAAATAAGGACAATGTTAACTTGAGAAAAATGAAATCGATTTTTGAAAATCACCGACCAAATTAAAATAAGATGAATTAAAATATTGAGTACGATTAAAAAAAGACGTATATTTCTTTTTCAATATTAATCTTAATACGGCAGATTATTTGCTTGATGATCGATTATATTTCGAAGACAATGATTGACTGCTTGAAACTTTCTTATTTAAAATATTTTCCGTTGGCACTATAATCGGGTTAGAGAACAGAAAAATGATGAGGTCCATATTATAATCCCAAAAGGGCAAGGTTGATATTTTGTTTTCAAATGATCAACACACAAAGATCAAATAATCTTATACAAGAAAAAATGAATTGATACTGTAATTATTTTACACATACACAAGAATAGAGCAAAAAATTATACATCTATGTAAAAAAAAAAAGCTACATAACATATTTGACAATAAGACAAGGATATTTCGTATGACAAAAAAAATAATATCTGACTATGTATAAGAGTTAAATTTTCAATTGATCTAAATCAGGTAAATCAATTATTTTTTGTTGATTGTTCTTCTTATACTCAACACTAAATTGTTTCATTAATTGTGGTGTGGATAAATGAGGATTGGCTTGTTTTATTTTTTGAAAATTTTCTTGAACATATAAATTATATTTGTTAATTGTTCTTTTTGGTGTTTGTAGTTCTGAATTTGTTTCAATTTGTTTATGATTTGTCGTTAATTGAAAACGCCCCATACATTTACCACAAACATCAACATCAAGATTCAATGATTTTGAATGGCGATAAACTCTTGAGAGAAAAAAAAACAGAATAAAAGTAAAACTGAAAGATAAATCTTACTCATGTTTACATTTAACACAACAATAAATAAACTTATAAACAATGTCATATGTGTGTTTCACAGATATCAATGGTAGATAAGGATAACATCGTTCAACCATACGTGTCCATTGACGCCACAAAGGCCCATGACCGTGTTCCATGACACCATCAATTAAAGTCACAGCTGCATGACACATTTCATGTAAAAGAGTATCACGACAACGTTCTATAATTAATTAATAGATTGAACTTCGTTTTTTTCTTTTATGTAATGAAGTTGTTTTTACGAACCAGGTGAGTCACAGACTTTAACCGATAGTGTGATTATAGCAGTTTGTGCTGTTCGTCGAGTTGTACAATGACCAGCAGTGGCAGTTAAACGACCACTCCATATTGCGCTGGTGTTACCTGAGAGCTGAAGAAATATTCAAATAATGGAAACAAAACAGAGTAAAAGAAACATTTACCTGAGAAGAAAAAACATCACGATTAAACATTGATAAAAGTTTATCGGTTAATTCTTGACGTTTGTCTTTGCGCTTAAATGCAGATCGAATAAAATATCTATGCAAAAAGAAAACAACCAAAAATATAGAAATGAAAAAACTAATTCGAATAAACAAACGGCTTAGCATCAGGATGTTTATCTTCGAATGGTATACATTCAGAAAGCGATTGAAGAAAATTAAATAGAATATCTTGATCATCAGTCTTTATCGGTAATTGACTATTAGTTTCTATTGAAGCAGAACTTGATGATGTATGACTGGATGATTCACTTGATTGGTCAGATGTATAAATTTCAGATTTCAATCGAATTCTAAAAGAACATGCACGAAATTTTTTTCATTAAAAATTTCGTAAAACTTACGTTAAATTTGCATTTGCTGATAATAAATGATTGCTCTCATCAGACTCTTCAGATGTATAAACATCAATTAGTCTAAAAAGAAATGTTGAAATTAAATATTTAATTCGCATTAACTGTTACCGTTGCCATGAAGGAGCAGTCTGCATTAAAAGATGCGTTTTTGAATTCGAGTCTGGTGAATATTCTTTAATACTTTCGTTGGACGAAGATGATGATGAATCATGAATGAAATTTTGTAAACTATTACAAGAAAAAAAAATGCAACAATTGATATTATCATGAAGACACAATTAATAATTCATACCTATTTCTTTTTTTTCTTCGACGTTTTATTGGTGTGTTTTGTTGAGGCTCAACCACGTTTGGATTTCGATGTTCTTGTAAAACTATCAAGCAAATAAATACGTACAATTCAACTTTTACGTATGAGCATTATTTTATGATCAATGAAACTACACTAACAACAATATACAATCAAAATCGCATTAGAATTGCTCAATTTTGCTACATGAAACAATGCACACTATAGCAAACGCTTTTTCAGTAACAACATAATCAAAACTTTCACATCATACTAGACACTGTGTCGAAAGATTTTCTTTTTCTCATTGTTTTTCTTTCTAAAATTAAATCTAAAATGTTGGACGAATCCCCCAAAACACTTTTTTTCTAAGATCTATTTCCTTAAAGTTACTAAAACTGGCGAGCGTAATATTTATAGATTTACACGTTTAGAAAGTTCTTTCTTCCTACCTGATTCAAGTAATAAAAAATATATTTTCTATCTTTTTTTCTATTAGTCATATCGATCTACTATACCGAACTGAAGTTAAACAATGCCTCAGAGATCTCGGCTCTAAAGAAAAGTAAAATTCACTTTTCAGATGGAGGAAAAGTTTCGAAAATAATTCTTTTCAAGGTTAAAGCAAGATTTTTTTGGTACAGGGATTGATAGAAGACATCTCTAAGTATATGCTTGTTAATTTAAAAATAATCAAAGATATTTTGATCGTCGTATTTGGAAAGGTAGTTCGAGACAAGATCGTTTGAAAAATTACTAATGCAGCACTTCGTCATTTATAATTTGATAGATAATCGTTGCTGTGAGAAAATATTAATAATTTCCAACGATCTTGAAATATAGCCAAAAACAAACAAAACTAGGAAATGTTATTGTCAATTTATCTGCAGTAATCAATTAACAGCTTTAATAGTTAAAAAGAATGAAAATTATATGATTTTTATGGAAAATTACATTGTTCAAATGCTTGATCATTGTCATCTTCAGTACTGTCAATCGATCGTCGATTATTGGTCATATCCCTATAAAATTAAAACACAAAAACGAATATTAGAATTGACTAGAATTAATAAGTGTATAAAATAAATTATGAAGACGCCAATTCATAATAAATCGAATGAACCACTATAAATGAAATATCTTTTGAAATGTTTTATAATAGACTTCAAGAAAATGAAAAAGATGATGTTGCTCATGTTCGACTTAAGGTTAATGTATGTAGTTTATGATAAAAATTAACAATTTCATTAGTCTATTTGCGCTGCTTTTAGGTATACTATGCAGTCGTTTAGATAATATTAGTTGTAGGAGAATATTTCTTTGCTATTGAAAATATTTTTGTTAATCTAGTTTTTGAATCAATTGATTGTCAAGAGTTCCTGATACAGAAAAAAAAGTCGTTTGATAGATAAAAATCTAATTAATTTACTCATTATGATAGGAGGCCTTGAATCTTTAAACTATTTAATGATGAGAAAAAAAAGCAATATGAAAATACCTGCGTGATTGACGTGCTACTCTTTCATCATTCAATTGTCTTTGAGGAATCGCTAATAAATGAAACGAAAAATAAGATTCAGCTTTATGATTCACTTTTTTTTTCGTAATACTTTTGTCTTGTTTTGATGATATGCTTTCTGAATTCTTTGAAATATTTCTATTTGATGTCGAACATTTTTTGTACACAATTTTCTCCATGGATTGGGACTAATAGGTTTTCCTGTAAATGCATTAATCATTGTTTTTGATATTTCTTTAGTGAATGTCCGATTATGATTAACAGTTGATACTGGATTTTTGTCTGATTCGTCATTATCAAGATTAGAATATGAAAGTTCTGAACTAGCAGTAAAATTATGTTGAGCTCTATCAAATAAATTTGAATAGGAATCTAATGATGATTCAACATCAGTAATTTTAAATGGAATATCGATTGGATTGATCGATGATACAGTTGCAAAAGAGAAATCTCGATGATCATCAGCCATTTCGTGTTCATTAAAAGACAAAAATGAGAAATTGCTTTTTTCTTTGTTGAATAGACGATGGCCAGTGAATTCATCAAATGGATGGGTTCGATCGATCGATAGGCATATCCGTTTCAATTTTATTTGCTGATAGATTGAACATTCTTTATTTATTTCCGCTAGATACCGCTAAATGCAAAGAATGACCATCAATGTGTGACAAGAAAAACAAAAAAAAAGGAAGAACGATGCAAGAATTATATTTCAAACAAGTTTTTATCATCGAGGTAAAACTTTCATCCACATTCCATATTTTGGTCTAGAAAAAGATTATATTTTTTTGCTAAAATGAATAGAATTAAATCTAACCTCATTGTAATTGTAATTTCTGGAACATGTTTTTGACCAGGTATAATTTCAAAACGAAATCGCTTAATAATCATTGCTAACATGATTTTTGCTTCTAACATAGCAAAATTTTGTCCAATACATGAACGAGGTCCCGTTGAAAATGGTAAATAAGTATCAACATGACGTTCATCGAATCTTGATGGATCAAATTTAAATGGTTCATCCCAATATTTTTCTGAACTATTTTATATTTAAAGCTAAATATAGATGACAGAATAAAATTTACGTACTGATGAAGACTGAATAAATTAATCAAAATATCAGTTCCTTTCTTTATGTGAATATGTTTTCCATCGCTCGCAATCAAAGTATTATCTTCAATTGTTGTACGAACCAATGATGGCGCAGGCTGATGAAGTCTTAATGATTCTTTTAGTACAAGTTCTGTATAAGCTAGAAGGCTTAATGTTGATGCTGTGATTTCTTCATTATCATTCAATACAGAATCGATTTCTGCTTCTAATCGATGACATATATCAGGATTATTGACTAAATTATATAATGTCCAAGTCATTAAAGTTGCTGTTGTTTCATGACCAGCAACGACTAAATAATAAAATAGCTTTTATTGAGTAAGCAGATACTATATCGCTCAATTTTACCGAAGGTTAAAGCTTCTTCAAAAAGTTCTTCATCAGATAATTTACTTGTTTTATCATTTCCATGCGCAGACAAAAGTAAATCAAGTAAATCAGGTCCTATGAAAGTAAAAATAATCAAAATCGTAGATGCAATCCTTAAAACAAAAGCAACACAACCTTTGCATGCAGTTTTAGTAAATCCTTTCTTTCGTTCCTCGATAATATGTTCCACAGCTTGTCGAACATCTTTTTTTGATTTATCAATTCGTCGTTTACTCGATAATGGTAATCGATTAACAATTGGAATAATACCAATCAAATTAAATGTTCTTTCTTCAACATCTGCAAATGTTTTTGTAACAGCTCGACTAATAATTTCTCGAACATGTTGATCTTTCATCACTTCACTTCCAAAAACACATCCAGTGACAATGTCTAATGTTAAACTTGTCATTTCTTTATGAATATCAACAATTAATTGGTAAACTTCATTATTTTTATTATTATTAATAATCATTGACCATTTATTAAGAAGATTAGATGTTATTTCGAACATGAGCGAAATCATTGAATTTAGATTTTGATGTTGAAAAGCAGGTGCAATCAATCGTCGATGTTGAGCATGAATATTATCTTCAGCCATTAGGAGATTTTTAGATCCTAACAATATACCAAGAATAAGTTCCATTAGAATAGATTTATGATAAGCATAAGCATTTGTTTTCAATACTCCACGAATTAATGATGGATCACTAATGACTAAGCGAGCTATTGGACCAAATGATACATGATAATAGCTACCAAATTTTTTTGTCATTTCAATATTATAAGACATCGGATCGTCAGCTAGTATAGCACGGCGAATAACAAAGGCTTCACCTATGATAGGTGTGTATTGGCCGGGAATTCCTTGTGCTGATAAATCTTTGTGAATACGCCATGGTTTAAAGATCCAAAATTTTAGTAAACGATAAATTAAGTATAATAATGCTACGATTTTAACATAACAGAACCACATCATTGTTGCTTAGAGCACGAAAGTAAAAGACGCGTGCTTTGATCGCTTCCTTTGAAAATAATATGACAATCAATAAAATGCGTTCGCCGCATAAAGTAAATATGATGTGCAAGGTAGAAGCATAGAAAAAAATATTGTTTTTTGAATCACTTGAATATAATATATAATGTCTCGTGACATATTTTTAATGAATAAAATTGCAACTTAGTATTCAAGCTTTTATATTTTATTTTCATCGATTAATAGTCGAACCATTCCGATTGAAGTATTTTATTGTTTACAGAGATCATTTAAAAAAACAGACATGATGATTTATTCTAGAAGAAATATTTGAAAAAAATTCAATAACTATATGATTATGATATTGTGAACAAATGAACTTTTCTTTTCATGTCGAATTATTTCTCTGGGTCGTACATTATCTATGGTTTAATAAACTAAGAAATCATTTCAAAAATCGATTGGTATTCCTTCATTGTTAACTTAAGTAGACTAGTGCATATATTGTTACAGATTACAACTAATGTTTCCAATACAAATCATACAAAAACCGGAGACTTGCTTGGAATTTTTATAACGTTTCTCAATTATTTTTGATTTACGACTAAACTGAACTCGATTTGAACGGTGTTGTTCTTTCAGAAAGATTGTTCAAATGCTTCATTTTATATTGTCCGGAAACTTTCGCACCGCCCGTTATTTATCTTCGTCGCTCATTAATATCTCAATAAACTATACACATATTTAATGAATAAAATAAACAAAAAATTCACAAAAAAATAGTCACAAAGAGCTCTATTGACGATGATGAAGAGCATTAATCAAAGGTTTTTTGAGTCCCACGATTTCACTTTCCATAATAACAGGTGTTGCACGAAAACTGGTCAGATCTTTTGCATTGACTTTTAAATCACTGAAATCATATGTTGGTAGATAGATGTTTTTCTTATTCGAGAAAATACTGGTCAATATAGATTTAATCGTATGGGCTAATACGTTTTACGATCCAGTTCTTTAAATCTGTAGCAAGACTATCATTTGATTTTAAACTAGCTCAAAGAAATGATGTAAAAACTCGAAATCGTTGGCCATTTTTTTTATAGCGCTTGGTGCAATTTCACATTGAGTTTGTGTTGGATGAATAGCAAAAAGTCGATCGAAATTATTATCTCCAACATATTTTTGTAAATCATTGAGAAATTGTTCAGTCGCTCTCACAGCTAAATCGGCGACTTGAAAACTAAAATAATCAGATATCTTAGATCTCTTTAACATACTTTCGTTTTATTCTGATATTCTGTTATTTGAAATATTCAATTTGATTTAAATTTTCATTCACTGAAGATTAGAATGAGGTAAAAATATCAAATTATTAGCATCTGTATTAATGCTGCCGATAGCTGGTACATGTGATGAATCATCAAGTACTGATCCATGAGAACATTTCTCAGAGGGCTGCGCAAATACGGATACAACATGTATCGCGATTTTAAATACAAATAAGCATCTAACCTCTTTGCGGATTACCTATTCACTTTGAATAGCTTGTATCGGACTAGTATATCAGTGTAACAACCCATATACCAGCCCGATACAAACTATTCAAAGTGACTAGATAATCGTTAAAGAGGTTAGATGCTCATTTATATTTAAAATCGCGATACGAGTTGTATTCGTACTTGCGCATCTCTGCATTGTTGACTATTGATTTCTGGTAGAATATTATCTTTAAAAGCAAAATATACAAGTGGACAATGTCTTCATGTGAGTTATTGTCTAAGAGTCGGAAAACAAAGGAGCTCATAAAAATTAAAACTAAAACTAAAAATATATAATATTTATGCTAATTTACACATTTTTGATCTATCCTAGTGCAACCATTATTTGTAAATGTTGAAGGATTCTGATCTGCAGTTGAGCTAATTATCTCATTCACGCCAATAAGATAATTAATATTCATACTAGACAATGCAACCCAATTCGAATGTGAATAAAAATAATGTGATGTATGAAATAATCGTCCAAGTAATTCACGTGCTAGAGTCAATCTCTTTGTGGAATCACTCACAACACTAACAACTGATCGAAATATAATTATGAAATTTGTTTATTGAAAATTATTTCTAATAGTTATTTTTTCTTATTAAGTTGAAGAACACGTCAACTATCATTTAGAAATGCTTCACTATCAAAATGTGCTGCTGAAAGTTTACTTGAATTTAAATTAAAGTCTACAAAGGCATTTTGTGTCATGACTATATCAAGAATTAGTTTTAATGGAAGTAAATAAAATGCTACTCGTGCTTGATTATATTCAGGATATGCAAATTTATATAAATTATCTATAGTATGTTGTTGGCTAAACTATTCTTGTCCGTTAACGGTGTTATGATTACGATTATTTGGTAGAAGCCGTATTTTATAAAAGAAACAAACTAAACAACGAATCAAATCGAATTGTGTGATTTCTGTATGTGTAATACTTATTTCGCAAAACAAACCATTACTTGAAAGAAATAGCAATAAATCCGAACTTACTATTACTAGTTTGATCAGTGTCTACAACCAATGGATGTGGAATAAATGCATTTGCACAAGAGCAAGCGATTAAAACATAGAAGAATAGTTTTATATACGTATGTGTAACATCCAAGCAATTGTACCTTGATAATCAAGAGTACAGTGTGAATTTTATATAATACTATTTACAAGGTTTATAGTAAAAAAATGACAATATCATATGATTGAAATAGATGACCTACAGAAAGATGATGTAGATATTTAATGAATATACGTATAATTACGCACGATTAACAAAAATAACAAGATAATGAGTCTTACTTGAAAATATTATGAATAGAAGTTATTAATGAAAACTACTAGATGATCGCTATCAAAGCTGTAAGTGTGTAGGATTGCCAGTGAGTTTTCATTTGTTAATTATGTTTTCAAAAGCAAAAGATAGTATTACGCAAACAGACTTTGTCTTTATGAATTACACTATGAGACGTAATCGATGGCAGTTTCATAATATTAAAAATGTCACGGTGATTAATTAACTGGTCGTTGCCATTAAAATTATTAAATCGATTATATTATTCAACTGTACATATTTCTATCTAAAAATTCAAATATATTGAACTGTATTTCAAATAATAAAGCCAATAAAAGTTATAAACATCATAAATCAATAGGTTTCAATTGTTGCACAAATACCAACTCAAAATTTTCCTCTATTAAAAGTAGTTTCTTCAGGAAGATTTTATATAATGACATTTAAAAAAATACTAGTCTAATGAAACTTTTTCGAAAATATTCATTAATAAAATGCAACTAAACAGCTCAAATACCAAAGAAAATATTTCATAATAGAATAGTTGCAGAAAATAAGGCAAAAGCGATAATATGAAATTATTTTGTGAATATTTGAATTACATACTAGTTAATATGTATTAATCAGGTTGATATCTCTGACAAATATCATATTTTAAGATATAAAATAAAAATAAATCAATTGTTCAATCAAAATAGAAGAACAGGATAAAAATTAATTTTACCAGTGGAATTATTTTGAAACAAAAGAATTACAACACATGAATTTTCGAATCGATTGTTTTTTTTCTTGAAGTTGATTTTTGACAACTATTCTGTTAGATTTTATGATACAAATATTGAATTTTTCAAGTTATTTTCATGTGTATCTATCAAGGTTTCTCCTATGCTAATCTTCGAAGAATATTCACACCATTAAATTCATAGGATACCTAAAAAATATCAATAAAAGCCTAAACTGTAGTGAGGAGACGAAGTAAAAATATTTTTGTGTCTGATATCAAAAAAATGAATTATAGCTTACAGTTTGCTTTTCAACATTAATAGTTCACAATGTTCTACTGTAAAAATATTAGTAAAGCACATTGTGTAATGGATCACTTTGAATATCCATAAATGTGTGTATTGTGAAACATTGAAACTTTATGTTTGCAAAAGTTATTGAGAGACTTTTTCCCTACTAAAATGGTTTTGAATAAGTTTCATGTTGAATCGAATATAAACATTAAAACATAATGATAACCACAACGAAGTTAGAGAAAGATAATAAAGCGATCCGTAAAGTTGATATTATTTTATATAGATATATATTTTGTATCGAATGATTACAATACAATCAATAAAATAGTAGATTTAATTTTTATGCTCGAGCAAGCGATTCAATTTAGCATTTAAAAAATTATCCAAACAAGAATAAAATTCATAAAAATGAATCTGAATTATTATTTGAAATTGAGATTTATCGACATTTCTCTGCAAAAAAAATTCTTCACTCGAATGTTACGAAAATGATACATGGATCTTGCAGAAAACTTTAAAATTACCATGACCGATACTTTTGTTTCTACTTAAAACAGCGTAAGTTAGATTCATTATAGTTGGATTTTTAATGTTTGCAATTCACTTTCGATTTTTTTTTCTAATTATTCTTTGAAGAACATAGCACTTATTCGTGTTATATAATGTTGATTAGTATTGTTATTACATATGTGAAATTTTCTTTCAATAACAATAATAGTACATCTGAGAGAACGCTGATAGAGGGCGCTTTCCGCATGAGTATATTCCAGAACTTTGTATTAAATGACTTGAAATGCTTAATGGCAGTCTATTTGGGCGTGAATTATCTTTACTACACGAGAATATTGAGAAATATTTCATTGAAACATATAAGGGAATAAGAAAGAATTTCAATTGAATAATTTAATTCACCTATAACGCAAATAGTATGGTTCCATTGCATTCTATCTGTCTCGTTCTATATTCTAATGACTCATTCCAAAGCAGAGTATATGACAAACATCTACTGTGATGTGATCGATCATAAATAACGACACGCATACATTTTTGAAGAAACCGTTCTATCTTTATTTAAATGATTCCTATATAGAAAAATAATTCGACCAAAATATTCTTGTCATCTTTATCATAGATCTTGACTAATGACCGGTAAGGATTATGAAACTTGACGAGGATCAATAGCAACTTGTGAATCTTTATGTATTTTTCAACACGAAAGCATACTTAGACAATCTCTCTAATAAAAGTAGCTTAATTATTTCTAAGAGAAAAATTGTATGCGTGCTTCCAAAAAATGTTCAGCATCCTCAATCTGGCATATCAATAAATATTGTTTGAATTAAACTAGAAAAACATTCATTCCAATGATAAATATTCTTTGAGATATGGGAAAGAAAAAATTTTTCAAATGGACGCATGGAAAATGTTTTGATTGTATATCTCTTTTTTCGATGACAATAAAAATAGCCGCCGATACAAATGTTCTTTTTCTACTAGAGTGAAGGCGTCCTGATTTACATACAGTGCCGCCACATCATCACACTAGAGAATTCGTCACATGTACTTGATGTCAAGTGAGAAGTAAAACAAAAACTTGAATTTCTTAAAGTGTGCAGTTACCTTGGACCTGAATAATTTTAGTTATATCATTATATTTCGCTATACCTAGACGACAAAATCAAGTGGACGAATAGTAAATTCATGTTTACTTTCAAAAAAAAGACCCAAATAGTTGTTGTTAAGACATTCTCTTCTTACTTCAAACAAATATCTTAGTAATTCGATGAAACTGATCAGCTAGATTATCGAAACATTGACTGGCAGTATTCCCTAAAAATCATTGTATATGTATATATTAAGAGAAAAGGTAATAATCATCAATATGCACTTTAATTGATGGCATAGGCAAGATGGATAATAAATTTAAAGAAGAAGATCATTGAATAAATGTAATTCATAAATATGAATTTTATTTCGTAGATAAATGAATTTTCATGGAGGGTACACTTTTAAAATGGACTAACTATTACAATGGTAAGTAGATGAAAATAATAGAAACGTATTAATTGTAAAATTGTTAATAAAAGGATGGCAACCACGTCACTTTATTTTAAATGAAACGGGAATTATTTCTTACTATAAATCAAGTGAATTAATTCATGAAGGTTGTAAAGGATCATGTTTAGTCGTTGCATGTGAACTCAAAAGTAAAATAGTTATTTCATTGATATTTTTTTTAAGACAATTATGAAAAATGTTGATTTTGCTTTTTGTTTAGTTCATCCGCACGATTCACTTCGTTTCGATTTAATAATACCCGGTGAGCAATTTTTTTGTTTAAAAGCAAAATCACCATCTGAACGACAACGCTGGCTCGTTGCATTGGGCTCTTGGAAAGCAAGAGGAACTAAATCGACTACAAAATCAATAAAAACATCGAATGATAATACACCATCATTAAGTAAGAAAAACAACAAGAAATTGTATTATTTTCATTCCGATTTTCTTTTATTTAGTTTCTCATTTAAATGCAATCGATGATGAACTTAAATTGAAAGTACAAGAATTACGTCTCTATGAAACTGTTCTGATGCAACGCATTCACGCGGTTAAGTTCATTGCAAATGACACACCAACACCAGATGTTAAAGTATATTTTTTGTCTTTTTTTATTGTAACATTTTATGGAAATATTCTTTTTTTTTTACTTCAAAGATACTAGATGAAGCAACATCAATGCTAAATATTGCTTGTGATGCTTTTATACATACACTTGATGAATGCGTTAAACTAGCAACAAGTGGCTCATCACAATCATTGCTTTTATCATCTTCAACTCCATCTCTAGATTCAAATAATATGCTAATAGATAGAACTGTATCAAATGAAATGAATTTTAATAAGTTTGTTATTCTATGAATTTTATAGAATATTTTATTATTAATCCTCAATTTGTTTCTGTAGAACTACAGATGTATTAATGGTTTTACCGAAACAAATCGTATATCGAACTTTTTTTTCTGAAATTATTTATACGTAAGTCAAATAAATTCGAACTATTGTTTCTAGAAACATCTGATTCTAGTTTTTCTACTCTAACGCCTTTATCATTTGACGAAATTAATTCTGAATTATTTCTTTTCACTTGTGAGAAATATTTTGAATTAATTGGTATGATTTTGATATCTTAAGAAAAACAACTTATGTCTTATATAAAATGTTTTACTAGACAAATTCAATGGTACACTACTTGGCACATTCCGTTCCGATATAGTTAGTAATATGACTGTAAGTTTGTTACTGATCAATATCAATTGTTATACAATCATTTTATAGAAATTAACAAATAGAATTTGTACGAATCAGAAGAAATTTGAAAATTTATTATCGATTATTAACGATGAAATATCAACTCAAACAATCAAAGAAAAAGATTCAGCAACAAATTCACTACTTTGGCTTAGAAGGTATGGTTTCATTATTTATTCAAAAGGTTTTTTCCTCTACTTGCGATTAAAATTTATACCAAAAATATATAGCTAGGAGAATAAATGTTTTTTTCAAAGCAAAAGCTTCCTATAAAAAGAAACTAAATAAGTTTGTCATGGAAGATCAACGAATAATTTTAGAACAAAATAATCTTTTCAGTGAAACTATCTTCACAATCTATTTCTGTTTTTAGAAGTATTCATTTTCTCTCATGTTTTCTTCATGAATTTGGTCAAGGTGATAAAACTGTTGAAGATGCAATGAATCAAGCATATGGAAAAGCATTGAAACCTTACCATGGTTGGATAACACGTGGATTGTTTGCTGTAAATTATTTATTCATTTAGTTAGTTTTGAAATTTCATTCAAAAATTATTTTAGGAAGCTCTTCGGTCAGTTCCTTCGAATGAAGATTTTCTTATTTCACTTGCTATTAATCCTAATGAAGCTAAAGAAGTTTTATTTGAACGACAAGTTAGTTTTTTGAATTTCAACTAACTATTAGACTTATTAAATTTAATTTTTTTGCTCTCCATCGCAGATTCTCAACGAAATGGTTCAACATAGTAACAATATGAATGTTGTTGTACGTAAACTAAATGATTTCTATATTGAACATAATCTTGAATCCGATGAAATCATTGACTAATTAATATATATATACGTATCTATATATATTGTCTTTTCTGTTTTTGTTATGTTTCTATATTAAATAAAGAATATATTTGTTTTCCTTTAATATTTTATTTAAAATACAATGCAAGCGTAAATAATTAAAAGAATTTTATTCGATATAATGACTAAGAACTTATCGGTTGAAACAAAATTTGTGAAAGTATCATTAATATAATCGAAATAGAGAAGAAAATATCTGATTTCTATTTACATGCAATAAATTGATCTGATATAATTCAAGTTTTGTAGAATCATCTGATCTGAACATTTTTTCTCTTTGAAAAAGAGTATTTAGGTATGTTGAAATCAACAACAAACAATTAGTTGTTTTAAACGACCGTTTTATAAGTTTCAGTATGATAAGAAATAAGAGCGAAGTATCTCTTCAGTCGAATACTAATACACTAGCTACGTATTTATATAAGCTAGCAAAGTATCAAATGAATTAAGTGATCTCAATATCATTTAAGTAGAGTAGTATGAACAATAATACACATTTCACAGTTCAAGCTGCAACCAATAATGATTGTAATTATCGAATATTGATCTATCAATGAATAATACTGAGAGATTCTTCTTAAAAAAAGGATAATCGGCATGAATTTGAGGTACTGATAATCTCGATGAAAAGTTTTCCACTGTACTGCAATAAATTATTGTGTTGATTGTTAGTGTCAATATCTAGAAATTCGTTGTCGTTCTTTTTTTTACAAAAAAAGTAAATTTACAATAATTTTAATTTTGATCTGGGTTAGGATTAGAAATGTAAGTACTAGGGTCAGTACATTTCATGTTATATCAACGAATGTACGTCTATAAAATAGTGATATTACCAGAAAAACGAAGCTATGATTTTTAAAATGCGCTATTATTTTATATCGACAAATTACTGTATTAATTAATATTTTTTAACATAATAAAGAAACAAAGCTATTCATTATGAAAAACGACAAGAAAGAAAGGCTTTTTTAGTTTGATTCGTATTGACTAGATAAAGTTATCTGATTGAAGATGAGGAAATTTTTCTCAAATAGGCCATAACCATCGTTTGAATCTTGTCAATATATCTAAATAAAACTATTATGATATTGTAAACATATATGAAATATTTGTTTTACTTTTTTTACTCTCCGGCAAGACTAAGATATACACAGTATCATCTGAAGAATAATTTGTTGGTATTAAAGTTGTAATACCATTATCTGTTCGAGTAAATGCGGCTGATTGATAGAATGTATCCCAATCATATATTCCATCATATTTAAGGTCATGATATATTATACGTAATAAATCATACCGATCTATTGGTATTTCGTATTCAATTTCTTGAATTGAACCGTCAATTAACTCAAGCTTTAATAAGCGTCGATTTGATCTAATAAATAAATAATTTTGCTCTTTCATCGATACATATTTTAATTGAGAAGCCAGTCAATTGTAGAGCAAAATTTATTTTTCTTTTGCAACACTGGATGTTATCCAAGTATCGCTAGGTAACTGAACTCGTTTTAGAGCCAATAGAACTTGAGTTAGTATCATTTAAGGTATATTTCATATATGGATCCGAAGATATGTTATACAAATATCAATCGTATGAAATTAATATAGATAAATTTCAAAGGGCTCTGCAATACAATAAACTTATAGCGCCATCTGGATACAAAAACGTTTTTGTTTTAATTAACTATTTATTTATTTTTGGAAGATTCTATTCCTTAAAAAGTCATTCAGTAGACAATTGCTTACGATGCATCACATCTGTGCATGGCTCAACAAGATGATTTGTCTTCTATTTTTGTTCCTTTCACACGTGCTAGTGTAATAGTTATACGATCACATTCAATCCCTATTCATTTTATTATCTATAATGCATGTATGACGAGTAACATAGTGAATTTTACTGCTGTCTCTTTGTCTATTTGAAATTTCCTTAGGCTTTTGTTTTTATTTATTTATTTGTTTAAAATCAATATTTCAACTTCATTAGCTCGAAGTGTAGAAAAAGAAAAAAACGCCTGATGTTATAGATGATTTGGGGTAGAAAGTTTCTGAAACTATATTTTAGTGTTTGACTTTTCTTTTATTTGTATGCCATTGAAGATTTTTATTTTTATTTTAGCAAATAAATAAAAGATGGCTATGATACTGTTTTGTCTACAGTTATCGACGTTGCTAAATTTATCAAAGGCAAAGCTGTTCATCGAGTTGAATTCATAAAAGGGAGAGTCAATGAAGTTTACAATGTCGTGACTCAGAAAGTTGCTGAAGATACAGAAAATTTTAAGGAAAACACTGGCGGAGCTAAAAAAGCTCAAAATAAGAAAAATTTCATTTACTTGTTCTGCTAGAGAAGCATTTTTATTTTTCATCTCAACTTACAGATGCATATGTTAAAATGAGTAAGGTATACTATTTCATTTTCAATTTAATCATTTTTATAGTCAAAGATAAACTAGTTAAAATTGCTGATGAAAAATATTGTTTTCTAAAGTCATTCAAAATACTTATAATGAGAACATTTATTCGCTAAATGCCTTATAATCTTTTTTCTATCAGACTTCGTTTTCCACGTATCTACAATTGATTTTTCTAGCACTATTTCCATTGCTTTGATCATTCGACCTACATTGTTATCAAATACAGAAAAACCAAAAAGAAAGATTCTCATCTCTTATGATTGTCTTTTCAATCAAAAACAAAAATTCATTCTAGAATATACTTCATTGATGCTTGAACTTGCTGTTGACTTAGTTTACTACATAAAATTCTGGTGGCCAAAGATCATTCACAGAAAATAAATCTGAAATAATGAAAAATCATCGTAAGACTTAACTTGATTTTGAATAATTGAGTGTTGTAAAAAAAAGAAATGCTTTTGATATTCATAAAAACTAAAAGCATGTTGAATAACAAACTATCAAACTTAATCAATCAATCATTTTTCTTTCGACTAAATGATTGTTACTATTTTATCTTCACAAAAACAAGACAAAAATTCTAACTTGATAAATTATGAATGAAATATTATCTTTTGAAAAATATTTCTCTTAATTATGGCTTTTTCACTTTCACATTTAGTAAATTTCTTGTTGATATCTTAGAGAAAATCTATAATAAAAAATTAATGGATCAGAAATTCAATCGTGATAGTCACTATTCCATAGGGATTTCGAATGACGTAAGTGCTGTCGATAATTGAATAGTTGGTCTCTAGTCATAACATCTATGAAGATATTCTCATTTCTAATAGATAGAGATAGTTCATCTCAATAAGAAGAGAAGAAAAGCTCTTGATAGAAAAAGAAACTTGCGATGAAAACTATACTTAATCGAATGAAACTATCCAAAAGCGACATATAGTCTCGGTAATTTTTGAAATAAATGATTTTATGAAAACTGTTCATATAAAATATAAAAACAATAGAGATTTTTTTTTATTTTTGCCATACTATGACCGCAATAAAATCGAAATCATATTCTTTTATTATTCATGGAATAGAATCGGCGTCAACGTCTCCGTTTTATTATATAAACTAAGGTAAATACTTCCTTTGTCAGCACGTGTGTCCGTCAATTGTTGTCAATCATCTGTTGGCGGCATATGAACTTTTTGTTTGATTATAATCACGTCCATGTCAACAGATGAAAAGAAATGACTTTTTATTATTTGTTCAAAGATAATTGTCCTTCGAATATATTCTTAGACTTACTTCCGAGTATTATTAATAGTTGTCTCAAGAAAAAGTAGTAGTATGCAAAAAAAGAAAAACTTCTTCTTTTCCGTTTGTAAAAAAAGAAACAAAAATTGATTCATTGTTCTTCTTTTAATATGCAAATTTATTCCAAACGATAATAATTAATAAAATATGAAATCAATTCTTTTATGTGCCTGACAGATCAAGAAACTAATCAATACTCGACCTGTCTCTTAATCCTTTCTATTCGTTTTGATCTGTTTAGTAAAACAAAGATCAGTCAGATGAGTATAAATCGTTTCATATAGAATCAATATTATTGTTCGTTAGCACATATTCAACATATATTCATAAAACACGTATCTTTTGTCGATGTTCTTCAATACAATATTTTTTAATTGCTATTTTTTCTTTGATATTGTAAAAATTGCTTTGTTATAAAATTGTAGATATGACTAATTATTTTTCTATTTAAATCGTCTATGGCTCCATGTAATAAGATGAGAAGAGTAATAAAAAAACTTTTGTAATAGAAAATATTACGCAATTATTAGACTCTGATTAAAATAATTGATTCTATCATGAAAAGAAAGATTTATATTCTCAGATTGTTTTGATTGATCAGGCAACAATAAGATACAAATGAAAATATTCATTTTAAGAAATTTATAGAAAAATGAATAACTTGTTCAATTTTCTTTTCAAATATTTTCAAAAACGTAAGTACCTTGAATGTCATCTATATCATATAATTTTCCCGTTGAATAATCTAATTTTGATTGTACATTGAAACGAAGTTCATTTCTCCAAAGAGTTTCGCCTCTTTTTCCCTTTTTTCTCATTGACAAGTTGTTAGTCATAATCATAAATCTAAATAATCTGAATGCACAATAGACATAACACGATGACGTAAGCATAATGAACACCTTTGTTCTATTGAGAACGCACAAAAATTCTTCGTCTTTTTATTCCGATCTACTTTGTATGACGATTAACAAGGTTAATGATCTATGCATATGAACCAGAAAATTAAATTGTGATGTATGTTTTATGCTATTAGCACAATCTCAATGACACACAAATATAGAACAATTATGTTTGGGGGGGGGGGGGGGGGGGGGGGGGGGGGGGGGGGGGGGGGGGGGGGGGGGGGGGGGGGTGGNAATAGAACAAAGGTGTTCATTATGCTTACGTCATCGTGTTATGTCTATTGTGCATTCAGATTATTTAGATTTATGATTATGACTAACAACTTGTCAATGAGAAAAAAGGGAAAAAGAGGCGAAACTCTTTATTAATTTTGAACAATGTTTGAAAACAAATTTTTTACGAATTGCATATTTCATTATATATTTTATCGAAGGAAGAAAAACATCAAATTAAAATTATTATTTTTGCAAAGAAATTACAAAAAGCAAAAGAATGAAATATATGTCCTATACACCGGATATGTTTATGACACTGAGTAAATGACTGCGATAGATAATAATTCAATAATCTGTTTTTCACACTGGTCGAATCCAATTGATAAATAAACTCAATAACCAAAACCATTCAATTTTTTTTGCAAATGAATTTGATAAAAAAATTTTATTCGATTCTAAGTTTGATTGTGTAAGAGAATATGTTTTATTTTTATTAATATATTCTTACCTGTTGCTGTTATCGTTAAATTCTTCTTTTTCTTGTGAGATTTAGTCAATAATAGAGCAGTACGACCATTTCGATTTATTTCATCTGTATAAATCTTTGGTTTTACTTTGCGAACTCTTGAAACTTTCAAAAAAAAAATGAACAAAATCAAAATCAAAATCAAAATCTAATCGTATTTTTACTTTGTTGAAGGTTAATATAATCTGATTTATATCCTAAAATATTTTCGCCTTTACATTCATATTGATTAAATTGATATTCATTTATAGTCTGGATTGAAAAGAAAAGAAAAGAAAATCTATTAGTATTTCTAGATGAACAAAACAAAAAGAGATAGTGTACAATTATTTTCATAATCGATTCTGAACATTGATCATTAATAATTTGTTTTTTAATATAAATATTAACATCTTTTATTTGTTGATCCTGTCTTAACCAATAAATATGATCAACTTGTGGCATTGAGCATACTTCACATCTGACTAAAATTGTTTCATGAGGAAAACTTCGTATTGTTCCATTCAGTATTAATACACGAGGGGAATCTAAACAAGCTTATGCAATAATAATAATAATAATAATAACAACAAAAAGGAAAGATTATCATAATTGAATGTCATTCGATCAGGAGATTTTTTTCTCTTCTTCTTTTACTCATTCATAATTGAATAGTATATGAGGGAAATGAAGTTTACTCACATTGAACAGTGACATAAAAAGCACGACTGATTGTTGTATGATACATATTAGAAGCTATACATTCATATAAGCCACTATCTGATGGTTGAATTGATGACAAATATAAATCTTCTCCATAATGAATATCTTAAATAAATCTAATATTTTTATTTGTTAAGAAAATCATCACATCGTACTTTTTGATTGTTTATTTTTATTTTTATGAATCCATGTTATATTAACAGATGGAATAGCAAAAACATGACAAGATAAATTCATTGAAGAATTTTCAGGATATGAAACACTTCCTTCCAATGGAAAGTACCAAACAAAACGGGGTGGAACTAAAAGTACAAGATGGAAAAATATTCCTCTAACCTTCTAATATATTTACATAATATTTTAATTTCTCTTTCATCTACAAAAGGTACAACTAAAAATGCTTAAAATATCACGTAACTGAGTATAGTCATATACTCCGGATGTGTCTAAAAGGTCAAGTCTTTTGTCCATATCAATAGACATACGGATGGTTCATTAACGCTAATTTATTGAGATGGCTGTCAAGACTATAATAGAGAAAGAGAATGCAATTAACACTATAGTAGATACACACACACACACACACACCATGGAATCGTCTTAGAGAAACTTTTTTTTTTGGAAAGAAAAGAAAAAGATAAATGATGATGAATCAATAACTCCTTATTGTTATTTTTATCCATACAATCAAGATGTCTATAGTAAAAAGAAAAGCTATGAGTCGCGACTAATTTTATTAATGATCCGATAAATAGAAAAATAAGATTAGAAACAGATGGACTAAAATATTGTATTTAATCTATTCTATTGAAAAATTTTGAGAACTTACCAAATATTTCAATTAAGAATGACATTAACTTTTCATCATTTAACATGCATGTATAAAGACCAGAATCATTTTGACTCACAGATTTTAATTTTAAATCTAAACGATTTGATGAAAATCGTTTTAATTCAATATGTGATTGATGAACAAATAATTCTGAACCAAGTGATAAGATATCACCTGTCATTTGACGCATAAACGATACCTGAAAGAAAAAATTAAGTTTGTCAGTAAAAAAAACAATAATAATAACTTTTCAAGTATGTTTATATAGACAGCTGTCATCTTTTATCTCTAAATGTATTTAATGTCAATTTCAATGTTCGATAGTTTTTAAGTATTTTATAATCAATCAACATATGTTCAATGGTTCAATTATTTCTATTCATTATTTTGAATAAACTGTTGTGCTTTTAAAAAAAAGAATTTTATGAGAAAGACGATGAAGAGCTCTTGAAAAATACTTTCAATGAGTAGCATGATAGAAATTGAGTCTAATTGCCATTCACCTATGAAATGATCAATCTATCGGACAAGTTTATGCATGTTACGCAAACATAATCATCAGGGACATATAGAATACAGTTGATTAAAAAGAGGAAAAAAAGAATTTTTACACCTATCATTGCCATTAATATGTGTGTGTGTGTGTGTGTGTTTTGATTAAAATAGACCCGACGGTATGATGTATCAAATAATACCTACGTACATACATACATAGATATATAAACAATCATTCAATAAAAAGAAAAATTCCACTCGAAATAAATAATCGAAAAACGATATAGATACTATAGCTACTACTTCTCTACTGTTTAATCGAAGAATAAATATACAGACGATATACATATGAATAGACACAATACAAAATGTTTATTCAAAAGAAAATAATAAATCATATAAACGAATGATTTTCTGGATATATAACTAGCGATATACAATTCTTGCAACAATGCTAAATCTTCTTTTTATTTTCTGTTCAATTGTTTTACCTGTTCAATTTTATTTTCATCAAATATACATGACATTATAATATCTTGACCAACATCAGCTTTTAATACTTGATGATGATTATCATTTCTTGATAAAACTTCGACAAAATAAAGGATGAAGATGATTAGAAACTGTAATAAAGAGTTATATGCACACCACGATGGCATGACTGATGATCGAATGAATGTGAGACTAGTAGAGAGAAAGAGAAAGGAAACAAGAGAAAGAGAGAGAGAGACACTGAAAAGGAGAAAAAACTCTTGCTTTTCTTTGTTTGAAACTGTGCGTCTAGTAAGATGAACGCTCGCATGTATGCATGTGTGTGATAATTGCACTCCCTCGTTTCTTTTACACACACACATACACACACACACACGTTCATTTCATCTCATCCGCTTGAAGTACACATAGTATGAAGACGTATGATGAACGAGGGGTGTCATCATCGAGAGGAGAGGAGAAAAGAGAAGAACTGTGTGTTCATTTTGCATTTTCCTTCCTGCTTATTGATGTAGGAGAGGTAGAAATGACAATAATCATTATTTGTTGATGATGGCACGTTCTTTTTGTTTAACAAGAATGAAACTCTTTTTGCTTTGATATATTTATCATGTATTTTTTTCTTTATAGGATTAATTGTGTTTTTCTACTTGAACAACATTTGTATGAATGAATAACACATGATAATCCTATTTTCTTTTCTATTTATGAATCTCAACGGTCTAATATCGAGTCAGTGAAGCATATTTTTAAAATATTGATGATTAGCGATAATCTAGTAAGACAAAGAAAAAGAAAGAGGTTTTATTATCGAGTTTAAAAGTCTCTCTTCCTATTTTCATTGCATTAATATAGATTTAAATCAATCGAATTTTTCTTAAAAATTAATTCTAAAGGTTTGCCATACATCAGTATAAGCCTAGTTGATAGAGTTCATCAGAGAAACAGAATGGTAATATCCAAGGAATCGGACAATAATAAACAGTAGCATAAAAGTGACGAGGCCAATAACAAAAAAACGATATTTTTAAAATTCATGGATTAAAACAAATACTATTCGTCATCTTCATTGTATAATTTTGATTAAACATTGAATTGACTGCATGTATTTAATTACAAGACATCTTCAAGTCGATTTTTTTTCGAAATAAACTATGTTAATCTTGAATTTGATTGAAGTTTATTGCTAAGATTCATTATACATAAAATATGTGTCACTACTATTTGTAGAATTCAGTTTTCTAAGTTTTAATTGCAATCAATTTTTGTTGAGTTTAATATTGAATGTTACAGATTTTTTGTTGTTGTTTGCTTGGCATTGCATGGCTGATGTAATTTACTATTTTATTCTCTTGTTGAAAATAGGACTGCTAATGGGTCATATTGTCCAATTCACATTAATTATTAGACAATGTATCTTTCGCTAATTTCTATTCAATAAAAATTCTCTGATTGATGTAATGCAAGTAATATTGTTACAAGTAAGAATAAAGATACAACGGTACCTATCAAAACATCAATACTATTCTTAAATTTATTCTTAACAAGCCAAACTTTTTTCTTACATGAGTAATTTACAGTAGGATTAACTTTCTCTTAGTTGAAAGTAACAAATTTCGCTTCGATAAACATAACCTATTTTGAAGACAATAAATTTTAAAAGCTGTTACCCAATTGATTAATAATTGCCCCTTATTGCCCAGTACTCAAAAATGTCTGGCTACGCCACTGTATCATAGCTTGTTTTGCTAGTCCAATTTTGTTTTCATCTCTCATTGATCCACTACAATCAACAACAAAGATAAATTCATTCGTCAGTTTTTCATGGTTCATTGTACGTTGGTAATCTTTTTCAGTTGGCGTAAATTAGAGTCCTGCAGGTCAACCTTGTCCTACCCTGCCCTGCAGGGCAGGGTAAGGTTACAAAAAAAAATATTTAGGGTATAAGTAGGGTATAGTTCACACAAATAGAAGTTTTATAGAGTAGAATTTAATATATATTTCTGACATCGTTTTGATCAAAAACAGTGTAAAGAGTGATATCATAATCTGAATTCATTAGATAGAATAACAACTAACGGCAAACAATGGCCTATATTTTGGTACTATTTGTTACATAAGCTGACGAGTTCAGACACTTTTGATTATTTGTCGAGTAAATGTGCATGTAAATGTAATAAAAAATGTCTTCGAAATCATCTCGACATGAACATATTTTCAGTGCAAACGGGCGAGTTTTGGAAGAGAGAAGACAAAATTTAAGTGGTGATGTTGTAAATGACATTTTATTTTTAAGAAACTTTCGAAATATTTATTAATTTTGTATTTGATTCTCGTTGAAAATCAATAAAATATATTGAAACAAAGTGAAGAAAAACTTCATGCTGACTTTTACTTGGACTTGACACTCAAAAGATATGATAGGGTGTAAAATGAAAAATCTCTGTGATAGGGCAGGGTAAGGGTACAGAGCCCTTAGGGTAGGGCAGGGCAAGGTTACGAAATCTATATGGCAGGGTACGGCTAGGGTAAGACCGTCGTAGGGCAGGGTAGGACAAGGGTACGAAGTTTTACGATAGGGTAGGGTTAGAGTACAAAAAAGTCTTAACCTGCAGGACTCTAGCGTAAATAAAGCTATAACAGCACCTGGTTCAACTGCAACAATAATGTTTAAATGATTCTTATTTAATTCAATATCGGCTTGAATATCTCGATCTAATTGAGTATGTTCTTGTGCAAATTGAAGAATATAGACATTTTGTTGATCAAATCTGATTTGAAGTGAATGAAATGTCCAACTAACTCCAGACACATTGTTGTTTCTCTACTCGACATTTAAATTCAATTGTATATAGAGCTGTTTGAGCATATTTTGATGTAGTACCAGCTGGTGAGCTAAAACCACCTTTATCTGGATTATATCGAGGTACAATTGTTGTTGGAACAACAAAACGAATTCGACTTTCATTTTGAATTAAATCAAGTTCAGAGACATACGAAATGGAAATGTGCCATTCTTTACCTGGAGGTAATGCACCAACATTAATAATAAAATTATCTTGAGATTTTTCATCTTGTTCAAATAAATATGCTCCATGTTCTTCTCTTGGAAAACAATAAAATGTTTCGATTGGTTTTGTTTCATGATTTCGAAAAATCTTGTTTTATTCGAAGAATTGTATTGAATGAAGCTTGTTTTGCTACTGCAACTTTGTTTAAATACTCACTACTTGTTGTGTATTGTTTTGTGAGTCAAAATACAGAACAAAGCGAGGAAAATGGTTTTTTTAGGTGACCCTATTTTATAGTATATAAATATTGCTTTGATAATCTCTTGCACAGATTAATATTACAATCTATAAGACATACGATTTATTATTTTGTCAATGTCGGAGACTAGGCACATTCTCACCCACCTTCACCCTCAAGACTTAGAAATTCTTTGATCGTTTTATATCTGGAGAGTTTGGTGGAAAAGAAGAATCTAGAATTCGGAACACCATCAAATTCCCATACCTCTGGGAAAAAGACTGGAGTATTCTTAGTATCGATTTGAATTCTAATATAAATTTCGCAGTGTATGTTTCTCTTTAGAAAAACTTGGTGAAATACTATCCGATAATATCATTTGATCTTTAATTAATTAAACGATCATTGTTGTTACCTATTGTAGAGCAATAAAACACAAGTACTATGAAAAACTAACACAAGAAATTTGTTTATACGTAAGAAAGAAACGATTTCATGTACCATATTTTGATAGTAATGTACACAATAGATCTGATTCGTTGGAGTCGTCTCCCTTATTGTCGAGCGATTCTAGAGCAACACGAGCTTCGACCATAGGACTCGTTTTCATCAAAGCAAAAAGTTTGTCGAATGATATTAATTTGCTGATTGCTTGAACGTACGTTAGCGCAACTTTTCATAGCCTCGCCAAAAATACCCATCGTCTGGTTGGAATATATCGAAAAATGTTGACCGAGGAACTAACCGTAAAATGGCTCGTAATAAATTGACATACGCATGAAAAATGCACTCATAATCAACATCATCCGTTTCGTACATGTTGAAAAGAAAATTATGAAACAATCTTTTCTTACATAATTCAATAGCCGACTCTTCTATCAATTTCTTTTGTATCTAAATTATTAATTTAAATAAGAAAAAAAGACAAGAAAATGTTTTTGAATCAGTGTATTAACTTCTGCAATACCTTCTGTTATCGTTATGCTTCGAAAAAGACAAATGTCAGCTCGGAAGACTATTAAAAAGACCGACAAGAAAAGCTAATGCAACTGATGTGCCGAAAATTCAAGTGTCAATATCCCTACATCCTTTACTTATTTTTATTCTTCACAAAACATGATCAATGTGAAACAATTCTAATTTAACTTAAACATGGTGAAAGAACTTTATCCAATGTTTCTCTCGCTATAAAATAGCTGCTTTTGTACCCTATTGTTTAATTGAATTTAAAATAATTCTGCAAGCATTTCAATTTCCAGATTTTTCTCTCGCAAAGTCATAATGCCAATTAAGCCTATTGTCTAAAAAGAGAGTTGCGACATTTTGAAACATTTGTCTGAGATAAGAAAATTTAGTCTGTTTGTTACATGATCATTCATATAAAATTATTCATTTTTGCGGCCGCCAATTACTTCTTTGTCTTGCTATATATATATGTTGTAGGCAAAATTCAAATATC